ATTGGTGGTATCTCATTTGTGAATTATTCCCTAACTCAAATTTTCAATGCAGCAGTTAATGCTATTAGTTTTCCACATGTATTGGTGGTATCTCATCTGTGCTATGATCATAAGACAGCTTGAAAGTGGGAGAAGACATAAGATCAGGTATCATCACGCATACGAATCTGGATTACACTATTCTTTTTATTAGCTCGGCCTATCTTGTGTAGTGTCTTTGTAAGTTTTGAGTGATTTTTTTTTTGTTATAACTTACATCAATGGCAGGATGATGATTAGGGATCCCACATATATCTCAAATGACACTCTTACCATTTAACCTGGTGTAAAGAGAACAAGAAGTGATTCTTTTTGCAGTTTTGGGTAAGAAATAACAAAGGGAAGCCTTTCTTTGGTAAATACAGATTCGATCCCTTTTATTAACCATGAATTGACTGACAAAAGTTGATAATTGGCAGTTAATAAAAGAATATGGCAAGATTCAAAATAACGCGCCAGGTAGGGGTCGAACCTACGGCCTTCTGCTTAGGAAACAGACGCTCTATCCACTGAGCTACAGGCGCTAGTTAATGATTCTTTGTTAGTCTCTTGTTCTAATACAAAGTTAAGAAAATAAAGGACTAAAACTTTTACATTACATAAGCTTCCCAAAACAATTTCATTGTGTATGTTATTATGGTTTCATCGAATTTGATTTTTCATCGTATTGTGGTAAGTCTAACCGGGTTTCCGAACCAACTGTCACTAGCTTGCAGACGTGTCACAATAAAACACAGCTGTACATTACAGTGGGGTCACACTCTTGTCCGTTTTTCGACTTTCGAGGCTCTTAACATTTTCAATCCAAATCCAATCATCTTCTACCTCTGCTCCAACATCTCGGAAACAAACCTTAATCAAATCAAGGCTCACTCAAATCAATGGAGATCAAGCCTGGTTTATCCGCTCTCGTCACTGGCGGCGCTTCCGGGATCGGTAAATATTTAATTTCCGATCTTTGTTAGTTTATCTGCTTGTTGCTGATTTCGTGATTTCGTCCTCTTTTCTGTTTGATGAAATCTTCTGGGTAATTTTTTGCGTTTAGTGAAAGAAATCTAGTAAATGGTCATACTTTCGTGAAGTTGGATCGTTCTGCTTAGATTTTTACTCACGAATCCGTTGTTGGTGACGTGTGAACGATTTTTTCCTAGTTTTCTTCACACAATTTGGATGGTGAAAGCTATTTACTTTGTTTGATTATATAAAAAGAAAAAAAAAAACTTTTTTGATGTTATTATATCATCTAAAAAGAGTAACACTAAGTATACAATACGGTCTTTTGGTGATGAGATGTTCAAATTTCTGTGTAGGTCGAGCTCTCTGCTTAGCTCTTGCAGAGAAAGGTGTGTTTGTAACAGTGGCTGATTTTTCCGAGGAGAAAGGGAAAGAGACGACTTTGCTTGTTCAAAAGGCCAATGCCAAATTTCATCCCGGTTTAAACTTTCCTTCTGCTATCTTTGTGAAATGCGATGTGACAAAGAGAGGTGAGTGTGTTGTTTTTAAGCTAAAAGTTATGAATTTTCTCTCTGTATTAATCCTCTAGAATATGAGCAGGAGATCTCGTCGCTGCTTTCGACAAGCACTTAGCTTCGTTTGGAACACTGGACATCTGCATTAACAACGCTGGGATTAGCAATCCTGTACGGTTTGATAAAGATGACTCTGATGGATCTAAATCGTGGAAACACACCATTAATGTGGATCTCACTGCAGTTGTTGAAGGCACACAACTTGCTGTAAGTGTTCAGTCAATAGATATATATGAGTTTTACTTTTCTGTTTCCTTGGCTTGTTAAGTTTCGATTTTTGTATGAAACTTCTGCGTAGATCAAAGCAATGAAAGGCAAACAAAAGCCTGGAGTTATCATCAACATGGGCTCAGCTGCTGGTCTTTATCCAATGTCCTTTGATCCTGTCTACGCTGGTGCTAAAGGTTTCGTTTTTTTTTCACTCGTCTGTTATTATTTTCTTTACAAATGTTCTTTGTTGTATAATTTTTGTTGTTGTTTGTCCCCAATATGTTACATTTTCTACAGCTGGTGTCGTCTTATTCACTAGATCATTAGCACACTTGAAGCGTCAAGGCATCCGCATCAATGTCCTTTGCCCTGAAGTAAGATTATTCTCTAATATCTCCCAAAATGTTTTAGTTATAAATTGAGTGTTGCCTAAAGTTTGGTTTCTGCACTTTTGTTGTGCAGTTTATCCAAACGGACTTAGCAGAAAAGCTTGATCCTTCCTTCCTAAAGGTGGTAGGCGGTTACATGTCTATGGACTTGTTGGTTAAAGGTGTGTACACATTATCTGCCATATATAACGACTGTATGAGATCAATCTATTAATGAAGTTCATGGTTTGTCATATATCTTTGGTCTAGGTGCTTTGGAGCTTATAAGCGATGAGACTAAAGCCGGTGCATGTCTATGGATTACTAGCCGCAGGGGTCTTGAGTATTGGCCTACTCCAGCGGAACAGGAAAAGTACTTGGTCGGTCCAAGTTCCAGAAAGAAACCTACCTTTAAAGTAACTTCAAAGATTGAACTTCCTCAAAGCTTTGAGAAATTGTAAGTTAACTACATGAGACCAGAACATAGTCCACATCTACTCTTATACTACACGTACTTGATGGATTACTTTTATCCTTCAGAATTGTACACGCCTTGTCTCATAATTTCCGCAATGCAACACGCATAGCCCGCACAACACTACAACTACCCATTGGACCCCACCAAGTTCTCCTGAAAGTCATCTATGCTGGTGTTAACGCAAGCGATGTAAGATCACCAGAACTTATCGGTCTATCTCTGTTAATTAGCTACTTACCTTTTTAGGTGGAATTCAAATGAAACATTATTGGTCGTTGTTGTGAACCATTACAGGTAAACTTCAGCTCAGGTCGTTACTTTAGTGGCGGTTCGCCGAAACTTCCCTTTGATGCTGGATTTGAGGTACACTATTGTCCATTTCAACTTCCCTTTATAGCAGTTTTACAACAAAATTCTAAATTGCTTCAGTTTTACAGGGAGTTGGACTAATTGCAGCAGTGGGAGAATCTGTAAAGAATCTGGAAGTTGGGACTCCAGCTGCTGTTATGACATTTGGAACATATTCTGAGTACATGATTGTATGAAAAGCTCTAAAAGTCTTAAACCAATGTTGAGATTTTTTTCAAGGCTTCATTCATCAGTGAGAATGTAATCTTTGTCTTTTTTTGGTGGATTTAGGTTTCTTCAAAGCATGTGCTCCCTGTTCCAAGACCAGATCCAGAAGTTGTTGCCATGCTTACCTCAGGACTAACTGCTTTAACCGCCCTTGAAAAGGTCAGTTAATGATCTCTCTGATATTCTACAGCTGCTATTTTTTCATTACGTCTGAAACTTTCAAATTGTCTTATGGGATTCACACAGGCAGGACAAATGAAATCGGGTGAAACAGTTCTTGTGACTGCTGCTGCAGGAGGCACTGGACAATTCGCAGTCCAGGTATAAAAATCGAAAGTATTAAGTATATGATCATGTTCTTTCATCTGAGAGAGATTATGTATGCAGCTTGCAAAGTTAGCAGGAAATAAGGTGATTGCTACATGTGGGGGATCAGAGAAGGCCAGGCTTCTGAAAGATTTGGGTGTTGATCGAGTCATTGATTATAAAACTGAGGATATCAAGACGGTAGGTCGTCTCAAGCAGAAACTCTGGTTTTGCTTCTAGGCAGATTATTCATTTATGAAATCTAATCTTACACAGGTCTTGAAAAAAGAGTTTCCAAAGGGTGTGGATATCATTTATGAATCTGTTGGTGGTCAAATGTTTGATATGTGCTTGAATGCTCTCGCTGTTTATGGACGACTCATTGTGATTGGAATGATCTCTCAGGTTCCTTATCATAATATCACTAGCTCTATGTACATCATTTCATGTCTACACAACAGAATCTGCTCTATTTGGAATTAACATGTATTTGTCTCTCAGTACCAAGGTGAGAAGGGATGGCAACCAGCAAACTATCCAGGGCTCTGCGAGAAAATTCTTGCCAAAAGCCAGACCGTGGTAATGTTTATCTACTCTGTTTTAGGTTTTCACCGGAATAGTTTAGTGTAACTTGAGAATGTTGATTAGTTTCAATTTCAATGGTTTCAGGCGGGGTTCTTTCTTGTACAATACAGTCAACTGTGGAAACAAAATCTTGAAAAGTTATTCCATCTTTACTCTCTTGGAAAGCTTAAGGTAATTATAAGCTTTAATCGTATTACCTTAAACCACACGTTTCTTTTTGTTTTTAGTTTTGATCACCAAATTTAACTATTCCCAAAACCACTTCTTCTTTTTTCTGTTCTTGCTGTTTTGTAGGTTGGGATTGATCAGAAAAAGTTTATAGGTCTAAACGCTGTTTCAGATGCCGTTGAGTATCTCCACTCTGGTAAAAGCACCGGAAAGGTACGTAATGTATATATATATTCTCTCCTTAACAATGATGATTCATAAAAGCTAGTTACGTTGGAGGTTTTCTTACATTCTCAATCATGCCATATGTGTTTAGATTTACTAATCTTCAATATTTACGCATGCAGGTCATAGTTTGCATTGATCCTACATTTGAGCAAAGAACGTCGAGGCTGTGAACAAATAGTCAAAAACATATCCACAAAGTAGAAATTCGTTTAGCTCTTTTACATTTAAATGAAATAAATTGTGTGGATTAGTACTTGTTTGCTCTCATGTAGACTATAAGTCACATTTGCACCCCAAAAAAGAAGAAGAAGTTAATAAGCTTTTTTGACGATGTTGTTTACTTGTTTTGATTGACATCATGTAGACAAAAAAAAGCTCAATGTACAGTATCTTTATCAATCCAAAAGTGGCGTCTCTTACTTTTCCAATTTTGTATTTCTAAATTAATATCCTTTTCCAAGTTAATATCCTTTTCCATATTCTATAATAATATTGAAACCCTTGACAGGTTGCCTATAAAACCATAGACCATAAGAGCCTATGCCCTCTAGTATTTATCCAAGCTTGGAACCACCAACAAACACACCATCTTCGAAGTTCCAAACTCAACATGATTAGAGGAGGAGAAGATTCAGATTCAGATTCCATCTGGAATGATCCTGAAAGACGAAAGATAATTATGGAGATCCTCTCGAGATTACCAGCCAAGTCAGTCGTGAGGTTCCGTTGCGTGTCGAAGCTATGGCAGTCCATGATTGGCAGTCCATATTTCACCGACATGTACCTGAGCAGACCCCGGCCTTGCCCGCGTCTCTTCTCCCCTCTTCAGAACATATGGCCACCAGAATAGAAGCGTAAACCCACGAGCACATCAACATCGTCTAAAGCTCATAACTCATACGTTTTAGAGCACTAACAAATTTGATTCTCTTCTCGTCTTTTAGATGATCATGAAGTTTTTTCCTTATTTCTTCCCTAAGTCAGCTTGAAGCTCTTTTTAGATACAATTTACCAGAATACTTATAACACAGAGACTAGCAATTTGGCTCACACATAATTTTATTTATTTTACGACAATTCGTCTCATATACAGTTTTCGTGTAATTAAGCTTTATCTCTCTATTGGGCTTAGTATTATTATTTTTCTTTCTGGTTATCATGTTCATCTCCTAATTGCGTTACACAATTGTTTTATATACCACACTAATGTTCCACAAGCATTGAAATCTCCATCACTCCGTGAAATACTATTTCGATTACTGTATTACAAGTTTCTAAAAATATCCATCACATGTGAATAAAATATATGTGATTAATTTTCTGAAAAGCGTACAAGTTGCCGCCGTAGCTTGCAAGTTTTCTTTCCAAAGGCAATATTAATCACATTGGTTAAATTTCCCGCAATAAAATAATCGATGCGTTTCACGTTGAGACCTGAAGAGGATTAGAATAATGTCCCAACTGTTGTTAGTTGGCACAAACGTCAAAGATGCGCCAATACTGCCATTGTAGTTGGCTTTTAGACTTTCCAAGCTTCCATTTTAATCTTCTTCCTGGAAGAAACCTTAACTAAATGGAGATCAAGTCTGGTTTATCTGCTCTCGTCACTGGCGGCGGATCCGGGATCGGTAATCCCCGATAGTGTTTTTAGATTGTGGACTTTTCTGTGTTGGTAGGCTCTGAGTATATTTCGTCTGAGTCCATTGTTGTTGCGCTGTGTGTGTTTGTTCTTTAAGTGATTCTTAGTTTAAGTAGAAAAGGAATAGTTTAATTAGAAAAAAAAAATAAGTTTACCAAAGAAAAAAAAAGTTTAATTAGAAAAGGAATAATAAGAAAACGTGACTCTAAGTTAATAAGCTTTTTTTTACGATGTTCTTTTCTTTGTTTAAGTTAATGCAAACGTGGCGTCTCTTCCTTTTCTAATTAAACAAAGAAAAAAAGGTACAGTATTTGGCAAACTGGAAAGCTCTTTTTTTTTTTTTTCCTTTTTGATGTTTTACGAATATCGTAAGTATTACATCTACATATATGTATTATTAACTTATTTAATTCAGATCGTTTCCATATTCTAGAATAATATTGAAATCCTAGACAGATGGCCTATAAAACCCCTAGACCAGAAGAGCCTTTGCCCTATAGTATTTATCCAAGCTTGGAACCACCAACAAACACACGATCTTCGAAGTTCCAAACTCAACATGATTAGAAGAGGAGAAGATTCGGATTCCATCTGGAATGATCCTGAAAGACGAAAGATAATTATGGAGATCCTCTCGAGAGTACCAGCAAAGTCAATCGTGAGGTTCAGTTGCGTGTCGAAGCTATGGGCGTCCATAACTCTCAGTCCAGATCTCAGGAAGTTGTACATGAGCAGATTCCGCCTTCCAGAACATATGGCCACCAGAACAGAAGCGTAAACCCACGAGCACATCAACATCGTCTAAAGCTTAGGTGGAACAAGATCGTCATAACTCATACGTTTGAGAGAACTAATAAATTTGATTATCTCTTCGTCTTTTAGATGATAATGAATTTTTTCCTTATTGCTTCCCTAAGTCAGCTTGAAAGCTCTCTTTAGATACAATTTACCAGAATACTTATAACACAGAGACTAGCAATTTGGCTTACACATAATTTTATTTATTTTACGACACTTCTCATATACAGGTTTTGTGTAAACTTTATCTTTCTGTTGGCTTATCATGTTGTTCTTTCTGGTTACCAACTTACCATGTTCATCTCCTAATTGTGTTGTGTTACACTAGTTTTTTATATCCCACATTAATTATTTGTCAATTGTCATAAAACTCGTTTTACGTATTGTAATTAAAAATTCTCGGACTTCAAGTAAATAAAAGGTGATGTTCTTACCAAGAGAGTGAGCTTTCTTTGGCCGTGTGACACATCAAGATTCATACTTCTGCGTAGAAAATCTTGACAAGTTGCTACTTGTGGGGATCAGAGAAGGGCCAGAAGGCCAGGCTTTTGAAATATTTCTTTGACAAATTTGAGAGATCTAGAAGAATTTTTGCAAATGTTACATACTTTAAAAGGATAAACAAAGAAAGATTTGCTTCCTTTGAAGAAGGTACTTCCACTATCTGCCCATATTAGTAGCTGTTGGAAAAATAAATGATACACTTCCAAAAAAGTATATATTCATATACTCTACTTTCTTTCTTTTTGTCACTTTCCTTAAATTAAACCCAAAAATAAAGTTACGTGTCCAGTACCAATGCTACGTGTTCGTATGCAAAGAAACATAGGTTTTTTTCTCATTTAAAAAAAAAATATAAAAATAGTTAAAGAGTGAGTAAATAATATCAGAGACCAAAGTCACCAACCACCACTCTTCTTTCATTCTTCCACATTCCGATGGAATCTGAAATCGCCTCAGAGCATCTTCCCTTCCTCCGAATCTACAAAGACGGTCGTATCGAGCGACTCACCGGCACCGAAATCATCCCGGCGTCACTAGACGCAACTAACGACGTCGTTTCCAAAGACGTCGTGTACTCCCCGGAGCATAACCTCTCCGTCCGTCTCTTCCTCCCTCACAAATCCACAGAGCTCGCCGCCGGTGACACCAAAAAGCTTCCGTTACTCATCTACATCCATGGCGGAGCTTGGATCATCGAGTCTCCTTTCTCTCCCGTTTACCACAACTACCTCACGGAGATTGTGAAATCCGCCAACTGCGTGGCGGTTTCGATCCAGTACCGCCGTGCGCCGGAGGATCCGGTTCCGGCGGCGTACGAGGACTCGTGGTCCGCGATTCAGTGGATTTTCTCGCATTCCGGTGGATCTGGTCCCGAGGATTGGATCAACGAGTACGCCGATTTCGGTAGAGTTTTCATCGCCGGAGATAGCGCCGGAGGTAATATATCGCATCACATGGCGATGAGAGCCGGTAAGGAGAAGCTCGAGCCTAGAATCAAAGGGATCGCGGTTGTGCATCCAGCTTTCTGGGGAACAGATCCGGTCGACGAGCACGACGTGCAAGACAGAGATATGAGAAGCGGGATCGCCGACGTTTGGGAGAAGATCGCGAGCCCGAATAGCGTGAATGGCACCGACGATCCGTTGTTTAACGTGCTCGGATCCGAATCGGATTTTTCGGAGATGGGATGCGAGAAGGTTTTGGTGGCGGTGGCCGGGAAAGATGTGTTTGTGCGGCAAGGATTGGGTTACGCGGCGAAGCTGAAGAAGAGTGGGTGGGGAGGAGATGTGGAGGTGGTTGAGGAAGAAGAAGAAGGACATTGCTTTCATCTCTTAACTCCTGATTCTAAAAATGCTCCTAAATTCTTGAAGAAACTTGTGGAGTTTATAATCGGTTGAGGAATATTCTGTAAATGTTTCTTGATGATCAAAGTGTGATATTATGAGCAAATAAAGAGAAAATTGTCTAAGATAACCTGAAAAATTAACCACTATAACTAGGATAACCCATCAAGAATTATATTACCTGGATAACCTGTTTTCCTTCTTGTGTTTTAAAAAATTCTAAAGTTGCCCTTTTTATAAATGTCTATGAAAATGATTATTCCCCTTATTTTTTTTTCATAACTCCTATTATTTGAATTCGAAAATTCATTAATAACCTCAGTCATATTAAATGCTTTCCTAATTTATTTTCTTTTATATTTATTTATACAATACATAAACCCTAAAACGTCGTTTATGTTTTTTTTTATGTGTCGCCGGCACAACACTTAAACGAGTTGGGGTTTTGAAATTGGTTCATCTTCTTCGTCGAAGCCATTGTCGATTGCTCTCAGAAGGACTCGTAAGACTAATATCGTGATTCTCTCTTTCTCTTTCTCTTGTTGATAAAAATCATATTGAGCAAGTTCTCTCTTTATTCGATAGCTCCTCTCTATTCATTTGGTAATTGATAATCTTATGCATTGTAGGATGTCTAGTCAAACTAACGTCGATTTAGGATTTCCTTTGCGGTTGTATTCATTGGGTTGTCAGCCAAAAGCCAAAAGAAGCATCAACCACCACAGTAAAATCGAATTTTTAGAATCTGTTGAAAATGCTGTTGGAGAAGACGTTTGGAACAACATTCGTGGTTCTTCTTTGGGAGTAATTATAGAGTTCGTTGGGAATAATTTCACGTGGTCATCTAAGGTCGTCGAACATCTTCTTGTGAATCAACTTGTTTGCAAGAAAGAGCATGAGATTTGGTGCATGTTCGGTAATACACCAGCTCGTTTTTCTCTGTCTGAGTTTGAAGACATTACGACTTTAAATTGTGCACCTTTTCCCGAGAGCGATGGCGTTGTTGAAACCGAAGCGCTTAGAGGGTTGTGGAAAAAGATGAAAGTAAAGAGGAAGAGCCCTTGCAAGTTAGAGTTAAAAGGGGCATTGGAGGATGTTTTTGCTTGGTCAACTGAAGACAAAATTCGTTTTGCACTTTTGTCTATTTTAGCAACTATCATCATAGGAGATGATGAGAAAAAGGAGCTTCCTCTCGAGCTTGCTTGTATGGTTTTTGATTTGCCAAAGTTTGAGAAATATCCTTGGGGCAGAGAGGCTTTTAAGCGGTTGATTAAATCAGTGAAGCGTGTGAATTTGGAAGCGAATTCATACACAATAGATGGGTTTGTGCAAGTGCTTCAAGTGTGGGCTTACAAAGTTGTTCCTAGTCTTGGAGCAAAGATTGGTCGTCCATCAAATATTGACGGTCCTGCTATTCTGAAATTTAGAGGTTTAAAAGGAACAAGTAACACAAATATTCCTGACGTCTCAAATGCTGATGAGGTAATGTAGTAAGATTTTTGTCTGACGATGAATATATATATATATTTTTTTTTTCTGATAAATGTTCACTGCTGCACTTTTGCTTTGATTTGTAGAAAAACATCAAGAATATTGTTATCAACAATATGACAGCCGTTGTTTGGGATGGTGATCGTGTCGACGAGAAAATTGATGCTCTCATGCAAGCCATATGCAAAGAAGGAGGTTTAGGAGCTGTAACATGGGTGGCACATGGTTTAAACGACTATCAAAAGGAAGAGACCATGGAAGTAGTTTTGAGTGGGCATTCTCAAGAGGAGAAAGAGGACAGTGGTGGCAATATGACATCACGAAAACGCAGTTCGGAAGTGATGACTGCAGGAAAGAAGAAATTTAAGGAAATAGACATAAGTGCCACTTCTTCTACCAACTCTGCTGAATTACTGCACTTGAAAACTGAACTTGGACTGCAAACACAAAAGTTAGAGATGGTGGAGGCTAAAATAGAAGATATGGGAAAACAGATAAAGAGCTTTGAAGCTATGCATTCAAAGTACGAACTTTTGGAAAAGGAGGTGTTGATTCTGAGAGAGAAGTCAAAGAACAATGAGGTATTTCAACATACTCTTTAGGAATCTAAAATGGAACTCTATATGTTTTAACACTTGAAGACTTGTAAGCTGTAAATATGTAAGCTGTTCTTTGCAGATTTTGTCATTGGTAACATGTTTGTTCTTGGGTATGCAGAGCTTTGAAGGTATGCGGTCAAAGTTTGAACTTCTGGAAAATGAGGTGACAATGCTAAAAAAGAAGTCTGAGACTAAAAAGGTAGTTTGACTTACTCTTTATAAATCTTTATTTGCAGATTTTGTGTCCATGGATTACCATGTTTGTTACTGGATATATGCAGAGCTTTGAAATACCATACCTAAGAGATGAGGAGATGCCATTAGACGAATTGATGGCTAACATAAAGGACATAAGAGTGAAGGCGGTTGAATCAGATGGAGAGAGCACAATAGATGGAAGATTAGAGATGACCAATTTTCGGATAGAAAAGCCTCAGAAATCTTCGCCATTGAAAATAATTCAGCCAACTGCTTCTATTGTAGAAAAGTTTACGCAGAAAAAAGTTAATAAGACATTAAAGATCATGGGGGGAGATCACCATACTCAAACTGCCCGAGAGAAGAGTACAAGAGTGACCAAACCAGGGCCGGCTTTGCAAACACCGTTTCGGAATCCCGCGTTGCTTGTAGGTAATACAAAACAAGTTACCCATCCTTATGCGATGGCCAGACGTGGATACGATCCTTTCGCACCCGTGGATAGGCAGAAAGTTAAGAGTTTGGACGACTGGTCAAAGTTTGATGAGTAAGATAATCATTTCCTACTTTATATGGTGCTAATGATTACGTCTTGAGTTAGTCAATAAGCGTTATGCTTTCATGCAGGGAATATCCAATTGGTTCTCCAAACAATGGTGTAGGTTTTTATAAAGTTATTCGAACCCCTCAAGACTGGCTAAGTGAAGAGGTTGGTCTCGTATTTGATTTGTACTTTAACGTTATATCATTCTAACTTTAACGTTAATTAACCAGTCTAATGTAGCTTTTTGCTTTTGTTTTTTTAACAGCATATTAATAGAGCAATGGACTTGTTGCGTCTGAGGTTTATGAAGAATCCAAAAGAATTCAGAAGTGAGAGAATCACTTTTACGGATTCTTTTTTCCCTACAATGTGGACCAGTGGGTATGAGGAGTTCCTTGGATCGAAAGCCTTGCCTATTTTTCCTAATGGAGCGGAAGACTATTATTATGGTAAACAACCAACATTTGCAGCAACTGGGAAGAAGTGGAGGGCCGACGTAGATGATATCTATGGTGTTCTCCACCTCAACGGAAACCATTGGGTAGCGATTGCCATTTCTATTCCTACTGGCATGATTCATGTCTTTGATTCTGGGTTGAAATATACTACGAACGATCAGATCGTCAAAGCATTGAAGCCAATAGCTCATATGCTACCACATTTACTTCAAGCGGCAGCTCCACCATTGGAACGAGCGAAAATGAAACTAGAACAATTCAAAATTCGAAGGCCACGAAAAGGGATTCCTCAACAGCTCAAAGCAGGTGATTGCGGAATATATGCAATAAAATTTGTTGAATGTCATGCATTAGGCGTAGATTTCAACACGCCTATATCTGATGCAAATATAAAGATGGTTAGAGAGAAGCTAGCAGCTGAGTTATTTGACGAGACAGAGGAAAGAAGATGATCAGTTTCTAACCAATCCCGTTTGGAGCAAAGGATTACGAGCTATTAGATCCCCATTGAGTTCAGTTTCATTTACTTACTTATTAGTTGTGTTTTTTCAAGCAAGTGATATGGTAAACCCAAATTGTGCATGGGTACGAATCTGCTTTATTTCTTTAGAAGATTGGTTTTTTTTTCAAATAAAGTATTGCACAACTATCATATGCATATTTTTTTCTTGCGTTATTCTGATGTTGCACCAGCTAAAGAAAACACTCGACTTAGCTTGGACATCAATCAATCTCTAGTCGACTATAATATCGGGTGAGATGTGGTTACATGGTTCGTCATATAATAAGCACACCTCTTTCACTCCCCTAACACCTATAATGACAAGTGTCATTCCAGTTATCTACTTTCTTAACTAACAAGTAACGATTGTTGCTTGATCAAGAAAAAGTATTTAAAGTAAAAACCTCTCTACTCTTTTATAAATCTAAGTCTTTGGAACGTTATAAATTACCAAAAAACATATAGATCGATATCAAACACCTCTGCAGGTGGCACGATTATGTCCTGGTACCTTACATTGTGAACATGTGTATTGCTTACGCAATTTTGGGATCGTCTGTTCAGTAGACACATGTTCTGTTTTCATCTTTTTTAGTGGTGGCTGTTTCCTCATAGCCTTTTCGAGTGCAGAAAGATATCTTGACTTCTTTGGCCTACCAGCGCCACGTCTTTCCTTCGGGGGAAGACACTTTTTATTTGCTACATCCGCATTTGGTACCCACTCGACATCTTGTGGATCAACAGACTCAGCATATGCATTGTACGCATTACTCTTTGTGGTGTAAGGATGTACTAGAGGTTCCAATCTCATATTTCGTCTCTTCCCAGCAGCAGCAAGAGCATGCGCACAAGGTATCTTGTCTATATCGTAAACGCGACATGTACAAGTCATCTGCATGGAGTTAAAGACAAATGAATCAAATTAGTAATATAAAATAATACGATGAGAGAACATGCTAATATCACGTAATAATACGTAAAGGAGAATTTATATTCATACCTTTTGTAAATCGACAACACAAGGAAATGTACCGCCAGTGACATGGCTTCGATGAGCGTCAATGTGTTGTACAGTAAGAGTGTCGCCAATCGTGGATCTCTTTGTCAATATACGTTCCACTTTTGGTGTGAAAAAAGTTTGTAGCGATAAAGCTTGTTCCCGTCGATTCATAAACCACCGGGTGACCAGCTTCCGCAATTCCTCTAATAAATAAGCAACTGGGTACCCGCGAGCAATTTTAAGAACACTATTGACAGATTCAGCAATGTTGCTTGTCATTATGTCGTACCTATCTCCTTGAAAATTTGCGCGAGACCACAAACAGACATTAGCTTTTTCCAGATATCTTGCAATAGCAAGGTTTTGTCCTCGAATATCGTTAAATATCGCAACAAACTCTGAAATCCGGTAAACCCTATAAGCTTCTTTGACCAACTTTAAGGTATCACTCTCTTTGAACCTCTTGACGAGATTCTGATGAAGATGGTAGGTGCACATACCTGGATGAGCTAATGGGAACACTTTCCTTATAGATTTTCTTAAAGCTTTGTGTCTATCAGAAATGATCACCAACTCTTGTTGGTTACCACATATTAAACGCAACTGAGTTAAGAACCATTCCCAAGCAGGAAAATCTTCCACATCTACAACCCCAAATGCTAGAGGAAAAATCTCACCGTTTCCGTCTTGAGAAGCGGCTACTAGCAAAACACCTTCATATTTTCCTTTCAAATGAGTCCCATCAACCACAACCACATTTCTTATATACTGAAAACCACTAATACATGCACCAAATGCAATGAACAAGTATTTAAATCTGTCTTGCTCATCACACTCAAGTTTTGTAATTGTACCTGGATTTGCTGCCTTAATCTTATGGAGATACATTGGCAAATCCGCATACCCACTCTCCCATGTACCTTTTTCTAACGCACTTGCATGCACTAATGCTTTGTATGCTTTCCAGTAATCAATATCAACACCGTACATACCTTTCATGGCATCCATGATGTGCATAGGTCTAATCCCGACACCAACTTTCCCAAATTTCCCCAAATACAACTCTCCAATACATTTTGACGTAGCTTGTCGATGACGAGAACGCCTATCCAAAACAGAACAAGTATGAAAGTCTATGTACTTTCGCACCTTAAACTCCGAGGATGATTTAATCGCTGATGCACGAATCTTCCATGAACATCCAGCGACAAAACATTTAAGTACCAGCAGAGTTTTCGTTGACTTGTAAGTTGTATAATCAAAATTCTGAAAGATTGTGATCACACGCAGCTTACGTTGTAACTCTGCTTTGGAACCATATATTTGCCCGACGCTAACACGCTCTAAAAGCTGCAAAATATTTGTGGTGCCTTCTATTTCTCCAATTACTTTCTCCTCGGTCTCCTCATGGAAAGACATATCTGAAAGTGATTCGAAACCACTATCATCAGAAGTAGAACTCTTTTCATCTTCATCGGTTTCATCAAAAGTACCACTTTGGACCTCATCTTCACGATATAGATAGGGTGTACCACTTTGTCCCTCGTTTTCACTAAATCCATCAAGAGTCCCACTTTTTTCCTCATCTTCACCATCCCCATCAAGAGTACCACTTTTTTCTTCATCTTCACCATCTCCATCAAGAGTTCCACTTTTTTCTTCATCTTCAGTTGTTCCATCAATGGTGCCACTAGTTTCCTCAACTTCATCAAATTCCTGAAAAAAATGAGATAACAAAAATGAATCAAAGATAACATTGTACGTAGAACATACACACTTCAATCCTATCATGCATATATAATATATAGGAGACTATATTTTGTTTGCTTTCATTTGGGAGACTTACAAAACATCTCCGAATTTTTCGCAGATTTGAGTTACGTCTACTAGTTTCCGCATACATGAATGATGTCTATGAATTTTCACAGACTAGAGTTACGTCTACGAGTTTTCGCAGACTTGAGTTACGTCTACGAGTTTTCGCAGACATGAGTTACGTCTACGAATCTTCACAGACTAGAGTTACGTCTACATGTTTTCGCAGATTTGAGTTACGTCTACAAGTAAACTTAGAGTTATCTCTACAAGTTTTCACACACTAGAGTTACATCTACAGGCTTTTGCAGACTTTAGTTTTACGGAGACTTACTTTATGGTTATGTCTACAGTTTTTCAGAGACTTGTGTAATGTCTACTAGTTTTTTACAGATTCACGTAATATCTACAATTGTTTGCAGACTTGCATGATGTCTACAGATTCACGTAGACTTACATAATGTCTACGATTATTTTTTTGCAGAGTTGTGTAAAGTATTCGTGTTTTCGTAGACTCGTGTTATGTGTACGTAGTTTTTTGTGGACTCACAAAATGTCTACTAGTTTTTCGCAGATTTACGTAATATCTACAATCTTTTGTAGACTTGTGCATTGTATCGATTAGTTTTGTACCAGACTTGTGTTATGTCTACGGATTTTTCATGAGTTTCAGAAATGTCTACTAGTTATACGTAGACTTACGTAATGTCTACGATTTTTTTTGCAGAGTTATGTAATGTCGTCGTGTTTTTCGTAGACTCGTGTTATGTCTGCAAGGCTATTTGCAGACTCACAAAAATGTCTACTAGTTTTTCGCAGATTTCTGTAATATCTACGATCTTTTGCAGACTTGTGTTATGGGTAGGTAGTTTTGTTGCAGACATGCATTATGTCTACGGATTTTTCATGAGTTCTAGAAATGTCTACTAGTTATATGTAGACTTACTTAATGTCTACGAATTGTTTTGCAGAGTTGTGTAATGTTTTCGTGTTTTTGTAGACTCGTGATATGTCTACGGAGTTTTTGGTAGACTCACAAAATGTCTACTAATATTTTGCAAATTTACGTAATGTCTACAATCTTTTGCAGATTTGTGTATTGTCTCTAGTTTATAGCAGTTGGATTACGCAAGTCTACTAAGTATTCACAGACTAAATACAAGTATCTCTTTAATAAAACTCGTAGATTTGTGGTAGACTCTCACTTCGTTTTCTTAAAAGCAAAAAATTGAATACCTGGATATCAATGAACGTTGGATCCTGAAAACTGAAGGTGTGATTTTCTTTTTGTTTTTCCATGGCTTTTAAGTTGTAAAGCAAATAGATCTACAGAACAAAAACAATATTAGGAAGAGAACACAGAAAACTTAATTTATCTAACTGTCATACTCAAGCTTTTCATAAAAAAACAAAAAGAAAAAAGAAGATATATTACCTATTTCTGAACTATGACAAGAAAAATATAGAGAACTATGCATGATGGGTTTGAACAAAATTCAAGATCATTTCGTTTTGAATATTATAGAGTTGAAAAAAGCAGTGGATCGTGGAGAAAGAAGATGAATGATGTCTCAATGGTTTTTTCAAATAAAGATTTCCTTTTTTTAAAACAAACGGTTTCCTTTTCCAAAATACCAAACGATGTGTATTTAATTTTGGTTTCATTACACTTGATTTTATTTCCTTTTTTAAAAAATATGTATTCAATTTTTTTTAAAATAATTGTGTCCACATTAAAATGGCAAATAGATTATTTTCGAAAGGATAACTTTGGAAAAAAGACTTCAGAAAATCTGAGAGAATCTTAGTAGGTTATGTTGGCTATTTAAATTTTTTAGTGGGTTATTTTGGCAAATTCCCCGCAAATAAAATTTGAAATTTGATTTGATTTATGTAATACATGTGTTTAAGAATCCCAATAAACTATTCCTACTTGGATTTTGTCGAGACTCGTGCTAGTAAGGATTGATCGGTCCAACGACATTAGTAACGTAACGTTTTGCTCGAAACTTTCAAAAGAATTTTTCTCTAATGTTTTTTTGTTTGTTTCGTTTTTCACAAACCAATCTTCGTATCTCTAATCAGAATACCACTTTGAAATGAATCAAAGGACCAAAATATTTAGAACATAACGTATCAAACACCTCTCTACTCACCTCTCTAATGTTTTTTTGTTTTGTTTTTCACAAGCCATTCTTCTCTACTCTAGTACAACTTTATCAATTTCAGGAATCAAAATACCCTAAACTGAAATTGCCAAATGGAAAAAGTTAAAATTAAATAGGAAGCATGACATTGCTTTCATCTCTTAACTCCAGATTCTGAGAATGCTCCTAAATTCTTGAAGAAAGTTGTGGAGTTTATAATCGGTTGAGGAATATTCTGTAAATGTTCTTGATGATAAAAGTGTGATATTATGAGAAAATAAAATTTGAAATTTGATTTGGTTTATGTGATACATGGATTTGCTTGAGGCTCGAGCTAGTATTGATTGACAAACCGTCTGTATAAGAAAATTAATTTGATCGATCCAACGACGTTAGTAACGTAACGTTTGCTCGAAACTCTAATAAGAATCATTCTCTAATATTTTTGTTTTGTAACTTTTGTTTGTTTTGTTTTTCACAAATCAATGTCCGTACCTCTAAATCTCTAATCAAACTACTACTTTATCAATTTCGAGCATTAAAAAATATTAGAAATGAATCAAAGGACCTAAAGAATTAGAACTTGACACACCAAACACATCTCTACTCAACCTGTTGAAGAATCCCAAAGGTGGGAAGAGACCACAATTAAGCACTGATTCTCTTAAATAAACACATCGCACACATTCACTACTCAGGTTAATTTTATTGAAAAACAAATTTTCAATAGTAGCATTTACATTATGATCTGTTTGACATTCTACTTTAATTATCACTATAGATTTATAAAGAAACACTATCCCTTATGGCTATTTGAAGATATTTTCCTTATAGATGAGATTTTAATCCGTACAGTTTTTTTCATCCTTCTTTAGAGATAATAAGTATATTGATATTTTACCAATTAAACTTTATACATGTGTTTACTATAAATTGTGATGTCTTCACACTAGATTTTACAAGTGACTTACAATACCATCAACTCCTTTTTTCTTTCGTATCCATCTCGTTTCATTAGTTACCAACAAAAAACATGAAGAGTTCTATCCATTCAATCTCTTCATTTTTCTTATTAATCATACTACTTGCTGCACCAGGTATGCAAATATTTGTTTTCACAATATTAAATAGTTATGAACAAATATATATTTAAATACATGTTATATGCTTTTTCTCTTTTTCAATTTTAATAGGTTGTCTTTTATGCATCTATAAATTATTTTAATTTTGGATGATATTGTAAGAAAATGCATGTGTTGTAATGACAAAAAATATGTCTTTAATAAATTTCTTTGCTCATTGTTATATTATAAGATATGAAGATGATTGAAGGACAAGAAATGTGCCAAACGCCAAGTACAAACTTCAGATGGATGTGTTTGAAATGGAGAAATTGCAAGTATGTATGTATGAGCGAGGGTTTTCCTGACGGTCAATGTGAAGGATTCATCTTCCGAAAATGTATTTGTATAAAACCTTGTTTTCTTTCTGTTTAATTTTTTTTATGTCTCTACACATTGATATTAAATTTAAAATAATAAAAAAGTTCATTAGAGATACACACAATTTTTTTTTGAATTAGTCATGTTTATGCAATGAATTATGTTTTAATAAATAAAATTTTTTATGTATGGATTGCTTGAGCTAGTTTATTGACTAACAAAATGTCTGACTATATGGAGTTATATATATGATCCAACGACATTAGCAATGTAACGTGTGCAAGAATCTCTATCGTGTATCTCTAATGTTTTGTTGTTTCTTTTTTCACAAGCCAATTTTTTCTACTTTAAGTACAACTTTATCAATTTCATGAATCAAAATACCCTAACCTGGAATTGCAAAATGGAAAAAAAAAAATTAAATAGGAAGCAAAAAAAAAAAATGAATAACGCACCAAACACCTCTCTTCGAGAGTTCTGGTTCAATTTTTCTTTGGATAAGGTACTCTCGAGTCTCGAAAATCGGTAAAAAAAAATTGGAATCGGAATATATTGAAATAAAATACATATTTTGCAACATTTTCGACATTTCCAATAATCGCCGGGAAATATATTCCGGTAGCCATGCTCCGAAGAATCACGTTTTCCTCTTCACTTCGTTCACCTTCTCTCTTCTTCCGCTTCTTTCGCCATCTCCCTCGCTCTAACTTTTCACTGTCATCGTCCCCGACCACCGTCGGCATCTCCGGCAGCAACCTTCGCCGACTTTCTACTCCGATCACACTTCGCTGTATATGTTCACACTCTTCATCTGAAATCGCCTCCGAGCATCCACCGTTCGTCCGAATCTACAAGGACGGTCGTGTCGAGCGTCTTTCCGGCACCGAAATCATCCCGGCGTCTCTAACCCCACAAAACGGCGTCATTTCCAAAGACGTTGTATACTCGCCGGAGCATAACCTCTCTGTTCGTCTCTTCCTCCCTCAAAAAGCCACAGAACTCCCCGCCGGTAGCAAAATCCCGCTACTTGTCTATATCCACGGCGGAGCTTGGATCATCGGATCCCCATTCGAATCGATCTACCACAGTTTCCTCACGGAGGTCGTGAAATCCGCGAATTGCTTGGCGGTGTCGATTCAGTACCGCCGCGCGCCTGAGGATCCGATTCCGGCGGCGTATGAGGATTCGTGGTCCGCAATTCAGTGGATTTTCTCACATTCCGATGGATCTGGATCCGTAGACTGGATTAACAAATACGCCGATTTCGACAGAGTTTTTCTCGCCGGAGACAGCGCCGGAGCCAATATGTCGCATCACATGGCCATTAGAGCTGGAAAGGAGAAGCTCAAACCTAGAATCAAAGGCACTGCAATTGTTCATCCAGCTTTCTGGGGAAAAGATCCGGTCGACGAGCTCGATTTGCAAGATAAGGAGAAGAGGAGCCGAATTGCAGAAGTTTGGGAAAAACTCGCGAGCCCGAATAGCGTCGATGGGACGGATGATCCGTGGTTTAATGTAGTCGGATCCGGGTCGGATTTTTCGGAAATGGGATGTGAAAAGGTTTTAGTTGCGGTGGCCGGAAAAGATGTGTTTGTGCGGCAAGGATTGGGTTACGCGGAGAAGCTGAAGAAGAGTGGATGGGAAGGAGAAGTGGAGGTGGTTGAGGACGAAGATGAAGATCATTGCTTTCATCTCTTGAATTCTGATTCTGAAAATGCTCCTAAATTCATGAAGAAATTTGTGGACTTTATCTCCGGTTGAAAGATGATCTTAAATTGTTTTTCTTTTTTAGGTTCAAGACTTCAGAGTATGTGATAGCGAATAAATTTGTATGTCTTCTCTTTCTTCTTAGCTACATTGGTGTTTCACTAATCAAGTGTTATTCGTTTTAGAACATTACGCACCAAAACACCTCTCTACTCAAACTATTGAAGAATCCCAAAAGGCGGGAAGAGATGACCACAATTAAGCTCTGATTCTTCTAAAACAAACACATTGAATTCACTAGTAATAAAGGACGTATAAACATTCATCAGCTCTTAAATCCTTGAGAAACACAAAGGTGGGAAGATATATAATTGAATGCTAGACAAATTTATTAATTTTGATTTCTTTCACTTGTACTACTACAGTACTACTGTACTATGGATTTATGAAGAAACACAACCCCCATATAATTTTTGTAGATATTTTCCTTAAACATACGATTTTAATCATACATTTTTATTGTTCTTTATAGATAGTAATAAGTACACTGATATTTTACCAATTAAGCTTTATATATGTGTTTGCTATAAAATGTGATATTCTAACACTAATTTTTACAAGCGACTTGCAATATCACCAACTCTTTTTTTTCTCTCTTTAAATATTTGTTAGCCACCAACAAACAAAAAGAAACATGAAGAATTTGACGCAGTTAATCTCTATATTTTTCTTGTTAATCATACTACTCGCTGCACCAGGTATGCAAACATTTGTTTTCACAATATTACATAGTAATGATTATATTAAAATACATGTTTTATGGTTTTTCTATTTTTCAATTTTAATAGGTTGGCTTTTATGCATCTATAAATTATTTTAGTTTTGGATGATATTGTAAGAAAATGCATTTGTTATAGTGACAAAAAAATATGTTTTTATTAACTTTCTTTGCTCGTTGTTATATTATAAGATATGAAGATGGTTGAAGGACAAGAGATGTGCGAAACGCCAAGCACAAATTTTAGATGGATGTGTTTGAAATGGAGAAATTGCAAGTATGTATATATGAGCAAGGGTTTTTCCGACGGTCAGTGTGCAGGATTCATCTTCCGAAAATGTATTTGTATAAAGCCTTGTTTTCTTTCTGTTTAATTTTTTTTTATGTCTTTACACATTGATATTAAATTTAAAATAATAAAACAATTCATTAAAGATACACACAAATTGTTGGAAATGGTTCTGTTTATGCAATGTATTATGTTTAAAGAAATAAATTTATGTATGCATGGCATGGATTGCTTGAGCTAGTATTGATTGACAAACTGTCTGCCTATATGGAGTTATATGATCCAACGACATTAGGAATGTAACGTGTGCTAGGAACTCTAATAAGAATCTCTATCGTCTTTCTCTAATGTTTTAATGTTTTGTTTTTTCACAAACCAATCTTCTCTACTCTAAGTACAACTTTATCAATTTCAGGAATCAAAATGAAGTTATAAAAAAAAACAATACCTAACCTGGAATTGCAAAATGGAAAATAAAATAAAATTAATTACGATGGCAATACTTCCCTTTCTCTTTATTCACTCATAAATAAATAACGCACCAAACACTTCTCTTTCGACAGGTTCAAATTCAAACACCAAACCAAACTTTTTGTCGGCATCTCCTGCCGCAACCTTCGCCGTCTATCTACTCCGACTATGTCTTCACACTCTTCCTCTGAAATCGCCTCCGAGCATCCTCCGTACGCCCGAATCTACAAAGACGGTCGTGTCGAGCGTATGTTCCGCACCGACATAATCCCCGCGTCTTTAACTCCCCAAAACGGTGTCGTTTCTAAAGACGTTGTATACTCGCCGGAGCACAACCTCTCTGTTCGTCTCTTCCTCCCTCAAAATGCCACAGAAATCCCCGCCGGTAAGAAAATCCCGCTACTTGTCTATATCCACGGCGGAGCTTGGATCATGGGATCCCCTTTCGCTCCCATCTACCACAATCTCCTCTCCGAAGTCGTCAAGTCCGCGAATTGCTTGGCGGTGTCGATTCAGTACCGCCGTGCCCCTGAGGATCCGATTCCGGCGGCGTATGAGGATTCATGGTCCGCGATTCAGTGGATTTTCTCCCATTCCGATGGATCTGGCGGTCCTGTAGATTGGATTAACAAATACGCCGATTTCGACAGAGTTTTTCTCGCCGGAGACAGCGCCGGCGCAAATATGTCGCATCACATGGCGATGAGAGCTGGAAAGGAGAAGCTCGAGCCTAGGATCAAAGGGATCGCGATGGTTCATCCAGCTTTCTGGGGAAAAGATCCGATCGACGAGCTCGATTTGCAAGATAAGGAGAAGAGGAGACAAATTACAGAACTTTGGGAAAAACTCGCGAGCCCGAATAGCGTCGATGGAACGGATGATCCGTTGTTTAATGTAGTCGGATCCGGGTCGGATTTTTCTGAGATGGGATGCGAGAAGGTTTTAGTTGCGGTTGCCGGAAAAGATGTGTTTGTGCGGCAAGGTTTGGGTTACGCGGAGAAGCTGAAAAAGAGTGGATGGAAAGGAGAAGTGGAAGTGGTTGAGGACGAAGATGAAGATCATTGCTTTCATCTCTGGACTCCTGATTCTGAAAATGCTCCTAAATTGATGAAGAAATTTGTGGACTTTATCTCCGGTTGAAAGATTATCCTAAATTGTTGTTTTTTTTTATGTTCAAGAGTTCAGAGTATCTGATAAAGTGTGATAATTTTGTGGACTTTTATGTTTAATAAGTTTGTATGTCTTCTGTTTCTTCTTAGCTACATTGTTGTTTAAATAATCAAGTGTGATTTGTTTTAGACCAAATTAATTAGAACATAACGCACCAAACACCTCTCTATTCAAACTGTCTGACTATATGGAGTTTTATGATCCAACAACATTAGCAATGTGCCAATGTAACGTGTGCTAGGAACTCAGATAAGAATCTCCATCGCCTTTCTCTAATGTTTTTTTTTGTTTTGTTTTTCACAAGCCCATCTTCTCTACTCTAGTACAACTTTATCAATTTCAGGAATCAAAATACCCTAAACTGGAATATGTCTTTATTAACTTTTTTAGATGGATGTGCTTGATACGGAGTCATTGCAACCAAGTATGTAGAACCTAAGGTTTTTTCGATGGTCGATGCCAAGGATTTTTTAACCGAAGATGTATTTGTAGGAAGCCTTATATTCTTTCTGTTTAAGTTAATATGTCTCTATACATCGATTTTTAATTTAAAATAATAAAACAATTCATTAAGATTAAGATCATTGCTTCCATCCTTAAATCCTAATTCTGAAAATGCTCCCAAATTCGTAAAGAAATTGGTGGACTTTATCACGGTTGAAAGATTATCTCAAATTGTTTTTTTCATGTTCAAGATTATAACGAATAGATTTGTATGTTTTCATTTTTTTTTAAGACCCAACAAGTTTACTGTTCAATCGTCAGACTCCATCTTTAACCTACTAGCTGCAAACTATTTTTCCAGGAATCGTTCATGTTTTGTTGGTGAATATGAACATTTCGATTTGGTAGCATTTGCAACACTACATCCTTCACGTTTCTGTTGAGACAATTAGACATTTGCGGAAAGCTATCGATCCAATTTAAGAGTACTTCATTTTGCGTCTTACAAATGTACCAAGTCAATGAGTCATCCACGGAAAAGACATGAACCTTATCTTCTTGTTCCGAATTTGAATTCGTTATAACTTATAAGCAACAAAATGTGAGTTTCAGTTACTATTGATAAATTTTATAAAATTATAAGCATATCAAATTGTGTTTCTTACCAGTTTTTTTTTTTTTTTCTTTTTCTTTCAATTAACATGGCATCAAGTGCAAATAAAATGGCAAGCGCACATATATGGTAAAATATATCGTAACATCACAATTCACAAATGGCATGTTTTCTTAATTTGTTTCTTATAACCAATTCAAAGCTATCAATCCAATTTAATAGTACTTTCATTTTGCATATTACAAATGTACCGAGTCATCCACGGAAAAGACAAGAACCTTCTCTTCTTGTTCCGAATTTGAATTGGTTATAAGAAACAAAATATGAGTTTGCCTTGGGTTACTATCGGTAAAGTGCATAAAATAATATGCATATCAAATTGTGTCTTACCAGTTCTTGTTTTTCACTAAATAGTAAATACCATGGCATCCAGTAAAAATAAAATAGCTAGTGCAAGTCAGTAAATAAATATACCAAATACGCGATAAGTATATCGTAACGTCACAAATGGCATGTTTTCTTAATTTGCATGAAACTCGAGTGGAATAGTTTTATACCTAATCATACCCTGATCATACCAAAATCATATACCTAATTATAAACAGAGTCATATATCTAATCAATGAGAACCGTAGTATTGTTTGAATTAGTCAGTGCATATACCCTATATTGAATAATTCTGACAAAATGAGACTTGTGGTCAGAATTTTGATTCACCAGTCACATAATTTCTTTACAAATACGTTCGGTTCATATACGTATGTTACCTAACATAACAGAGAATATATACCACAAAAGCAAAATAGTCACTGAAAAATAATAATTATGTTTATCCGTAATAGTCTAATATAGATGGATAGTTTTATTGTGCTACCTCCTATCGTGTACGTGAAACATGTCCAGATGAGTTGAACATTGTTATACATCATGTCACCATCCAATTTGCCATAATGCTCATATTTTTATCACAATGGTCGATCTTCCGATGACAAGTATCTTGTCCGCTATTTGTAAAATATGACACTTGCGTTAGTTGCTTGCTGCGGACGTAGCCCTGCTTTTCCCACGTATTACATGTTAGATTGAACGTGTAAAGTCAATCAACAATATCCAGATATGGAAAAAATACTTCTTTATAAGATATGCCATTTCATTTTTTTTTAAACTGATAATTTTTTAGCATAAATATGAACATATAAATAAAACCAAAGCCAATCCTCTATATATTAGATTGTAAATCTGACAGTAATTATTATTTTTCAAGTGAAGGATATTTATATACGTCAATATATGTATAAATTAACTTTCTTTTAAATGTGTAAGCTTTAAATAATTGGAGATCTTTTAAATTCAAACTAATCCCAAAAATGCTGGTTATTTATTACCGTATCTTCACAATGTCAAATGTAATTAGTCACCATTAATATATATATATATATATATATATATATATATATATGGACCATTTTTTTCCAATTGGATGAAACAGTATTTATGTATCCTGATTGGCTATTAACTTGTTTTTATTTTGTTTTTTTTGTAGTAAAAATCTCACACAAACCACTCTTCAATTTGTTTCTTCAAAGAAAAAAACAAACATGGAATCAGATCTTACCATAGAGCCTCTCCCATTCATCGGAACTCTCAAGAACGGCAGTACTGTGGAAAGCCTTAGGAGCAACGAAGTCGTCCCGGCTTCACTAGACCTAAGAAACAACGTCGTTTCAAAAGACGTCGTGTACTCACCGGAGCTTAACCTCTCCGTTCGTCTCTTTCTCCCTCATAAGAAATCCACAGAACTCGCCGCCGGTGAAAAGCTACCACTACTTATCTACTTCCATGGCGGAGCTTACATCATGGGGTCCCCTTTCTCTCCTGTTTCCCACAACTACCTCACGGAGGTTGTCAAAGCCTCCAACTGCCTCGCCGTGTCTGTTCAGTACCGCCTTGCGCCGGAGCATCCGATCCCGGCGGCGTATGAGGATTCATGGTCCGCGATCCAATGGATATTTACACATTCCGATGGTTTTGGTGAAGATGCTTGGATTAACGAACACGCCGACTTCGACAGAGCTTTTCTCGCCGGAGATAGCGCCGGCGCTAACATATGTCATCACATGGCGATTAGAGCCGGTGAGGAGAAACTAAACCCTAGATTCAAAGGAGTTGCTATGGTGCATCCAGGTTTCTGGGGGAAAGATCCGATCGACGAGAAAGATGTGCAAGACGATGGAATCCGAAGCGGAATCGCAGAGGTTTGGGAGACACTCGCAAGTCCCAATAGCGTCGATGGAGTGAATGATCCGTGGCTTAACGTAGTCGGTTCCGGGTCGGATATATCCGGTTTGGGATGCGAGACGGTTTTGCTTGCGGTGGCTGGGAAAGATGTGTTTGGTCGGCAAGGATTGGCTTATGCGGAGAAGCTGGAGAAGAATGGGTGGAGAGGAGATTTGAAAGTGGTAGAGGAAGAAGATGAAGGACATTGCTTCCATCTCCGTAACCCTAATTCTGAAAATGCTTCGAAACTGATGAAGGCATTTGTGGAGTTTATCATCCACCGTTGAAAAGTATGTTGTGTTTTCTTGTTGCTCAAGTTATGGAAATCAGGTGAAATATATATGTAACTCTGTTGCCATGTTAAACCTGCCAAGCTAATGCAATTATAAGTTTTAAGTAACTTCACCTCCACGTTATCAGGTGTTGTAAATTTTTTTTTGCCTGAAAAAAACCAGGCGTTGTTTATCATTCCAAAAGATTGTATCGACAATGTTCCCAATGAAACCTGATCAAATTCCCAACATGTCTCCACTCGGATCACAAGCCAACGTTACTTAGGATTGACGTACAATAAATGTGAACTAAACATATATATACATTAGGAAACATCCAGTTTCTATCGATGTGGGACCTTTTGTTGCTATATAAGTATATTTATCTCACTAAAAATATCAATTTCCGTTTATTTATCTAATTTCTCTATCAATTCCTAGTCTTCGGGTTCTAATCAGTCTTCACCATAGAAGATATTCCGGTAGCCAACGATCACTCAAGATCAGGTCCCGTTTTATTGGTCCTCAAGAAATAGAGTACAAGTTGTAACTTTTTTGCCTCATGTTTTCTTAGCAAGTTGTTGCTAAATTTCTAGTTATATACGTCTTTGTGTTCAGAATATTATCTGTTTAGTTTTGACTGTCATGCTCTCCAACACTGAGCTCACTTTAGCACAGGTACTCATCAAAAAGCAACGATTTCGAGGTTTATGGACAAAACTGATTTCAGGAGGCAAAAGCGATCAAAAAGCAACGATTTCAATGTGAAGTTATTCCAATTTTTCCATTGAAATCGAATCAATATCCCTACACGATATTATTGTAGAATATAAAGTTCAACAATTAGTTAAAGTTGTTTACTCTTTCAGGTGGAATTGCCACCACCAGCTAGCTTAACTTGTATCTCTCCAAATTAACTACATAATAGTCGCTGTAAGTGGTGGAAATTGGATTAGTAATAATTGATGCAGGAAGGCTTCCACTACAAGGCAGACGTCAAACAATTTTCTACCAAAAGTAATCATCTAACATTCTAACCGCTTAAACCTCAGAGATATGTACTTGTATCTCAAGATAACCACGAAGATGTATTTTATATCGGAAGACAATGTAAAAGAACATTAAAACCTAGAAAAGAAGTCCATGTCGTTACTTGGATGAAAAGTTAAGTAAATACAAAGTTACAAACCTAGAATTAGAGAGAATAAAGAGATCAGTTAAGATTTGACAAAAAAAAAAAAAAAAAAGAGATCAGTTAAGATATTTAAAATGATAGCTAGCAGATTCAGGCTTTTAGTATTATTGGTTAGTTAGGTCAAGTGAATTTATTAACAGTAATATTATTATAAAAAGATGATGGTCCAGTTGAATTCGGCTGTATTGGACCATAGGGGGCTCTGAAGGAATGTACAGCTTTGTATTCCTTCCATGTCAAGAGCGGGAGAGTAAGCACCTCTGCTGCCCCCTGGGCAGGTCAATAGACCCACCAGAGCCCTTCAAAGAAGCAACTCCCGACTTGCTAGGCCATGACCCAATGAAGACGATCCAACTTTCCATCATCCCTAGGGAACACCCTATAGTCTCCACTTGGATCACAAACCCACGTTACTGAGCCCGACGTACAATAAAGGTGAACTGAATATATATATACAACAAGAAACATATTGTTTCTTCCAATGTGGGACTTTTTTGGTGACTATGAATTAAAGCCCTAGTAGTCTGGGTCATCGTCAACGACCGCCCTCAGTATCTAATCCCGCAGCTGCTGGAAGAGTAGACAGCTCCGCCGCGGCTTAAGGTTTCAGTGGGCAGTTCTCTCGTTAGTGACGGTTGTGTTTAGTTATGTTACTGTATTCCACGTATGTTCTCTTACAGAGAATTTTCCAATTGAAGTAAAACCTAATCTGCGTTCGTTACATGTGGCTAAGAACAATTTCGTGTGTGCATTTGTGTAAATTGTGAAGACTGAAGACAGGGTCTCCAATTTAGGATATATGTGAACCATTTCTCCTCATACGTTCCTTGTATATATATTTTGGTCAAACATTAGTGTCATTTGTACGCATTTCTGATGAGTGGTTTTATCTGTTGTGAGAGTAAAAAATGTAGGTCAAGATGAGGCTGAGAAGGATTTTGAAGAATTCATCACAAGCGTGTAAATCGAAGGCTGTTCTCTTCAAACATAGCAAAAAACGGTTGCTTTTAGTCATGTCAAGCCCTTTCTAATTTCAGTGTGAAATTATTCCAATCTCCAATGAAATCACTTGTCCAGTTACCACTTTCCACTCAAAGTCTCATGTCTCCGCTTGGATCAGAAGTTCACGTTAAAGCATGGGTTGCTTTAGGACCTGAGATGAGAGAAACGGAGAATAGAAATGAAGGTTTGAACAAATGTAGTGCCCTAGCAAAAAATGAGTGATTAAAAAAACTGTTCGACACGGACGTTTTAATAAAGCGATCGCCAGCAAAAATAAAGCTTTAACGAGTCCTAATTATATAGGTACGTTTTAAAATTGATCGAAGGATTTTTTCGATTTCACAATTCCAATGAAACCGATGACGTATTACATGTCTCCACTAGGATAACAAGCTCACGTTACTGAGCTCGACGTACAATATGTGTAAACTAAACATATATATACAACAGGGTCAACATGCTTTCTTTCGATGTGGGACTTTTTCTGGCTATATGTATCAACTATCAAGTTGCTGGCGTTGTTCTCCGTAAGTGTAAGTAAGTAAACACGAATTTTTCAAACGAGCTTGTTAATAGCCTAAAACTGTAACTCTCCAATATTATAATGATAGATTAATAGCCGCTGTAAATAGTTTAGATAATAGCTTTGTTCGAAAGTGGTTTATCACGGATCACAAAGGATTATTTATGCTTCTGAATTCGGATATTAAGTCATATCAACCCCATATTCTGTGATTGATTTTGTATTCATTGTACAGTTAACTCTGGTTGGGTAAGTTTAGGAAGTTAGATATTCTCCTTCTGCTATACAACTCTGTAAAGCAATGATGTTAATATCAATCAGAAATCTTCTTAATTGACAGTCAACCATTACTAAAGATTTGCCTAAGTTGGGATAGTTAATGTAGAGTTTTCTAGGTGATAGATCAGCTCCCGTTTTTCTTGGTCCTCAAGAAATAGAGTACAAGTTTTAACTTTTTGAAAACTGGTGCTATATTCTAGTAGATACATCTAGTGTCTCCTGATTCCTTTTGCTTCACCAAAAAGCAAAAATGTGATCTCATAAATGTGTGCATGTGTCTTTGTAATATCTCTTTTGTCTCCTTTATTTTTTTTGGTAAAATTGTCTCCTTTCTTTTTCTCTCTTTAAGCAGAAACTCTCACGTATGTGTTACTTCTCACCGTTTGTGAGGCATCTTGATTATCAAAACCTTGCTATATGAGTTTTGACGTGCTAAAAGACCTTTTTAACCTAGTATGGCTTTACGTCTTTAACCTGGTACTGAAAGTATACTACAATAACGAAAGCATGATCTCTTATAAGTAATTTAGAACTATTTGGCTATTAATGATGTACGATATTTTGATGTTCAAGCGGAGAGATACTACCAGTCTTTTGCGATTAAAGCCTACCGATAGACTAACTCATATCCAGACTATAACTAAAAACTAAACAATGCCCAAACAAGCCTATAAAACAAACTAAAGACTGAGCCAAATTACTCGAAGACGCAAGAAAAAAACTAAAAACTAAACAAGAGGTACCTAACATATTCAAGTTAGTATTATTGGTTAGTCACCCGAAAATTATATACAAAAACATAAAAAGATGATGGTCCAGTTGAATGTACGGGAGAGTAAGCCATCGGGTGGCAACTCCACCGGATCAGGATGGCAATCCCACCAGAGTGCAACTCCCGTCTTGTTATAGGCTTATGGCCCACCGAGGACGATCCAACTTTCCATCATCCCTAGGGATGACCCTATAGTCTCCACTCGGATCACAAGCCCACGTTACTAAGCTCGACGTACAATAGAGGTTAACGAAACTTATATATACAACAAGGAAACATATCGTTTCTTCCAATGTGGGACGTTTTGGTGACTATGAGTTAATTAATGAAATCGTCGGGTTTTTTATTAAACCATTCTCAGCTCTTACTATTCTTGGTCATCGTCAACGATCCGGCCGCCACATTCGCTGGTATCTACTCCGCCGCAAGCTGTGGTCTTAATGGACAGTTCTCTCGTTAGTGACCGTTGTGTTTAGTTGATGTTACTGTATTCCACGTAGATTCTCTTACAGAGAAATTTCCAGGGCTTTTGGTTGAAGTGACACCTAATCTGCGTTCGTAAAATGCTCCGGGATCAAATTTCATCACTATCTATGCTAGGATTCTACAATCTTGTTGATGTATACTTGGACGCTGTGTTCTTCCCCAAGTGTGTGGATGACATTCACACTTTTCAGCAGGAAGGTTGGCACTTGGTTTAACTTTCTGCCTCATGTTTTCTTTAAAAGCTGGTGCCATATTCTAGTAGATACATCTAGTGTCTCCTGATTCCTTTGGCTTCACCAAAAAGCAAAAATGTGATCTCATAAATGTGTACATATGTCTTTGTAATATCTCTATTGTCTCCTGATTTTCCCCTCTTTAAGTAGAAACTCTCACGTATATATATATATATATATATGTTACTTCTTACCGTTTGTGAAGCATCTTGATTTGATTCAAACCTTGCTATATGAGTTTTGACGTGCTAAAGACCTTTGTAACCTGGTATGGCTTTACATCTTTAACCTGGTACAGTGGTACTGAAACCAGCGCGTCTAGTATATTATAACGAAAGTATGATCTCTTATAGGTAAATTAAAAATATTTGGCTATTAATGATGTACAATAGTTTGATGTTTAAGCGGAGAGATGCTACCAGGTCTATTGCGATTAAAGCCTACCTATAGACTAACTCATATCCAGACTAAACAATGCCCGAACAAGCCTACAAAACAAACTAAAGACTGAGCTAGAGGTGGAAAACACTCGAAGACGCAAGAAAAAATATTAAAAACTAGACAAGAGGTACCTAACAAATTCAATTTAGTATTATTGGTTACTCACGTCACCCGAATTTATATACAAAAATATAAAAAGATGATGTCCAGTTGAAGTCGGCTTCATTGTATCATAGTGGGCTCTGAAGGAAGGCACCAGCGCTTTGTGGACATGGCACTGCTCTGTATTCCTACAAGTATCAAGACCGGGAGAGTAAGCCAATCGGTGGCAACTCCCGTCTTGTTAGAGCCTACGACTCAATGATGACGATCCAACTTTCCATCATCCCTAGTCTCCACTTGGATCACAAGCCCACGTTACTGAGCTCGACGTACAATAAAGGTAAACTGAATATATATATACAACAAGAAATATATTGTTTTCTTCCAATGTGGGACTTTTTGGTGACTATGAGTTAATTAATTAAACCCCTTAGTCGTCGGGCTTTTATTAATCCAATCTTCACGCTTCAGCTCTTACTATTCTCTCGGTCATCGTCAACGATCCGGCCGCCACATTCGCTGGTATCTTCTCCACCGCAAGTGGCGGTCTCAATGGACAGTTCTCTAGTTAGTGACCGTTGTGTTTAGTTAATGTTACTGTATTCCTCGTATATTCTCTTGCAGGGAAATTTCCAGGGCTTTTGATTGAAGTGACACCTAATCTGCGTTCGTTAAATGCTCCGGGATCAAATTTCATCACTATCTATAACCTAGAAATAGATCAGCTCCCGTTTTCTTGATCCTCAAGAAACAGAGTATTACAAGTTTGAACTTTTTGCCTCGTGTTCTCTTAACAAGTTGTTGCTATATTCTTGTAGATACATCTAGTGTCTCCTAATTCCTTCGCTTTACCGGACAATGGGCTTCAATATGAGGCACTAGCACAAGAAGACTCACTCATTGAAGACGAGACGGAAACATGAAACCAAAATTTTGTTGCGTGATGTTATCAGTTTTGAACACGTATCTTTTCTTGGATCATGACCAACGTACGCCAAACAAGTGTCTGAAACACCATGGCTTCACCAACCACGGCCAAAACATCTGCCGCCATCAGATGCTGAGATCCGAGGAGAGGGAAACTGAAGATACAAAAAAATAGAAAAGCCGACATCATACCGATTTCAATGTGAAATTATTCCAATTTCTCCAATGAAACCGGATCAAATTTAACACAAGCCACTCCACATGTCTCTACTTAGATCACAAGTCCACGTTACTGAACTCGACGTATGAAAATGAAAGCTAAACATATATATACAACAGGGAAACACCTGCTTGGTCTCGATGTGGGACTTTTCGTGGCTATACATGTAAATACTCGTTTGATGTTTCTTCTAATTTCACTGGTAAGATAATTGATATTGCCCATTCAACATGTTACTCGGATGCTTCACTTAGCCTTTAGTCACTAAATTAAAAAAATGCAACAAATGTTTTAGAAATCCTTTAGAAACAAAAAAAATTCTTTTAATTAACATATTTAAGAAAAACATTTAGTTTTTAGAAAGAGATTAAAGATTCAGGAAGAGGATTCCGACGTTGTCTTGAACCTGTACAGAACTCTCTTCTCCTACTTGCTGGATACATTCTCAACGGTAAGAACAATCTTACCAGACTCTTTGTTCTTGAAACTGTTCCTCATCGGTCCTTCATTTGATGCGATTGTCTTCTCCTTTTTAACTATTATCGTGTAAGCTCTTTCATCTGTTGGCTCAAACTCTTCCTTGTAATTCACGTCCCATCCCAAAACCGCAATATCCCAAACCAATCTTCCTTGAGCCTCAGGAGCAAGGATTTCGATGGTTTCAGTTGATCCAGGCGCAACGACAAGTTCAGAAACAGCTTCTAGGGAGAATTCTGTATCATCCTCTCTTCTGAATCCACCGTACTTAAAAGGGATCTGCTCCGCTGTAATATACTTGAGAAGGGTTTCTGTGACATCAGCTGGGCGAGCAACAACAATCTTGCTCTTGGTTCGTTGCACTAAGAATGGCGAGATGAGTGACATTAAGGTACAAAACAAGAACGGAGCGTTTATGAAAACATGTCTTGATACGAATCCGGGGTAATTTTCCTGCAAAGCTATGACTGCGTTTATAAGGTCCTCTGTTGAAAATCCACAAGCGTGCTTAAGGTCGTGGATCTGGAGAAGGGTGGTAACACCTCCTGGTTTCAGCTCAAGCTTCTTGATTCCCTTCTCCAGCAGCTGACACCTCCATCTCAGTAACTTCTCTTTGCTCTCCTCCGATCCATATGTCTTCTTGTAAAGCTCCTTGTTCTCAAAAAATTCGTGAACATTGTAACAAACTGGGCGGTGTTCACGGTCCACGCCGTCTTTGTAAGCGGCAGAGGCAAGATCCTTACCAAAATCTTCTCCAAGGACCGAATCAACCATGTGGTGTTTTCTCCACTTGAGGGTTTTCTTCAGCATCTCTAAAGCTTCGTTGACTTTGAACTCTCTTGTTCTCAAGAACTTCAAGAGGATTACGTCTGTGCCTTCAGCTCCTTTGCTTGGAAGCAATGGCACTCCCCATAGCTCGATATCCTCATGGAACTCTCTCGAATTCTTGAAGACAATATCTCCAAGAATGGCTTCCTCAAGCTTCGTTTTTAGATTGCTCCATATGACTTTGAAGTCTCTTGCTCCCAAGAGGCATACATCCGTGCCTTGAGCTCCTTTGCTTGGAAGCAACGGCACTCTTAATGTCTCGATGTAATTTTCCGCCGTGTCCTTAGTTTTCTTCTCCTTCTCCCCCTTCACAGGGATCTCTCGCTCTCTCTTTTTCTCGAAGCTAGTGTTTTCAACAATGGCTTCCTCAAGCTTCCTCTTCAGATCTCTCAGAGCGTTTCTCTGGTATTCTTTCAAATCAACCTTAACTTCAGCAGTCATATTTGTCTTTCAACTAAATAAGTTGAGGCGACTTTATCTGATTCTTCACAATCTCTCTATAAGCCTTTGACAAATCGTGAATATGAGAATTGTTCAAGTTATATATACATGCCAAACCTAATACAATTCCTAAAAGGAAACAGTAATGTATTGTATATATGTATCTAACTAAGTAAAAATTATCAATTTTTATTTATATATTTAAATGTGTGCATGTGTCTAAAATATCGCTTTTATAGACACATGATCTTCCCCATGCTCTGCTCTTCAAATATATGTTTTTTAGGGCTTGAACAGTTCGAAGGGAAATTGAAACCTTTAGTCAGGCATCAAGAATCACTAGGTTGCTTTTTGAGAAAATTAGTCGTTAAAGTCTTAAAGATACTTTTTGATTTAAACATCAACTCATAAGATATGCTTTTATGTCTACAATTAGTCCATAACAGATATTTGTATCGGTGAACCTTTTTTTATCTCTTCTTATACCAGTCTATGTTTGAATATTCTGATTACATCATTATGGTAATCATCTATAATTTTGGTTCCGATAAGTAACATAGTGAAATAGCAGCATATGGATAAAACTATTTTCTGGAGAAAACATTCCGTTCTTCAAGAACAAAAAAACCTTTAAGTTTAAATAGTTGAATTCAACGTAAAATCCTTTTTTCCAAATATTTATTTTGTGCAGTCGTGTTTTTAATTTATATAGTCGCGACTTTATGTGATTGTTAGTAAATTATTAACTCGCTAACGCAATTCCATGCATGAGTTAATATAATGTACAGTACGCTACAATATCATCGCACCCTACGCTACAAAACATACTACTACCAACTCAAACATTTTGTTACAACTTCAGATCTATATAATTCGATAGCTTCTCTAAAACTTCCTATGTATAATCGACATTTAACCAAAAAAAAAAAATGCTCTTTTTTCTCCTTTTTTTTTTTTTTTTTCTTTCACCCGAAGTAAAGCTTCTTGCCAGAGAAACATTGTGTAACGGTCAATTATTACTCATTTATTTTTCACTACCAAATTTATCCAAAATGGTCCCATTTTATAAGAAGGGAAAAAAAAACACACACACGACATTTATGTGTAAATTCTTAACCCATTTTGGACATATGTATAGATTCCCTATGAGAGCTAGATATTCCATATGGTTTTTGTTGTCATTTAAATAACTACTGTTTTGGATAATTACATTTATGAGTTCTGTCTCCAAGTGGCACTCGTAAGAAAGTGAATGCTTTAGGGTCACCTGATGGCTAAATTTAGGCTCTAGTCTATCTATCTAATTGGTGATTAGGCTCCTAATCAAAGATAAAGATAAGATTTTTAGAAAAAAAACATCTTCTCAGTTCAAGTTTCATTACATGTATAACTATTAAGAGAATTGCTCTCCAAGGCAATATGTCCTTTTCAACTTTGTACTATCTTAAATCATTATCGTCTAATAATAGTTACCCAAAAGTACCTTTTTTTCCTTTTTTTCACTCCATAGTGAAAATGTAAAAAGAATGTTGTAATATTTCCACAGCTTACAAGACGGCGTTTACCGTTGCTTTGAAAGGAAGCTAAAAACGGCAAAAAGGACGCGCCGTTTCGGATCCCGACGGCGTCTGCGTAGGAAAGCGATGCTCCGTAACGGCGCCGTTACCTGCTTCCCCGTGAACGGAACTGAGAGAGGAGTGAGGGGACCCCACTCAACGGGCCCATCCGCTAGCCAAGGCAATAATAAAATCTCAGCCGTTGAAATAATCAACGGCTCTTGATCCGTCTTCTTCCTCCTCCAAATACCCAAAACCCTTCCCGGCTTCCCCTGTTTTCTTATTAACCAGAAAAACCTCATTTTTTTCACAACTCTCCAGAGAGAACAATGAACGAGATCAGCGAGAGAGATACGAAACTTTACAAGAGAAATCCGGGAGAGACGGAGCTCGTGGGATCAAGCATTAAGAGGATGAAACTCGACGACGATGATGATGATTTAGCTGATTCTGAGGTCTTTCGCTCACTGGAGAGAACGGTTTCCTCTTCTCTAGCTTACTCCGCTTCAGATTCCGGAGGTTTCTCCGCCGCCTTATCTGAAGGAGACGATCATCAGAGCTCATCCGTCAGCTCCGACTGTTCTAGCAGCGAAACCAACGAAACCGCTACTCATTCTCGTCTGCCATTTTTAGATCTGGAGGTGAAATTTAAAACTCGAAACTCCAGATTTTTGAAAAATTCCTCTGTTACGCAATAAATGCTCTGAAGTTTTTCTTCCTGTTTCTGTAACGATGAAGATCTTATTACGTTTTTTTTTTTGCTTTTAAGAACAATCAATTTAGTTTCTTAAACGGCTAATTTTCGATTGATTGTTTCCGTTTCAAGGCTCATCAAATCTCCGAAACCGAAATCTCGACGTTAATCAACAACAATTTCAGGTTACATTTCGAGAAGCGTTTAAAAGTTTTTCAATTTCTCAATCGTTTTCAGCTATAAATTCATCCTCTCACGTTCTTAATTTCTGGGCGTTTCACAGAGAACAAGCAAGTCCGTTGAGCGAGAATCTGGGAGAAACAGCTGAAATGGAGGACTCGGCGACGAGGGAGAGGAGAGATCAGCGGAAAAAAGAGAAGACTGAGAAATCTCCGACGCAGGCTGAGCTCGACGACTTTTTCTCGGCGGCGGAGAGTTACGAACAGAAACGATTCACGGAGAAGTGAGTTTTTGCTTTCTGACGAAATGCGCATGATATCGAGATATAAACCCACGCGTATTTTAGCAAAAAGTAATCTTAATGTTGTACTTTGAACCTGTACAGGTACAACTACGATATCGTTAAAGATACGCCGCTTGAAGGTCGGTACCAGTGGGTTAGTCTGAAGCCATGAAAAGGCAAAAAGGAAGAAGAGAGAAGAAGGAGACAATGCTAAAGTTACACGTCGTAGTACTGTGAGTTTGTCACAGACAGAGAGAATCATAGGAGGAGTTTTTATTCCGTTGTACAGTTTTTCTCTAATTTTTAGTTTCCTTTTTCAAAAACTCAATCTTGATTATGTTCTTCGTACCAAGAGAACTTTTTTTGGTTAACTTATCGAAAATTTTCAAGTTTAATTCTCGTTCGAATTGTTGAATTTTGCAATGAATTGAAGAAAGTGGGGTTATAAATTGGGAATTATTGTGTCAGTAAAGTTCCACTCTTTTTTTTTGTCAGTTTTTGTAGTGTTTGGTGTTGTGCACATTATTAGCATTTCATGAATTTGGGAGCTTTATACATATGTGTATGAATTTGGAAAGCTATTTATTGTTTTGATTCTCTAAACTTTGGATGTTTTTACAGAAAAAAAATTGTGTTCTTTCTTTTGTAACGTTTTTGTTTTTCCTTGTTTGGACAATTATTTAGTGAAATAAAAATTAGCAGCACAAAGAAAAAAAGTTGAACACAAAAGGGTAAAATTGAGAAGGTACAAAGGGTAAAATACAGTTGATATGTACTTTAATTATGGTTATAATGAATATTCGACTGTTTTTCTAAAAAAAATGCTTTGTGAATCAAATTGAATAACTTCCAATGGGTCCACTACGATGATTAACGTCTTTTCCCCTCAAATTTGTATTTCAAAATAACTCGAAATCAGTTTTTTTTGGCTAAACATATTAGAATTAAATATTTTGAAATATAGAAAATAAAAGGATTCAAAATAAAATTCAAAAAAGGATGAGAGAGAGAGAGAGAAGGGAATTGTGAAGAGTGATGGTAAAAGAGTATCTCATCATTACCTGATTCCGTTGGGATTATATTCCCTTTATTTTTGCTTTTTACACTTATTTTTATTTTCTTACAGCAGACAATGGCTCGTGGCTGCACGTGCTTTCTGTTATTTTAGTTTTTTCGATTTTATTCTCTTTTTTCCTCTTACATGTATTTTTATTTTCTGGCAACTGCCTGTAACATTTTACTTAAAACGCGAATATAAACTTGAAAGGATGAAAAATAGGGAAGAAAAAGTAAACACTGCACGTCAATATCAGATAACTTCTTCCAACAAGCCACATGAGGTTTGGTGCTGCAAAATAATGAAATATGTTGTGAAGTTTGTAAGTTGTAACTGTTCCTATCTTGCCAGATCACTTTTTTTTTTTCTTTCAGTTTTCGTATCCTAAAGAAAGAGGAATAACCAACTTCTTGTGAATAGAGAAAATAATGTAATATGTATAGTCTTTGGTCGGCAACAAAATAATGGATATAGGAGAAAAAGACGAGTAAAAATAAATTGAGTGTCTTAAAATTGTGTAAAAGAAGTGGTAGATGATTCTGTTGAAGAATGCTTCTCTATTTGTGATTATCTCGGTGACATACCATATGAATTGGGTTGTTGTCTTGTATTTTTATATTAAAAATTACAAAAATGCTTTTCAAAAAAACAGAATTCATTAGACTGAAGTTCAAATTCCAACGAAGGTAAGGAAATGTTGAGGTTCTACATCAATCAAATTAATTAATAAAAATGGACTATATTTATGTTTGGCACATGTTTTTGTATTTGTCTCGATGCACATCAATTCAGTTGTTATTTTTAGTTATGATTCAAATTTTGTAAATTAAAGTGAACTTGAAAGATCACTACTAGCAGTTAAAAAAAGTTACTATCGATAATTATGAGAAGCAAGTGTGTGTTTTAACTTACAACTTACAAGGGGAGAGCGCATACACATGGCTTGGATCTTGTGAAACTTTTATTTTACATCAGATCCAATGCTCCTAAATTTTAACCAAACGTGAACCTCTCTCCTCACACAAGTTACCGCTATCCACACGTGTGCCCTTTTACCAATTATCGACACTCCCACTCTTATTGTAAACTTTTCTATTAAAAAAGTTCACATTGGCAAAATATATAACTCGTCAAACGAAAATCGGTTCTTAATTTCTTATCGATCGATTTGACTATATGACGATCTCTTTTCGTTGTTTTTTTCCTTTTAACTCTTTCTCAAAGAATAATTTATGATGATTTTTTTTTTTCCTTTCAACAACTTTGACATGTTTTAGTCTGCGGAATATGCACACTTTCGGCCTTCGGGAGTTCATATCCGGAAGTGGTCACATCTACCTTAACTTTGCTGAGATCCAACACAGGCCAACGATACTAGGATTTTAGACATTTTGAGGTATACTGATATTATTAAACGTGGTTATAGTCCACTGGAGTCGAAGGTAGATACTCTAATTAACTTTCACCACCCTATCTAAATGTCTAATATGCTCCTTGATTAAATCAATCTAGTAAAATCAATCTAGTAAACTTGCCGCATTTTATGTTTCACTAATAAAAAAAATTGCTTGTCATTTTTTCATATATTTAAGCTTGTCACATACAATTCTTGTTGATTTCAGGAGAATGTACTACATCCTATTTAAGTTGGGAAAATAGACTAAAAGTTGCTGCGGAGACGGCACAAGGTCCGTTTTTAGTATATTTTCCTAAGGATCGGAGTAGTTACAAAGTTCTTTCCAATAATCCAGTAGTGAGTTCTTTTGTATATAACTGGAGTATTTCACATATAGGTTGCAAATCACCAATGATCCACAGAGATGTGAAAATTGCGAATATAATTCTTGACGAGCACTTTCAAGCCAAACTTGGCAATCTTGGTGAAACTCATGTGTCAACAAATGTTGCTGTCTCTCCTGGTTATCTTGACCCTGAGTAAGTGTCGGTTCAAAAAGAACATGTTAGCTTGACCATGCTCGTCCCCTTCTTTCAATAGTTCTTCCTCGCTTGACAGATGATTCAGAACAAATTGGTTGACTGAAAAGAGCGGTGTCTAAAGCTTTGGGAATTGTATTATTGGAAATCATCACAAGTCAGTCAGTGTTCGATCAAACCCGTGAAAAAGCCTCACATAGGAGAATGGGTGGGATTTCGACACGTAGGAGAGATATTTCTTTTATCGTGGATCCAAGTCTCATCAGAGAGTATGACTCTAGTTCCTTGTGAAAGGATCTTGAGCTAGCTATGTCATGTGTGAATTCTTCTTCGTTGGGAAGACCAAACATGTCTCAGGTTGCTAATTAATGAACCAAAAGATCTCAAGGAAAAGAGGGACGCTCGACTTGGATTCCAAGAGTTCCATCAACTAAGCAAGAGTTTTGGCCCTGAACTTTCAATGATCGATGCACGCTAGCTCATGTCAAGGAACTCAAGCTTTGTTTTATTCAAGAAATAATACAAATTGTTGAATTTCTTCATTACATGCATTGGATCTTGTAATTTTTCCATGATCAAAACTTTAGACGATCTAACTTGGTAAAAAATTACATCATCTCCAGAATTTGAGTTTGTGTAGTCATTACTATTGTTTCAAACTTGTATTCATTCATTTCGATCCCATTCCTGCATTTAACTAGGTTCGACACGAAACACATCAAGACTCGTCTAATTCTGTCGAGCACAAGACATTCATCACCACCCGGCCGGAAAACCCCGGTGATAATAATCAACAATATGATTAATTTTATTAAAAAACAAGACAACTTAGACAAGATCTATGCTCATTCTCACAAAATAATTGTTTGTTGTGTATGTTAAGTTAGGTTACTTGATGTTTTTTTATCTCCATTGTTTATGTAAATTTCACTTTGGGTTTCAGATGGAGATGAATCTCTCATACAAATTTATACACAGAAAATTGTGAAAAAAAAATTGGAGAAAAGAGATTGATCATTGTATAGGTAAAATGGGTAAGTTAGATTAGGGCTGACCATAATATCCATTTAATTCGATTTTATCTGTTATCCATTTTGATTGGATTCGGAAAATAAGGATATTTGTTACTGATGAAGTAAGACAAATACTAACAATCAATATCCATCAAAACAAAATAAATCACAAAATTACAATTTTTTTTTTAATTAAGAGGAGAGTTTGTAGTGAAATATTACCATTTAAAAAAAAAAATATATTTCCTTTTAAATTTTAATTTTTTTTTAACAAAGCAATTTAAATTTTTCTTTAAATATGGAAGTTTCAACATGTATTTGAACACTGGATATATACATAGCATATATGGATCGAAAAAGAACGAATTGCGTTAATTTTGTAAGTTAGATGGTAAGTTCAACGCGAAATTAGAAAAAGAAAAAAAAATAGTTCAGAAAAATGTGTGCTGGTAGCTGGTACTAGAGTCTGTGATTAGTTAATTTTGAAGAGATCCAATTATTATCCCTCCCAATAACATTCAAAGATTTCAAATAGTATACATTTATCTCAATAATTGTTTTTCTCATTTCATTTCTTTTTTTTTACCCGATATGGCACTATGATCCATCAACTGTCATCACTCATCAGTTTATGTCAACCCTAAAACTACGGTCGAATCAGAACCGTTGGATCTGAAAAAAAACTAAAAAATGGCTTCGAGGACGTAACTGGGCCCCACGTTCCCACCACTTCCCTCACAGACCTAAGACAAAAGCCTTAAACCCTCCGAATCTACACAAAACTCACTCCTCTCTTCTCTTCTCTCTCTCTCTCTCCGCCTCCATTATCTTCGAAACACCAAATCTAATCCTCTCTCTCTCCATTTCCTCCATCTCCACCAGAGCTTCTTCTTCCTCCTCAGTCACATCGAGAGAGAGAGAGAAAAGATTTTGAATTCCAAAGTCTAAAAACAGAGAGGTCTTGTTTTTTTCCAGATCGGATCGGATAATTCAAAAGATGCAGACGACAAACAACGGCTCTGATTCGGCGATGGCCACATCAGCCGGAACAACTCCACCGTTGCAGCAATCCACACCGCCGCCGCAGCAACAGCAGCAACAGTGGCAGCAACAGCAGCAATGGATGGCGGCGATGCAGTACCCCGCGGCGGCTATGGCGATGATGCAGCAGCAGCAGATGATGATGTATCCTCACCAATACGCTCCGTACAACCAAGCAGCTGCGTATCAGCAGCATCCTCAGTTCCAGTACGCTGCTTATCAGCAGCAGCATCAGCAGCAGCAGAAGAGCCACCAAAATCAGAATCAGCATCAGCGTGTTGGATCTGGTGGTGGAGATGATGTCAAGACTCTCTGGGTTGGTGATCTTCTTCATTGGATGGATGAGACTTATCTCCACACCTGTTTCTCTCACACCAATGAGGTATTATTAGCAATCTTCATCTTCTTCTTGTTCTTACTTGTAATTTGGTTCTCTGTTGTTTGTAATTATGTTCGATTTGGTTTTTGAAATTGAGATCGGTTTTGATTGTTGGAATCTTTATTTTTTTCTGACATGGAAAGTGATAGATGTAACATCCGTTTACAGATCCGAGGCTCTGTTTTTTTTTGGTAATGGAAAGATTCGTTATTGTGAATTTAATGTTGAAATTTGGCAAGTTTTTCTCACTTTTTTGTACGGTCTTGATTTGGGTTTTTAGATCTAACTATCTAAGTGACCATTGTGAATTTTTGATTGCGTAGAAGCCATTAAAGTTTGACATTTTGGGTAATGAAGAGATACGTTGACCTGAAAACAGAACAACTTTAAACTTCATTCTCACAAGGCAATAAAGTTTCTTTGCCACGTTTATAGTATACTTTTCTGATTATGGAAACATAAAAAAAAAATTGTCTTTAACATATATTCAATCATAAATTTGTGTTTTTTTCTTTTTCTTTTAGCGTATTCAATGTTGTTTCATACTCTCTCTGTTTTCTTGTTTTGTGAAAAGTTTAAAACTTTGATGATTTCTCAAACACTCTGTTTTTTTACTTCTTGTTTTCATTTTGTTGTTTCTTTGTTCCATGTAAGCTTATTCGGCTGTGGTTTCATACTCTTTGTGGTGTGTAGGTTTCTTCTGTGAAAGTGATACGAAACAAGCAAACATGTCAATCAGAAGGGTATGGCTTCGTGGAGTTTCTTTCACGTTCAGCAGCTGAGGAAGTTCTTCAGAGCTATAGCGGTGTAACAATGCCGAACGCAGAGCAGCCTTTCCGTTTAAACTGGGCGTCTTTCAGCACCGGAGAGAAGAGAGCATCTGAAAACGGTCCTGATCTATCCATATTCGTAGGAGATTTGGCTCCAGACGTGACTGACACTGTACTGCTCGAGACTTTCGCTAGATACCCGTCTGTCAAGAACGCGAAGGTTGTGATCGATTCCAACACCGGGCGTTCCAAAGGTTACGGCTTTGTCAGGTTTAGCGATGAGAACGAGCGGTCGAGAGCTATCACGGAAATGCACGGTGCTTTCTGTTCAAGCAGGCAGATGCGTGTTGGTGTTGCAACCCCTAAAAGAGCTGCTGCTTATGGCCAACAAAATGGTTCTCAAGGTATAAGTGGATGATATAATATTTGTTTAGCATGTTTCTCTCTGTTTTTATATAGTTGTCTTGATGTTTTCAAGTTTCAACATAGCATTTGAAGTGAATTTTTGTAATGTTTTGTCATTGGATTTAGCTCTGACACTGGCTGGTGGACATGGAGGGAATGGTTCAATGGGTCATGGTTCACTTTCTGATGGTGAATCAAATAATTCAACAGTGAGTTTCTCCTATGTATATCATCATCTGCTTAACTAATATATACAGTACTTCACTTTGCTCATTGTCTTTTTATTGTATTGCAGATTTTTGTTGGTGGTCTTGATGCTGATGTTACTGAGGAGGACCTTATGCAACCTTTCTCTCAGTTTGGGGAGGTTGTTTCGGTGAAGATCCCAGTGGGCAAAGGATGTGGCTTTGTCCAACTTGGTAACAGGTACTAACCTTCTCTGTGCTTTGTCAGCTTTGGTAACAGGACTTGTTCAATCGTGTTGAGCAATCCATTTGGTTTTGACAGGCAGAGTGCTGATGACGCCATCCAGAACTTGAACGGGACAGTCATCGGGAAGAACACTGTCCGTCTTTCGTGGGGACGAAGCCCAAACAAACAGGTAACAAAGAAAGCTTGAGTTGGATTAGAGTGTTCTAAATGTTTCTATTAGTATAGTTTAGGTCAAACTTAGTTTTAGCGCTCTTTTGTGTCTTCTTTATTGTGTCTCTATGGGGTGGATAAAAAGTGATGCAAATCCTTAAAAAGCTAAAGTCAAGTGGTTGACAATGGATAGTAGGTGTGTATTGCGGGCCATAAAACCTAGTGGAACTTAGCACCTTCTTACGGTTTTTGTTGACTATTTTGATTGGCTAATCTAGTACATGTCTCCTTGTCCCACTTGTCTTCTCCCTGAACATTATTCAAACTCTGAAACAGTTGTGATAGTTCTGTCTTTCTTAGGATTGAATCTTTCTACAGCTATCAAGTTCAGTGAGCTAGTTGAAACCTTTACCAGTCTCTCATCTTTTATCTTTAGAGCTTATGTCTTAGTTTCATGCTTCTCTTGAAGTCTCTGTTAGTTGTTGTAATGAATGGACTACCATCGATGTTCTGTTGAATGTTTGTATTATTCCATTTACTTATATATTGAATCTAAAAAATTACAGTGGAGAGGAGACTCCGGCAACCAATGGAACGGAGGATACGCAAGAGGACAAGGTTACAACAACGGATATGCGAACCAAGACTCAAACATGTATGCTACTGCAGCAGCAGCTGTCCCTGGAGCTTCTTGAGAGTGTTTGGTATGTCTCTATCATCGAAAAACACAAGCCATAATCGGATGATCAAAGTGATCCGATGATAGTTGTTGGTTCAGAGGTTAGCTCGCAACAACGAAAACTATAAACCTCTCTTTAAGTCCAAAGAGGGTTTTGTAATCCTGGATTTGAATTTTACTTATCTTGCTGTCTCAGTCTCTGTCAAAATTTTGGGGTCGTCTTAAAACTTGAATTTTATATTTTCAGTTTTTTTTTCTTAAGTTTAATTGTCTTGTTTGCTGAGACTTCCTCAAAGTCAAGAGTTTGGTCCTTAATAAGTAAATTCCAAATCGTTTTGGATCAGTTACTTCTAGTTTGCAGTGCTTTGATAGTTTTTACGTCAACTGTACAACAAATTTAAGCAAAAAAAAGTCAACGGCACAAGATTATTACTGCAAAACAAGGTTCGCATATAAGAGAATTTGTTATGTTACATTGATGCGAGAGGGAATCGAGTTGTTAGAAGAGTGTATAGAGCTTGAGGTTGTTGTAGAGAGAACCAATAACCACACGAGATTCTAGTTGACTTTTGGAGGATTCTCCAGCCAAGTACATGGATTCTGGTTTGGATCCCAAACTCTTTAAATCTTTCGTTCTTTAGTTACTTTCAAACTCATTTTACTTCAATTTCATTAAGCATCTCGAGTGATCATCATCCGAATTCAAGTGTGTGTGACTTGTGAGCGGCATTGACAACTAAATCCTTACACAAAGCAATATACTTGTTGAGTAAAATTCCTGTGGCAATATCTCACAACAGTATTGGACATATTATATTGTTTGACCAAGCAAATACAAAGTCAATAATAGTTCTCAGGATAAAAAGCACAAAGGCGGGTACAAAATATTAATCCTTGACACTGGAAAACTAGTTTGTGTGGACAACGCCTTTTACAAAAATAACATAAAGGTCGAGACATGCGACTGTTGGGCAGAACACCCATCTCTCCATTGTTGTTGACCCATGATGAACCGGGCTTTGTGTATAAGTCTTTCCCAATCAAGCACTCAATGTGTAATGTGACACAACATAACTCTTCACATGTATAGAACCGTTTCTTAGGATTTACCTTTCCTTCGCAAACTTCACACCAATGCGTTGCGGTACTTGTCTCCTTCCCATAAGAAAGAGTTAGCATATGTTTATCATGCTTATACATCGCCCTTTGAGGTAAAGTAGCACATCTGAAACACAGAGCAAAGTCACACACAATGCAATTGAATGTTTCACTTGTATAAGCAGTTGTTGAATATCTGCAAACACAACACTGTCTATACTCGTCTGGTTTGGAGGTCAGGAATAAAGGATGTTCATGACTTTCATGGACTAATGGCTCAGAAATTGTGGTGCACTGCACGTGGAGCTGGAATTTACATCCTTTGTCAAAACAATTATAGAAGAAACCAGATGTGCAGAACCAAGGACAAGCAGAACATGAAATCTTTTTCACCATTGCGCTCTCATGACCGCTCATCAGTGTGAGCACATGTGGATGTATCGGGTGATGTATTTTGCGAGAGAGATTTGCGCATTCTTCGTGGAGAATGAAATCACATTTCATACAAGAGTAGAAGCTACCGAAATAGATTGGCGTGATGCAGGCTTGACATTGCTTATTATCGTCGTAATCTCCACATGTGTTATCATCAAGTCTCAAATGATGATTTGCATGAAGAAAATGTTGAATGACTCCATCACTTATCCTTAGAAACGGCTCAACTACTTCTTCTTCTATCTCTTCTGGCACGTCCTCAAGTTCTACGCCATCCCACACATTGCTCTGCGTGGCACATTTGGAATGAGCTGCATACGAGCAACCGTTCTTGATGCAAGAATAACCCCCATATTCATTATCAATGCTTCTTTGACAAACACGACAAGACCAATCTCCTTGGTCAAAAGATGGGGTGAAGGAGATACGATGGGAATGGCGAGATATCCTTATGACACGTGGTAAGCTGATGCATGTTTGATGGAGCACAAAATCACAAGGAGGGCACATATAGATAGGACAGCTCAAGTGGACCAAAGCACATAGGTTGCAATTTAAGGAGGTCCATCTTGGAAACAAAGCAAGTGGATGCTCATGCCACTTCGGGTGGTCTATAGCTAGGAGTGGTGGTTTCTCCACACAAGCTACATTCATAGCATAATCGCAAGTTAAGCAATAATAAAATACTGTTTCAAGATCTTCATCACAGCAGTAACATTTTCTCCCGTAAATTTCTTCAACCATGACGAGCTGAAGATTATGTTTTTTGTGGAGATGGTGTTTGATTTCTAGTGGAGCCTTGACAAATTCTTCATGGTCCTCTCCGTTGCAAATTCGGCATCGAAAATGGGTAGTCCCAAAATAGTCACAATTGCCAGCGTTACATTCCTTAAAAAAGGTGTCACCACGTTGGACTTTTCCTTTTACACTGAATTTTCCAGAAGTTTGATATACTTCTACTTGAGGGCACAAGGAAGTATACTGCTGCTCCGAATCTTTAGAGCTGCCGATATACATTATTTAAGTAGTGAGTCGAATGAGAGATTTTGAATATAAATACTGTTACGATCATACTAAACTTTAGTCCATAACACTGTCTGTTCTCACACATTTTTCTACTTATTATTTCTGTATTACCCGCCTCCTAATTAAGCTTGCAGAAATATTATTTGAAAATATGTTTTATGGAAGTAATATATGTAAGCAATGTTTTTGTAAGATATATATTGTTACTCTATATGTCTATATACATATTCAATTTTATATTTCAAAAATATACATTACCATTACATAATCAATTTTATATTTTTAAAAATGTACATTAACATTATTTATGATAATTAACGATATATCTTATTTCGAAGAAAACTGTCTAGTTGACACATTATATAACTTCACTGGATATCTCTCCTTAAAGGGCTATTGTTGGATGGGTTCATTGATAAAAAAAAAAAAGTTATATAGATAAATGAAGTCTCTTGTTAATGAAACAACTCATGGTTTGCTTAATAAAAGAATTGATTAGATGTTAATTTTCATCTGTAGGAGTATATATTTAATACTCCCTCCGTTTCAAATTAGTTGTCGTTTTGACAAAATGTATCTGCAAATATTTGGATGTATCTGGACATGTTTTGCATTGCAGATACGTCCAAATATTTGCAGATACATTTTGCCAAAACAACAACTAATTTGAAACGGAGGGAGTAGTAATCAATTTCTGTCAACTTGTTTTTTAAACAAACATTACTCGGTTTTCATGCAAACCTGTTTTCATCGCTGTCCAGATGGATGGAGACAGATTTCCTACGGAAAGTCAAAGCAGGCCTCATAGAACCAGTCCGATGATCAACTCCAGAACAACCTTTAAAGTTCAAATATAAGTAACATATATCAAAGTATAACTCTTGTAAAGTCAACCATAAGTAAAGTAACATATATCAAAGCATAATTCTGGTGATAGATTTCAAAACAACTTAGGAATAAGAAAAAACAATTATCGATATACTCACATTTATCGGCTACCCGGAAAACTCTTCCTCTGTGAATCCCCACCTACCAACTGAAACAAAGAAGAAAACACATGCATGTTATTACAAATAAAAAAGAACATTAGAAAACATAGGCTTCGTATCAAAACCAATTGGTAGTAAATACAAAGACTCATATACTTTATATACTAGATTTATCTACATTTTTAGTGTGAGATATTTTAACAATCCCCTATCTAAAACAAAGAACATAAACCCATTTGATCAAGAGACTAGATCCTATATATCCCAAAAAGCCACATGAAAAGTAGTGGACTGGAAATGGATTCGGACAAGGACACATACGCTGGATTATCGAGTAAGCGGCGTGAGATAGAATCAGGACGCCAAAAGCTCCAACCTTAAACTATTCATGTCTCTTGTTTTTTTGTTTAGAAGTTTTTTTTTTTTTCTTGTCCGAGATGGTTCCGGATCTAGGTTTTATCTTTTATGCACAGCACGAAAGTTATTATTTGGAAGACGCGTTTTTGGACATGTTAGTATCAAACAATAAACTAATGCCATTATTCTGTATCTGTATGTATCCATTATTATTAAATGACTTGTACCGATGCGGCTAATTAATCGCATAGTAAATGACTGAAGACCTATTCTCTACATTAAAAATAACAGAATCTGAAGCTTACAGCGCTGGCCTAAATACAAAGTCAACGATCGTTTCAGACACTACTAGAGATGAAAATAAGTAGTATAAATTTGTATACTATATAGGGGGGAATACGTAAAACGGCTAGATTTATAATTTTAATGTGGTAAATGATAATTTGTTAGTAACAGATGACAAAAATGATACCGAAGTACCGAACAAAGCTGGAGATGAACGCATGTAGATATCAGTCCACATCATTTGGATCAGTTACTAGTTTACATTGCTTTGATAGTTTTTACTTTTAGAGTCTGTCTTTGGTTTCGACTTATTTCCCATCTTGGAAAAATACATATTCTAAGAAACTGATTTATGAAACCAAAAATAACTTTCAAAGAATAATCCAAAATACCCATACAGAGAGTTGATTTTCAGTAAGCTAAGCCGTATAAAAAAATTGAAGAATACTTCATATATTTTTTTATCTTCTTAGAAAAACCCAACTTTAGAAATTGGCTTAGTTGAAACTTGAAACAACAGTTGACCAATTCTCCAAGAACGACTAACATGTAATAACCGAAATAACCGCCACAATGTGACAAATCATCACTCTCCTCTGTTTAGCCTCCCTCCTTGTTACAGAATACAGAGCATCAAGGCAATGATTTCCATCAAAACGGTCTATTGTAAAGACCAAGCAACGATTTTTCCTTATCTTCAACTCGTTTCCTAGCAGCTTCTCTCGCCTTCAACGCAGTTCTCTCTTCCGCGGACACTTTCTTTGGCTTCTCATCTACTCGCTTCCTCTTGTTGTTGCCAACATCAACAGACGAAGCAGCTCCTTTCACAGCCCTTTTCGAACCTTAGTGTGTGTGTTATATATTATTGGAACCTTATATGCATTTCTATTAGTATAGTCCAGGTCAAACTTGGTTTTTACGTTCTTTTGTGTCTTCTTTATTGTTTCCATGGGGTGGATAAAAAGTTATACTAATCCTTAAAGCTTAAGTCAGTGGTTGACAATGGATAGTAGGTCATACTGCGGGCCATAAAACCAAGTTGAATTTAGCCAATACATGTCAAACTTAGTTTTAGCATTTTGGTCTTCTTACGGTTTTTGTTGACTATTTTGATTGGCAAATCAAATATATGTCTCCTTTGCCCCACGTCATCTCCCTGAACAATATTCAAACTCTGAAAAATTTTTGAAGGTTCTTTGTTTCTTAGGATTTATTTTTTTTGCAGCTATCAAGTTCAATGAGCTAGTTGAAACCTTTACCAATGTCATCTTTTATCTTTAGAGGTTATGTCTTAGTTTCATGTTTCTCTTAAAGTCTCTGTTAGTTGTTTTAACGAATGGACAACCATCGATGTTCTGTTGAATGTAGTTTATATTATTCCATTTACTCCATACATTTGTTCATCATTTGAATCTGAAAAATTGACAGTGGAGAGGAGACTCGAGCCACCAATGGAACGGAGGATACGCAAGAGGACAAGGTTACAACAATAATGGATATGCGAATCAAGACTCAAACGTGTATGCTACTGCAGCTGCTGCTGTCCCTGGAGCTTCTTGAGAGTGTTTGGTATGTCTCTATCATCAAAAAACAGAAGCCATAATCGGATGATCAAAGTGATCCGATGATAGTTGTTGGTTCAGAGGTTAGCTCACAACAACGAAAACTATAAATCTCTCTTTAAGTCCAAAGAGGGTTTTGTAATCCTGGATTTGAATTTTACTTATCTTGCTGTCTAAGTCTCTGTCAAAATTTTGGGGTTGTCTTAAAACTTGAATTTTATATTTTCAGTTTTTTTTTTCTTAAGTTTATTATATGTCTTGTTTGCTGAGACTTCCTCAAAGTCAGGGTTTGGTTCTCAATAAGTAATTTCCCAAATCGTTTTGGATCAGTTACTTCTCTACTTTTACAGTGCTTTGACAGTTTTTACGTCATATTTAGGGACTTAGAGTCGTATAACCAAAATCTAACTTAAAAACAAGTTGAGAGGTACACACAGAGGGATCAGAAGAAAGTATCGATGGAGCAAAAGAGAGTTTTGTACCGTTTGGTAGTAACTAGTAACAGTATCGTGCTTGATGTATTTACGTTCTAGTGTTGGGATGTGCTCAGAATCATCAGATGCTTTGATCAGGACAGAAGTGTCATAACACTACCATCTAAAAACGACTTGGTCTATTCCACTAAATCAATAAGGGTAACTTAAACCATTTCTTTACTATTTTTGCTGCCTTAGTATTCATAATGGATTTTTCTGTTAAGTTTTTGGAAGCTAATTTGTTGGTATTAAGTGTAAGTTTTATTAGTTGGATGTTTTAAAATGAGAGTAAAATGTATTGAGGTTTAAAGTGTTAGAGATTTGTATTTTTATAGGGTAGTTGAAAAATGCGATTTTGCCTTCTTGTATTGAGATATAGTGTTTTAACTTTTAACTCTCTATTTGTCCATAAGGATTTATGGACAATATATGTAGACTAGTACGCAGTATCACTAAATTGGAATTTACGCAAAGCAAAATACAACTCCGAGTACAACTTCCTTGGAAATATCTCACAACATTATGGGACATATCAGTGTTTGACTAAGCAATACAACATGATCATACATTACATTACATAATACAAATTCAGAAAGTTAACTTACAATAAGCAATACAAAGTTGGGAACAATATATGAATCCATCACTCTGGAAAACTATTTTGTATGGACAACGTTTTCTACAATAAAAGCAAAAAGGTCGAGACATATGGTGATTGTTGGACAGAACACCTATCTTTCTATTGTGGTAGACGCATGATAAACCGGGCTTCATGTATAAATCCTTCCCAATCAAGCACTCAATGTGTAGCGTGACACAACATAACTCTTCACATGTATAGAACCTTTCCTTAGGATTTACCTTTCCCTCGCAAACTTCACACCAATACGTTGCGGTACTCGTCTCCTTCCCATAAGAAAGAGTTAGCATATGTTTATCATGCTTATACATCACCCTTTGAGGTAAAGTAGCACAAACAAAACACAGAGCAAAGTCACACTCAATGCAATTGAATGTTTCACTTGTATAAGCAGTTGTTGAATATCTGCAAACACAACACTGTCTGTGCTCGTCTGGTTTGGAGGTCAGGAATAAAGGATGCTCATGACTTTCATGGACTAATGGCTCAGAAATTGTGGCGCACTGCACGTGTAGCTGGAATTTACATTCTTTTTCAGAGCATTTATAGAAGAAACCAGCTGTGCAGAATGAAGGACAAGCGGAACATGAATCCTTATTCTTCATTGCGTTCTCATAACCTCCCAGTAGATTGAGCAGATGTGGATGTATTGGATGATGCATTTTGCGAGAGAGATTTGCGCATTCTTCGTGGAGAATGAAATCACATTTCATACAAGAGTAGAAGCTACCGAAATAGATTGGCGTGACGCAGGCTTGACATTGTTTATTCTCGTCGTAATCTCCACATGTGCTGTCATCAAGTCTCAAATGATGATGGTCATGAAGAAAATGTTGAATGATTCCATCACTTATCCTTACAAACGGCTCAACTACTTCTTCTTCTATCTCTTCTGGCACACCCTCAAGTTCTATGCCATCCCAAACATTGCTCTGTGTGGCACATCTGGAATGAGCTGCATACAAGCACCCGTTCTTGATGCAAGAATATCCCCCATACTCATTATCAATCTTTCTTTGACAAACACGACAAGACCAATCTCCTAGATCAAAAGATGGGGTGAAAGAGATACGATGGGGATGGCGAGATATCCTTATGACACGTGGTAAGCTGATGCATTTTTGATGGATCACAAAGTCACAAGGGGGACACATATAGATTGGACAGCTCAAATGGACCAAAGCACATACGTTGCAACTTAAGGAAGTCCTTCTTGGAAACAGAGCAAGTGGATGCTCATGCCACTTCTCGTGGTCTATAGCTAGGAGTGGCGGTTTTTCCACACAAGCTATATTTATAGCAAAATCGCAAGCCGAGCAGTAATAAAATACTTTTTCAAGATCTTCAGCACAGCAATAGCATTCCCTCGTCTGGACGAATAAGAAGTGTGTATCTGACAAGACAAGCTGAAGAAAATGTTTTCGATGAAGGTGGTGTTTGATTTCAAGTGGAGCCTTTTGAAATTCTTGATGATTCTCTCCGTTACAAGTCGGGCATCGAAAATGGGTAGTCCCAATAAACTCACACCTGTCAGAGTCGCATTCCCTCTTTTCATACGCAGGCCGGCATGCCAGACCTTGGTCGTCTATCTTTTCCTCGAATTTATCTCCACTTAAAGATACTATTACTTGAGGGCATAAGGAAATATACTGATGCTCCGAATCTTCAGAGCTGCCAAGATACATTATTTAAGTAGAGTGAGTCGAATGAGATACATAATTTTTTATTTTTGAATATGAATATGAATAATCTTACTATTATAATAAACTCAGTGCACTGCTCTCCATGTCTGCCTGTTCTCAAGCATTTTCTAATTATGATCATTGTATCCCCCTAAGCTTGCATATACTTTATATTATCTGAATATTTTGTATAAATATTTTACATGTAAATTATCATTTTGTGTAATACGATATTTTGGATTTACTTTTTGTGTAAGTTATTTACAGTTGAATTACTTTTGGATTTACCATTTTGGATTTATACGATATGTTGTGTAACTATTTTTCATGTAAAATGCGGGTCAGAAATAGCAAAATACGGCATTGTGTGGTAAATGTAAAAGTAAACTATTTTTTGTATATACGTTATTGTCATTGACAACAACAACAACAAAAAATTCAAAAGTTATTGTCATTGACATGTTTGTCCATATCTGTTTCATCAAATAACTTGTTTTTTTCTTTTTAAAATGTAATTTGCGTTGACCCGGTCCTAATTAGATCCAACATCATATCAATCAAATCTGATTCCGTCTAACTGTTTAGTTGGCCGACAAAAAAGGTATAGTTGACATTATTTAACTTCATTGGATATGTTTAAAGGGTTTATTGTTGGATGAATTTTCACTTGTCATATACATAAATGAAGTCTTTTGTTAATCAAACATTTCAAGGTTTTCAAATAATTTGTTATTATTTTATCTGTAAACTTGCTAAAACAAAAAAAAAGTAGTTGGTCATCATTGCGAAAACCTGTTTTCATCGCTGTCCTCAAGTACAGGGAGAGATTTCCTAGGGGATGTCAAAGCAGGCCACATATATAGAAACAGTCCAACGATCAACTCCAGAACAACCTAAAAGAATTCAGTCATAAGTAACATATATCAAAGCATATTTCTCTTTATAGCTAGGTTTCAAAACAATCGAGGAAATTTTATATGAGATATATTTATCGAAATACTCACACTCATCGGCGGTTCCGAAAACTCTTTCTCCGTGATTTTCAACCATCCAATATCTGAAACAAATAAGAAAAACACATTTGATTAAGAATATTAGAAAACAAAGAAACTCGTATACTTAGATTTATTTATCTACACTTCCAAGTTCCAATGTGAGATATTTTAACAATCCCGTATCTTAAACAGAGTAGACAAACACAGATGATCATAAAGAGACTAGTTCCTATCCCAGAAAGCCTAAGTAACCATTTGTTTCAACCTATCTAGCATTTGATTCTTTCTTTCCAAAACTCGAATTTTAGTAACACTTGATGTACATAAAAGGCTTTTTGAGTTTGAATATAATTTTACATTCAATTCAATTCAAAAAAAAACCAAAAAAAAACAAAAAAAAAAGCCAAAGTAAAACTAGTGGATCATAATAAATATTGGAATTGGATTCAGACGAGGAGACATACACAGGATTGTCGAGTAAGCGGCGTGGGAGAGAACCAGGACGCCAAAAGCTCTAACTACCGAGCCTAAACAATTCATGTCTCTTGTCTATTGTCCGAGATTGTTCACGGTCTTGGTTTTATGCACCGCGCGAGAATGGAAGTTGAATAGAAGACGATCACTCGAGTTTTTGTTTTGTTTTGTGAAAGGTAATTGGAAGTTATTATATAAAAGAGCTGAGAAGAGAGAGGACGATAAAACGGCATTTATGGACAAGTTCTTGTTTGTATCATCGAACAGTAAAATAATGCCATTGGATATCTGTATTAATGACTTACACCGATGTGACTAATTTAATCACATAGTACACTAAAACCTCTATAAAACAATAATGTTAGGACTTTGAAATTTTATTATCTTATAAAGTTACTAGGTGGTTGTCCCGCATCCTATGCGGGTACAATACTTTTTAAATAAAAATTAATTAAAAAATTAATAATATAAATAGTAGAATTTTTGATTATATACAATTTTTGTTTTTGCCAATTTCTTATTTCTGTAATTTTGATATGTCTTATTTTTTTTTCTCTTTCTCATTCTTCTATATAATTTTCAAGATACAAAAGATTTCTTACTTTTTATTTTGTTCTCTTTTATTCTTCTCTAATTATCTCACATTCTTATTTTTCTTTTAATTTTATATTCGTTCTCATCACCTTTTTATTTTTCTTCTTCCAATTTTTGTTCTTAATTGTTTTCTTATATCTTCCAACTCACTTTTCTTCTTTTTCTTTCTAATTTTATTTACATTCTTTTTTTGGTGTTTCTTCTTCCTCATATTATTCTAGTTTTTAGTTATCCGTTTTTTTTTCCTTTTTTTTCTTCACATATTATTTTTTATTCTTCGATTTCTTTTTCCTCATAACCGAGTTTCCTTCTTTTTCTCCATTCGTTTAAAGAGATACAAAAGATTTTCCACTTCTTATGTGTTCTCTTTTATTCTTCTCTAATGATCTCACTCTCTTCTTTTTCTTTCAATTTTATATTCGTTCTCATCATGTTTTTCTATTTCTTCTTCCAATTTTTATTTTCAATCTTTTCTTATATCTTCCAGCTCACTATTCCCTAAACCCTAAACCCACACCCACATTATTACAAATCACCCCCTCCCTCTAAACAACTTTACACCCTAAACTAACACCTACATTATACCCCCTCTTAACCACACACATGAACCCCACATTACAAACTGGTTTTGGATTTACTTTTATTTTCTTTTTCTTTTTTTGAAAAAGTTTTTCATTTTGTAATGGTTGTTTTCGTCTCCCTCTTATTCTTCTCTAGTGATCACATCTTCTTCTTTTTCTTCAATTTGTTTATTCCTTGTCATCATCTTTTTTTATTTCTTATTCTTCTTCTTTTTTCAATTTTTATTCTTCAGTCTTTTCTCGTTTCTTTACATCCTTTAATTCACTATTTTTCTTTTTATTTCTAATTTTCTTTATATTTATTTTCCGGTTTTCTTCTTCTTGATTCCGCCCATCTCTCTATCTTTATCATCTTCATCTTCTGTGGCATCATCTTATTCCAATTTTTATCTTTCGATTTTGTCAACTTATTCTTTGTTCACATATTCTTCAATTCTTTTTTTTGTTGGTTTTGTGTCTATCATTTCCGTCTTCACCTTTTTCTTTTTGTCATCTTCCAAACTTTCTTCTTCTTCTACTCCCCCTACTCTAAATGTTATTCATATTTCTTCTTCGTATGGCTTTTTATTTATATTCTATTTCTTTATTTATATTTTTTTCTCCGACATTAATAACGATCTAATCTTGTCAAGAATCGTTTCTCATTTACAAATATAAAATAAAAAAATAGAATTTTTTGACAATCATCCAACAATCTACATATAGATTTTCAAGGTCCGATAAGTGAAAAGATCTCCTAAGTTTTTAAAAAACATATAGACTTTCAAAGATTATTTTCATATATATTTTTATTATTCCCAATTTTTTCATGATGTTTATTCTCCCTGATGGACAAAGCCATTTAAGTTAATTAAAAATAAATTTCTTGAAAGAACAATTTAAACTCCAACGATTTCATCTTCTTCGTCATTGTTCTTTCCTTCTGATTTTATTTGTCATTTTCTTTACCTTTCATTTTTTATCATTCAAAAAAAGAAAATAATTTGTATTCTCTTATTTATTACCTGTGTCTACTATTTAGGCAGAATACCATCATTATTTCTCTCATTAAAATATTCCATATGTGTTAGATCAAAGACGAAAATATTCCTCTCTTTCTGAATTTTGTTTTCATTACCTTTCAAATTCAATATCTGATGTTTTTTCATTACTTTTCATATTACATTTATTTATCAGATTCAAATAAAATATTAAATAATTTAGTTATTTTTCTATGTCTTTTTTCGTAAATGTGTTCATGAACTATTTTTTTTTATGCACACAAAACTAAACCCTACACCCACCAATATTAACTCTATATTTTAAACCCTAACCCTACAATAACCCTCCCCTTCCCTCTCCATCAACACTACACCATAACCAATACTCGGATCAATTTGAATTGTCTAATAATTTTCAGAACCGTTAACACATGTGCTCAGTCTGAGGCCTCTATCCATCTTTAATCCGGATATTGTATGCCTTCAGATTTTCTACCTTAACCATATCCAGCTCCAGAAAATTATAACACTCTATCATCAAACTAAAAGTAGGCTAAACAATCTTAAATGTTAATCATATAGTTCATTACTCTATCTGATCAGGGGAGAAGCTACACGATCCCTTGTCTTCTCTTCGCGTCCAACTGCTTTAAAACTTCCTATCTCATCGAGCATTGAACGAATTCAGTCTTGCGACACCGACAATGCACATCTAAATGATATGTCTTTCCTTAATCAGTCAACAGACTGAGCACTATGAGAGAACCACAAGCTCACATCCGAACCCAAGAAGGACAACACGGTGGATATTAAAAGCAAGAACATATTTTGGAGGCAAAATCACATATATGATGAATCAACAGTTACCCACAAAAGCTTAGGCCTTAAGAAACAATTTCCACAAGCTCACAAATCAATTACGTAAACGGCATTCGTAAACCAGTCTCGCTTACCAGTGACAACGACATGTTCTACTTAACGCAACAACACCTCAAAGGTGGAGGGAGGTAACTTGGATCACGATTCTCCTAATAATAACTTGGATGAAATTTTCCACCATTCACTCTCTCATGAAAAATAAGCAGAGACACGGCCACGATGAGCGTAAAAGAGGTCAGCTTCCACTCGACGACTTCACGAAAGACGATGGTATCTAGGAGTAGATGGGCGACGGAAGACGGTGGCTTTGGTGATTGCACTTTCTCGGCTTCCTCAGGTACATTTCTCTTCTTTTTTGGTAAAAAAAATTAGAGAATTTTGTGTTCTTCTCTCAACCAAAAAAAAAAACATGTGATCATTTTTATATACTCGTTACAACAGAAGCACCCGAGTCCTTCATGAGACGTAGACCGACGCTTTCCACATCACTGTCCCATAGCTGGACCTTTTCCTGATGATCGTGTAAAATTATGGCACGTGTTTCTTTGGAAACTGAGAAATATGTACCACTTGAGCCTTTAACGCGGATTGGAAACAGTGCCGGTCTTTGCCATCTGCCCATCTCCGATCAAATATTTAGGACAAAACTGAGGGCTCTAAACTGCTATTTGCTGCAAGATATTCGAAAATAACATAACCATCATCAAACTCTAGTGGAGATAATAGTATTTCAAAATCAAGTCAAAGAATTTATGAAACAATCAATCAAATATATTTCGTAAAAGGAGAAGTCATAGAAAATCGGCACATATGAATCAAAATTGGTTGTTACCTGATGTGTCACATATACACAGTTCGTAATCTTCTTATTAAAAGAAGAAGTCATAGAAAGTCGGCACATATGAATCAAAATTGGTTGTTACCTGTGTCACATATACACAGTACGTAATCTTCTTATTAAAACATGAGATCAACCCTTAAAAAACAAAAACGTTGTTTTTTTACCTCTAATATCTACTTTCTTTTTGGAGGTTTAGATTTTCTGTTATAGCAATGAGAGTTTGTAGTGGTGGGCTCTTCTCTACGTAACTTAATAACTTGAGTAAGAAATTTTACCAGACCACTATTTGTAATACTAACCGATAATAACTAATTCATGGATCTGTTTCAGCAAAGGAAGATTACTCCATAGTCAAATCCCAAAGCAGCCTAACATCTAATCCATTGTACTAACTCAAATTTCTTGAAATCAGGAGCTGTAGAGCCCTTTGTTCTTCTTCTTTTTTCACTTGTGCAGTAACCTTTTTCTGCCTAGATCAAAGGTAGGGTTTACTTAAGCCACTTTACGTCTAGCAAAAAGTTGACTTATGAACTACGGTATGGCTATCATCGGCAGAAGAAAACTATGTTCATGTCATGGAGAGAGATTTAGGGTTAAATATATATAGTGTATATATAGATTTGTAGAGGTTTAACTTTTTTTAAATAGTGGTGATCATCCTAAATAATATATGCGATTGTATAAAAGGATAATAGTAATGTTTACTTTTTATCAAAAAAAAAAGAATAAATAAATAAAGATATTCATGAGATTTTCATTAAGGGTATGTGGGTAATCAACCAGCTGAGAGTTAACGTGGTGGCTGGAAACGAAATTTTCACTTCGCAAATAATATATTAGATTATTTTATCGATAAAACAATAATTATTATTTTATAGAAATATTTTATCAAAAACAAGAAACTTTATAGAAATATATTTTTCACTTTTTATTCAAATTTTCCTTATACTTTGTTATTTACATATTTCATGCTCAGAAATTCAAAATCTATAAGAAATTATGTCTACTGTTCTTAATGGTGAAGATGAAGTTGAAGATGATGAGGAAGGACATGTGCAAGTAGTTAAGCAATTGTGGCTTCGAGAACTCTTCACAACTTTTGGCTGCATGTTGAGAATCACACCAGAAATTGTAATGCAATAAGAAAAATTCGAGATGAGCTCCAACGGGAATCCAACTTTCAGAAAAGACAAACTACATTGGAGTCATATTTTACTAAATTGTCTTAGATATATATGCTTAGTTTTATAATTATCTTAGCTTATTGTTGGGACTATATTTTTACATAGGAGTTTCAAAAATATTATTGTCTTATCATCTTATCGCATTATGCTATTTTTTACATTGGCCCGAGTTGGGACCGGAGAAAATTATTATCTTATAGTGTTTATTGTTTTATCGAGTATTGTTTTATAGAGGTTCTACTGTATATGACTGAAGACCTACCTATTCTCTAAATAAAAAGTCAACGATCTTTATAGAGACAACTACAGAGATGGAAATAAACATTGCAATTAGTATTCTAGATTTCTAGATAAAGAATGGGAGCGAGAAAATATGTTAGGAAATATGACCGGAGAATTTGTTGGAAAAGAGGGTAAAACTAGGAGAATCTCGAAATCAAGACAAGGCTAAATGATTTGGGGGTCTTGAGAGAGATTTTCTGTTTCTGAGATTTCAGAGTTTGATCACAATCTCCCAAATCGTTTGGATCCATTACTAGTTTGTACTGCTTTGATGGTTTTTACTTTTTAGAGTCTGTGTTTGGTTTCTACTTATTTACCATCTTGAAAAATTACATATTCTAAGAAACTGATTTACGAAACTAAAAATAGCTTTCAAGTTATAATCCAAAATACCATAAAAGAGAGCTGATTTTAGGTAAATATTGTAAATAGGTAAAGAGAGTATAAGAAGTCGAAGAATACTTCATATGATTTTTTTTACTTTAGAAATTGATTTAGTTGAAACAACAGTTGAAGAACACAAGACCAATCCTCCAAGAAAGACCCCACATGGAATAACCGCCACAATGTGATCACTCTCCTCTGTTTTACCTTCCACCCTGTAACAGAGCATCAAGGCAATGATTTCCATCAAAAGGGTCTATTGTAAAGACCAAGCAACGATTTCTCCCTATCTTCAACTCGTTTCCTAGCAGCTTCTCTCGCCTTCAACGCAGCTCTCTCTTCCGCAGACACTTTCTTCGGCTTCTCATCCACTCTCTTCCTCTTGTTGTTGCCAACCTCAACAGACGAAGCAGCTCCTTTCACAGCCCTTTTCGGGTTTAGCAAAGCCGTGACGACACGCCCAGGCGGCTTCCCGATGCTCGGTCCAGCTTCTGAAGAAGCTACAGCCTTCTTAACGAGAGGTACTTTCGCTCCTCCTGATGAAGACTTCACCGCAGCGTATGCCTCGTCTTGCGTCACCCAATGTCCTGTTTCACCATAACGCATAAGCACACACAAGCAACAACATACAAATTACATTTTAAAGTAAATGAAAGATAGATTATTATATCATACCTATTGAGTCACTGTAATAGAATCCAGACTTTGAATCATAGTGAAGACCATTGCTCTGGTTGTAATAATATCCTGAAGCGCCGTCAAGCGTCCAATCTGACATAAACAGTATCATCACCACATCAAAACCCCAAACAAAAAAAACTGAATGAAAAGGCTAAGAAATAAAAAATGCCAATCAAAAATGGTGAAAGAACCTGAAAGTGACTCAAAAGAAGCAACCGTTTCTCTCTCTCGTGTTGATTCTCTATAGAGTTTTTAGGCATTAAAACTTATAAGTCAAAAAGGTCTTTTCGCAAAACTGTGCAAGAATGCCAATGAAAGCAATTTCACATGGATCACACAGTCGTTTATGTTAGTAACAAAGCCTAAGCAATAACACTAAAAATCACCAACTATGTCAAACAACAAACTTGCTAATGGAGACAGAAAAATCTTAAAGGATCAAAGAGAGAAACTTACCGCGAGTACCATCCTCTGGAGCGCCGTTTGCTTTAGCTACTTGTTGAGCAGTGGCCATATCTTGCTGATAGCTACGAGTTGCTTTCTGAGACAAAAAAACAAAGTGAAATCAGACGATAAAACGTCAAGAAGAAAAGAGAAGTGGTCTTTGATGTGATTTAAAGTAATGAAATTTTTACTCACAGCTTCGATCTGTTGAAGCAATTTCTCGTTTTGCTTGAGGAGTTTGTCTTTGGCGGCGCTCTTCTCGCGCATATCGGTGAGCTTCTTATCGACACATTCTCGGTGACGTTTACCGAGGTCATGGTTTCTGATACTTGATGGATTGTTCTGAATCCAGATCTTACAGAATTCGCACCATTTGTTCCCTTGGCTCACCCAATACTAGCAAAAATCCAAAATAAAAACAAAAAATCTCAGATTCAATTTCAATCACGAAACAAGCGAAAACCTAGAGACGAACATGGGTTTCGGAAAAGATTGATGATTTGAAAAAAAGGTTCGTAATTCGACGGAGATTCGTGAAATTAATTAAGAAAAGATGCAAAAGCTTACCTCAGTCATGGCTGTCGATCTGGGAGATGAAGAACGAAACCAAGCTCAAAACCCAGAAAACGGAGTTACCGGAGCGAAATTATACAACTTTTTCTAATCAGCAATCCAGAACCAACTGAGGAATTACGTAGAGAGAGAGAGAGAGAGAGAGAGAGAGAGAGAGAGAGAGAGAGAGAGAGAGATTAGAAAACCCTAATTCGTTAAACTGGAATCGAAACCTAGAGAGAAGAAGAAGAGAAGGTAATATGTATTCAGAAACAATTGGGGGAAAATCAATTTGGTATGCTTTCTGATTAATTTTTCGATCACTCGAACCGACTTTAATTTTTCTTTCCGGTTTGTATTTGGTTAAACCGACTCTCGGGAAAAATTAAAGTAAAGATACAAACCGGAAAAGAAAAACCAAGATTCTTCTTCAATGAAAAATGCTCTGTTTCCATGTCTATCATCAATAACTTAATACGCATAACGAATGCTCTAGTTGGTTTAGTCTAGAACTAATGTACATTTATAAGTCAGAAACCACGAGTTTAATACTAAATTATGTTGAAGAAATACTTTCGATTGCCAAAATGTTAATGTAGATGTCTAGTGTTTCGATATCCATAGACATGCACCAGCTTTATATCATTGTTTATATGCTCAAATAAATATGCCAAAACCCCAAAAATTAATGTGGAATAAAACACAAGCTTGCTCCCAGCTGCTGTAACGTGTAACACAATCAATAACCAGAAAGAACAAATTATGCTAAGCCCTAACAGTGTGATGAAAAAAACTCACGTTGAAACCTTTAAATGAGACGTGTCGTCGTAAGAAAAAAAGAAAAAGACTATAATAATTGGTCACATTCGCAGCCAAAATACAAATACAAGCAACCTTTGATAACTTTATTGCTTAGAGAAAGAATACAGCTTGTATATCAAATAGCGATTTAAGACGACTTAAGGAAGCAACCATGTAAATTCATTCATCATCTAAAAGACACAAAGAATCAAATTTGTTAATGCTCTTAAACTTACGACCAACTTGTTCCACCGGAGCTTTAGCTGATGCTGATGTGGAGATTGGTGGTTCACGCTTCTCATCTTCTGGTGGGCTTATAGACGTCGTAGCATCTCCAAACGCCGTTTTCATATTGATAAAGTTAAGATCCTCCACAAAGATCTTAACAGTACGATACTTGGCTTCACCGTGAAAGTCAAAATGGTTACCTCCAAAACCTTTGATTTCAACACTTTTAACAGTCTTCCTTTCGGGATTGAGGTAGAAAACATAAAAAGGTTCAGAGATATAAGGATTGTCCATGGACAAAACAATTTCACCAGAGGCAGTCACACCTGAAACAACCATTTCATCGATAGAAAGGTGGCAGTCATGATCAATGAGGTGATTGTTCCGAGAAGTGTAGACATATTTGGACCATTCCGGTTCCGGTTCCTCGACATCCTTTAAAACCCACATACGCAACTTAAGTTTACGCGGAAGACCAACACACCTGCCATCATCATAATACTTAAATTCCCGAGTAATCACGCCTAACTTACCCTTGTAGTTGATCAGAGTATTATCATGATAACTAGGGAAATCTCTATTTATAAACTTGAATTTCTCAGACCTAACGTCAAAGCAAACTATAAGACAAGGTAAATAATCCTTTTTTTTCCTAGATGCTAAGTAATACAAAACACCATTGATGCATATCCCATCTTCATACATGGGAAAATGGTTTAAGGAACAATGGATCTTGATCTTCCTCCACGAATCGTTTCCAGCTCCTAGGGTCAAAATTTGTATATCATACTCTTCCAATTCACCGTAGTAATCATGGTAAGGAGAGCTAATGAGCAATACCTTGAATTGTTTTTCAATCGGATCAAACCCTAAAAAGGGTTTCCAATACTTCATCCCTTCAGGTAAATCTAAGGTTACGTACTGCCCCGTGACAGGATTACATATCACTGCAGATTTATCAATCCCCCTATCTCTATAGAAAAGAATCAAACCAGAGGCATGACCACCAATACATAGAGGCTTTTTGTCGTCTCCAGTAAACTTCATGGGCGAATCAGCGGTTACTACAAGAGGCGATGACTTCTCATATGTATTTTGAGGCTGAGGCGACGTGAAGAAGTGCCAATCATAGCCGTCGTCTCGTTGGACGGCGAATAAGAGATGCGGCCAACCCGAGGATCTGGTCCTGAACAACTCGATGAAATATGGACTGATAAGCATGGACCCCCATTGCTTCGACACGCAACGAAACCTAGCGATTGACGTCACGGGTAACCTAGACAATATCTCGGCGACGAGATCAGTTGGGATGGAAACTGAATCTTCTTCTCCTCTAATCATATTCAGTTTGGAACTTCGAATATGGTGTTTGTGTTTTCTAGGTCGGCTAGGGTTTTGAAGCTAATGTACAGTATATAAGGGGGTTCATGGCTCACTATTTATAATATACTATTCGAAAATATCGAAAACAATATTAATTCAAGGATCTCGGATCATTTAACATATATTATATGTATAAAATGTTAAATATACTGTTTAGTACCACACCGACCACACGAGTTAAATCTTTCTATCTATGTATATAAACTTGAATTTCTCAGATCTAACATCAAAGCAAACTATGAGAGAAAGTAAATCACCGATTTGATCAGCTAAGTAGTACAAAACCCCATTGATGCATATCCCTTCAACAAACAAGGGACGATGGTTGAAGGGACAATGGATCTTCCTCCACGAATCGTTTTCAGTTCCTAGTGTCAATATTTGAACATCCTGATTTTCATTTTCATCGTAGTAAGGTAGCAGTAAACTAATGGACAATACCTTGAAAATTGTTTGTCAATCTGGATCAAACCCTAAAAAGGGTCTCGCACCATACTCTATTATCCCTTCAGGTAAAGGTAAGCTCGCGTACAGCCCCGTGCCAGGATTACATATCACCGGAGTGTCTGGACATAGACAGAAACTAACTGATCAAACCAGAGGCATGACCACAAAATTCTAGCTGCGCCTCTCCAGGGAGCTTTATCTGAAAATGGGCGGCGGCTACTACTACAAGAGACGACGACGAAGACTTCTCATATGGATTTTGAGGCTGAGGTGACGAGAAGAAATACCAATCATTGTTGTTTGTTTCGAGGGTGAATAAGAGACACGGCCGAGCTGAGGATCTGGTCAGGAACAAGCCAAGCCCCCAAAAATAATGTGGAATAAAACATTAGCTTGCTCCCAGCTGTAACGTGTAACACAATCAATAACCAGAAAGAACAAATTATGCTAAGCCAACCAGAGTGATAAAACTCACGTTGAAACCTTCAAATGATAAGTGTCGTCGTAAGAAAAAGATTAAAAAAACTATAATAAATAGTCACATTCGCAGCCAAAATAAAAATACAGAAAGAATGGTGTGTGTGTTTTCTAGATCGGCTAGGGCTTTAAAGCTAATGAACAGTATATAGGGGGTTCATGGCTCACTATTTATATAATATACTATTATTAGAAAATATCGAAAACAATATTAATTTAACGATCTCGGATCATTTAACATAAATATATCTATATATATATTGAAGAAGAGAAGGGAATAAAAAACATCAAGGCTTGCTCCCAGCTGTAACGTGTGACACAATCAATAAGATAGAAGAAATTATTAATTATGCTAAGCCCAAACAGAGTGGTAAAACTCACGTTGAACCTTTAAATGAGAGAAGCGTCGTAAGAAAAATAAATAATACAACAAGTCAAACTCACAGCCAAAGTACATTAGCTTGATCAGTCTCTATGTTACGAATACTATATACACTTTAGCCATGACATGACATGAATAATAAAGAACTTAATTTCTTAAGAATTTATTTATTGTTTAGAGAGAGAGAGAATATATAGAACTTGGTGATGTGAAAGCAATCAAGTAAATTCATCATCATCTGAAAGACACAAAGAATCAAACTTGTTGAAGCTCACAAATTGGCGAGCTTTAGCCGATGATGTTGATGTGGTGGTTGGTTTACGCTTCTGCTCTGGTGGGCTTGTAGATATTGCATCATATCCAAATGCCGTCTTCATGTTAATAAAGTTAAGATCCTCCACATGGTCTACAAAGATCTTGACTCCACGACACTTGGCTTCACCACAAAACTCAAAATGGTTACCTCCGATACCTTTGATTACAACACTTTTTAGAGAAGAATCTTTTCCAGCTCATGTTGTCCCTTCTTGGCAAAATGAGTCATGGGACAATGGATCTTCCTCCAAGAATCTTTTCCAGCTCCTAGTGTCAAAATTTGAATATCCTGCTCTTGTTTTTCCCCAAGCATACAATCACGAGGCCTGACGAACAATAGCTTGTATTGTTTTCCAATCGGATCAAACCCTAAAAATCTTCTCCGTTTAATATCATTATCTGATCTCCACATACCATTCTCCATTTGCCTACTAGGTAAAGATAATCTCATGTACTCTCCTGTGATAGGATTACATATCACTGGACATCTATCATTCGACCGACGGAAACAGATCAAACCAGAGGCATGGCGATAATATTTTCGATAAATTTTGTCGTCTCCAATAAACTTCATGTGAGAATCAGCGGTTACTACAAGAGATGACGACGACTTCTCATATGGAATCTTAGGATGAGGCGACGTGAAGCAACACCACTCCCCGCTGTCTCGTTGGAGGACGAATAAGAGACGCGGCCGAGCCGAGGATCTGGTCCTGAACAACTCGATGAAATACGGACTGATAAGCATGGCTTCCCATTGCTTCGCCAGGCAACGAAACCTCGAGACTGACGCCGCAGGTAATCTCGACAATATCTCCACGACGAGATCAGTCGGGATGGAAACTGATGAATCTTCTTCTACTCTAATCATATATTAAGTCTGAACTTCGATAATGGTGTGTGTGTGTGTTTTCTCCAGACCGGCTAGGGTTTTAAATTTAAAAGCAGCAATCTAGCTAGCTCCTTTAACCTAAATATATTATTCGAATCGAACCAAACCAAGAGGATTTTGGTTTCGGTTCGGTATCTTAGAACAAATCGACTTTTTGATGAAGAAAATTAATTTATTGGTTTAGCCACGAAACCGAGATGGACACTAACTGTTGCTAATTGTTTTTTCTATTGCTAATTCGCCCGGTGCTACACTGTAACAAGTGGTCATCTGAGAGATATGTGATATGGATTTGGAATGGATATGTAGATATGTATGTGTATACGGTTTATGATTATCACTTCTTGAAATGTTGTCGAACAATGCTGACTTGTTGAGAATGTGATTTTTACTAATTTACTTTATGTATATTTATAAAGAGTTACATTCTCTCTTTTTTTACGAAGTATGATTATGTAGGTGGTACACGATACTCAAATCAACACAGCAAAAACCCATGTGCCTCTCCAGGTGTTAACAGCTAAGCTTTTTTAAGTCTTTTGGAGCTGACAAATCATTAAAATCAGAGAGCCAATGGAAACATTTCATTTAATCTTAGTCAGCATTTTCGTTGGTTTACTTAGCCACGTAATCGGTCCGGTTTGGTTTATTTATTTTCTTCCCCGACCCAGTTTCGTTTCATACTTCTTCCACGCAAAAATCGGCCATTTCCAATCTCAGAATTCTCTAGCAAGCTTTGCATCAGCCTGAACAAATCTCCCTTAGCTGGCGCGTGCCTCTCTCGATACCTTGCGTTTCCTCACCGATGGACACTGTCTCCGAGTCTCACATGGCTGCCGCAATGGCTTCTCTTAGAGGGATCGGAATCGTCGCTCAGGTCATCGATAATTCGCCAAGCCAAATCTCTCAGACATCCGATTGCTTCCGACGCCGGCGTGAAATTCCCGGAGTACGAGATTACTTCTTTGGATGCCTTCGTTTTGTCACCCAAACATGTACGAATCATATTCCTTTCTAGGAATCTATCACTGTTCCAATGATTTGACATGAGCTCTGGCTAAACTTTTTGATTGATTTAATCAGGAACAATGACGACTCCGAAATTGTTAGGCTACGTCACGAATTCTCAGTGGACGAAAATGAATTACGAGTAAAGGGAGATGAAGATATACGATTACATGAAGAGCTGCGACGGCAGTGACTACTCTGCACCATGGGACATTGATCTTGACAAGATTGAGGCTCTTTTAAAAGATAAGCAAAAGGCTTTGTGGTTCTTGAAAGACATGGTGAGACTGTGAACGTGGTGACAAAAGACGATATAGAGAGAGTTAAAGGATATCCAAAGTCAGGACCAGGGATTGTAGGTCCAGACGGTGAGTGGATCGTTGGCGCGGCATAGGGACGAGGGAATCAGACAAGGATAGGCTTGAGCATTTGGTTAACGCTGGGTTAATGCTATAGTGTTTGATACCCTGAATTGGATGTGATTGGTGGTAACGTTGTGACGATTGACCAGGCGCAGAATTTGATTCAAGCTGTTGATGGGTTAAGAGTTGGTATGGGATCTGGTTCGATATGTACCACACAAGAGGTTTGTGTAGTTGGTCGTGGACAGGTAAAATGAAAAGCTTCACTTTAGTTACATAAATAGTCTTGCGATCGATTTGATTATGGGCTAAAAATGGCTTCAAATGGGTTGGGGAACACGTCGAAGTTAGACGTCCACCAAGAACACGGGAAAAAAGCAAAGCCATACTCCACTCGAGACTCACACTCGACATGTATAAGCAGAATCGGGAAAGCCATAGGTGTGTTGTCTAATCTAGGCTTCACAATGACTCTAGAAGTGATCATGGAGACTGTTAGCATTAGAAATTCGAAGGATATCAACGACTAACAAGACATGCTTAGATCAGAGTTTCACGTTGTGGACCTTATGGTCACGGAGAATGAAGCCGAAAGAAGACGTGGAAAGAGGAAGAAGTGAAAGACCAAAACAGAACTGCCATCGAAACATGAGACAACAAGTAAGAATATACCAAATCTTTTTTCGTTCACACAAATTAAAAAAAAAAACTAAAGTGAAATTGTTTAAAAGGCAAAGAGAGTGGAAGATTTGTTAGTTGTGATGAGTTGAATCTTCTCTTCCCCTTTTGCGTGTGTGTGAGGCAAATAAAGTGGAGATTTCTAAGTTGTGACTTGTGAGTGGCGTAGTAATATGATTTTATTTCAGGCGCATTGGAAGTTCCAAGATCTCAATCTTGCTCAAGGATTACTTCTCAAACTTTCCACATTAGTTTCCGTTCTGCATGTGCTATGTTTATATGTTTTAATTTCCAAAGGAACAAATATTTAAAAAACAAAACCCAGGATATATAGATTCTTATTGATTGTGGAGATATCCAGTGTTCCATTCATGCAATAATACTTTGTCACATTTAAGGGGAAGGTGTTCTCTTGCTATAGGCTCAACATTAGTCAATCTTATCACCACCGTAACCTCTCAATATTTTTATTTTGCTTATATATTATATTTTTCATCCACATGTATTTATTAGTTTTATAGTGCTATACGAACTGTCCAAATTCTCTCTAATTTAACAATATTTTCAATAGGCACAAAGTGTCTCAGTAAGACTTGGACCAAAGTATAGTAGATAAAAGATAATTTAGGACTAAAATACAATAATATTTTACAAATAATCAGAGGTTGACGCCATGGACACTAAACAAAACATTGCGTCAAGGACATTAGCATATATATTTTTCAAAAATGAATTACAAAAATGAAAAACAATTAAATGAAAAAAGTAACAATACTACCCGCGCGTACCTAGTTGATTACTAAAATCTTAATGACTCCTAGTTGTTCTTATTGAAAGGCATTTACATGATCTCTTGAAGATTTGACTTCCGTCCAAAGTTAGGATATCATACAATTTTTTTTTATAAGCTAGAGTTTATATATAATCAAATAGATTTGAAGACTTAGAAAAATGATAGTTTGGATTTTATTAAATGTGCCACATTATTCTATTAATATACTGTAATTACATACATTCAACATGAACCTTGATTTTCAAGATCCACTAAACTAAACATCAATCAAACGTATTTACATCAAAACCAGAACGACTATAAGATCGAACCAGAGATATATTGACAAACCTTTTAAGGAAATAATCAGTAGGTGGGGGGACCCAATACGACACACCAGAAACAAACGAGGGCACATCAGGGGATTAAGGTTTCCGCGTGGAGTTGGTCGTAATATTGAGATCTTTACGAGTCAATATTTTCGTTCTCTGTTATATTCAAATACGAAAAGAAAAATGAAATGCATCTTTAGAATGGATGTGTGTATGTAGCCGACAAAATCAAACTAAGCACTTCGAACACACAATCATTTTAATTTGGATGTGTGGACATCATCCTCCCCTCATTAAAGTATTTAAAACGTCCAGTTTCACATAAACCCAGAAGATAAATCCCTAATAACCTATGCACAAACTAAATCCATTACTGACCTAAAAATGGTGAAATGATCGGCACAAGTATTAATTCTATTCGGTTCACGGTTTGGTTCGGCATCGTGGAACCGATCAACTTTTTGGTTTACGTGAAAAGCTTTTATATTCCTTTTACAGTTCTCATTTCTAATCCAAGAATCATCAGAGAGTAAAGTTCTTGACATCCTTTTTCTCTTTTTTTAAATCTGATTTCACATTTTCTTCACCGTGTAGCTTTCAACGAGGATCGAACAGAGACTCCATGTAACAGTTTAACAAACCCGTAGAAGCTCAGTTTCCCATCTGAATGTCTTATCCAATCATGTAGAACCGATGGTCCAACACCAAGTTCCTGCAAACTCAAAAAACATGTGTCAAGTCTTTGGCTTTTAAAGATCATAAATAAATGTCTTTGTTCATCCAAATCGAAACGCTTTAATTACTTACAGAGGCGAGTTCTTCAATGACATTAGCTCTGTTTCCGTTCTTGTCGAAAAGCTCATAAGCATGAAGTTTGCTCTGTTCCCAACAATCAAGCGTCTCGTGCTGATGAACGTTTAAAGCAGCTGCACAAAACTCTTCGAAATCCATTCCTCTTCTTTGAAGTCCATTTAGCTGTAAAAAAGCCATTCATGTAAAAAGGCATTAACACCAAAACTGTTAAAGTATCTGTTTAAAGTCTGAGAAACATTTTCTTACCAAAGTAAGAAACTCTATTATTCGAGACTCCTTCACTGCTTTTGTTGCATTGCTTGCAAGTGCCTGTCAAAAACATCAAAAAATTAGACTACTACTACGGTGTTCTTATCATCTTTAACAGAAGTTGAAATGTTACGAACCAATCTAATGTTATCCAATGTGATGAATCCATCTTTATTCGGTGAAAGGAGATAAAACTGAGTCCTCAAGTAAAGAATTTCATCTGCGACTAGCGTCTTGGACACCGCCTGTAGAAAGAAAGAAAGCACACAGTGAGAAAACATTCTTTCAATGTTCTTGTTTAACACTTTAGAAAACATACCCTCAAAGCAGCTTTGCGCAATGAAGACGACCTCAAGTAGGCCTTCATCTGCCTAAAGATCAGAACATCAAACGGGATGTTCGTGTCCGTATTACAACCTCGGATCCAAGGATGCACTGAAAATGGTAAAAAGGAACTACATTTGGTGATTTGTGTTGTGACTACCAAAAGAGAACAGACATATATATCAATAAAGAGAAGACTGACGCAAGGCTTGTGAGGCTGACATTCTTCTCCTGGGGTCTTTATACAACAACCGCTTGACAAAGTCTTTAGCTTCAGAGGACAAGCAAGGCCAAGGAGATTGGTCGAAACTCGGGTCAGTTTTAAGAACCGCTCTGAAAACTCCAGACTCTGTTCTTGCCCAAAACGGACGGGAAGCACTTAGTAGATTGTATGCTATGACTCCAATGCTCCATACATCCGCGTCTGTTGTATATGACCTGAGCAGCACTTCAGGCGCTACGTAGTACGCACTTCCCACTATATCGTTGAGTCTTTCATCTATTCATAATAAAAGGGCACAAAACACACAAATTTTAGATTACTAACAGAAAAAAAAAGAGAGTTAAAATATGATGATTGATGAATGAACCTGGTCTGACAAACTCTGATAAGCCAAAGTCTATGGCTTTAAGCTGAGAACTCTCCTCCTTGGAAGCGAACAAGAAGTTCTGATGACGTAAAGTAAGAGATAATCTTCTTTCCGATGGTTAAGGCAAAACAAGAAGAGAGAGAGAGACTTCACCTCTGGTTTAAGATCTCGATGAACAACTCCTTGGAGATGACAGAAAGCTACAACATTTAGGATTTGTGTAATCACTTGCTTTGCATCATCCTCTGAGTATTTCCCTCTCCTAATACAAAACAAGAACAATCTTTAACCTTATGTTTCCGGAAATCTTAAGTACTATAAAACAAGAAGCAACAAACCTTGCATGTATTCTTTCAAGAAGTGTACCACCTTCACACAGTCTGCAAACTCAAACTACGTTACTCTAAACTGATTCAACATTAGGCAAAAGAAATTTACAGATAGGAGGATAGTTTTTTCTTACTCCATTGCGATGTAGACGTTGGCATTGTCCTCAAATGCATCGTAGAATTGTACCAGATTCTTGTGTCCAGATAAAGCCTGTAGAATTTCCACTTCCCTTCTCACATCTTCTATAGCAATTGAAGTTGTCATCTGCCAAAAATTAAACAACACATTCTGTTCCATCAAGAACGAAACTAACTAAGCTAAGCTTATTGAGAATACAAAAGAGTCAACTTCAAGTTGATTTGACCTTAGATTTGGGGATGATCTTGACAGCAACCACTTGACCTTTGAGCTCTCCTTTCCTAAATTTAGCAGAGCAAGTGTACCCAAAATGCCCTCGTCCGATCTCGTCTCCTAGTTCTACTCTACTGTGAAACTCTTTCGAAAAACCAAATCTTTTGTCAAGCCCAAGTTCCTCTTCCTCCTCCTGCGACGGAATCTCATTCGCCGCCGATAAAGCAGACTCCTTTTTCGCCTTCCTCCGCCGTAGCGCCGCCCGTATGTGTTTCGCCGGAGACTGTGGGTGAAAGGCACGCCGTAAGTGACGGAGCGGCGTGCTGGTCACGCTCTTGCTCTCTCCTTCTCCTCCTCCTCCTCCGTCGCCGACATCACGGCTTTTACTGCGGCGGTGGCGAGCAGGGCTCGGCGTGAATAAGGAGAAGAAAGGAGAGGCCTTTCCGGCGGAAGGAGTCGGAAAAGGTGAATTTTCGGGATTAAGATCGTCAATTTGGGGATACTCGTTTCCGGGAAAGAAAGGGTTAGGTCTGCCGGAGCTGGACGGTTTGGAAGTACAGCCTCCCATAATTTCCGGCGCGTAAAGAGAAAGACTTTAATTAGAGAGAATTTCACAGTAATGGCATCAAAGCTTTGGTTTTTAGAGAGGGAGAAGTAAGTGTAGACTGTAGAGAACAGAGAGAGAGAGAGAGACAGAGAGATCACATCGGTGTAGAAATTGAATTTGAATCTGAAAAATGGGGGTAGTAATTAGTTGCTTTCTGCCACGTATTAATTGTCTTAATTTATTACATTTGCTACTTTCTTTGATCTGTTGTGTTATACTTGTACACATCTTTGTTATTTTAATGAGGAGGTCATTAGTGAGATCATTCTTTTGTACATTGTTTAAACTGAATTTATGATTTAGCAGGGACCTTTTAAATTAAAGAAAATATCGCTAACAGTTGGTGGGATAGTGAAGATTTGTAAATCGTAGATAGACTCCTACGTTCTGTCATATTATTGAATACATGACATGACACGTTTTGAATAGTTCGTAATGAATTGTATTTATTTCTAATGTGTTGTTAAATGAATATAGCTAGATTGGATAATTGTTTAGTACTATAAATTAGAGAAAATAATATATTTTCTTGGTCGTGTGTTTTTGCTTGTATTTAAGATGATGATGCGTGTAACCTAACTACTCCATTGACCATCGTATTTAGAGTTAGACTATGGTGTAGGTTAAAAACATTTTTAAATTAGGAGTATGATGTAATTTTCATCAGCCTATACGTACATGTGTATTTTTCATTTTTCACTGTTCCACTAACTCTCGTCTTAACAATCTCTTGAAGTTGTTGGATAAAATTAAATGATTTTAAATCTGTCTTCCAATCAGTAATCAACCGGCAATACCTGAGAAGTTGGTTGCTTCTCTTTGGATTTGATGGAAATTCATATCATCATTCAATGCTTAATAGCTTCGTTTTCAATTCACAGAAAAAACAAAAAATAGTATTTGTCTGCTAAAATAGCCGATAAAAGCATGCATTAGTTCTGAACTTAAAAGTGGAATTACTTGAAATGTCGTTTGCCTGCATTTGGGCTTGATGGATATGTATTATCATCGTTTCTTTTTCAACTAAGTATTTTTCTCATCATTAGGTTCTTCTTTTCTTTTTAAAAAAAATATTATCTAAGAATTAATTCAATTTCTAAGGCTCCAACCATATGTAACATATTTATTTTTCTTTCACGCTAAGATGATCGGCTGTGAACTGTGATAGATATGTATTTATATATACACGTGATCATGCAGTGCTTAATTTAATATTTTTGAAATTTCAAAACAAAAGAAATTTGTTTCCTAATATGTATAACTATGAGTCTGTGGCCATTAAAAACAGAACCAAATCGACGACAATATATATAGTTCGAGAACTAAGAAGAGTACTTTATGTTTATACCAGTGAGGGACTTCGATTTAATTTTGGGATATAACAAATACAAGAAAAATTCAAAAGACACAGATTCCATTACACACAAACACACATACAATACAACTCCAAGTATTTCTTCATCCTTCTGTGATCCATAGTAGATACAAATATAAGGCTGATTTTCACCATATATATGAACATATTTTATTCATGGATTGGTCTATATTATTCAGTTTAAAAGGTAGATTAGTTCTAGATATCTTATAGATTGTTTGGATTGACTGTTGACGTTCAAAGGAGTCCATTTATAACTTAACCTGGAAATCCACATTTTGCTCTAATCACTCCATCACTTCCGGTCATAACTCCGATGTTCCCCATTTTAACCATTGAAACCGCGAAATCCCTCGAGAACAAGTACGGATTCTCGCTGTAAGACTTCACCAAGGCAGCAGCCGTAGAATCCGTCATTAGGGTTTGGTCGGAATCGAGCAGCCCAACGTTGTTCATTAGGTTCACGTAGTAAGCATTGTCGAACTTGACGGCACTAGCTGCGTCAAGAGCCGCAAGCTTAGAGTCAGATGAGTCTACGTTAGGACACGTGTTCTTTAGCTTAGAGAGAAGAACCGAGGAGGCAGCTAGGTTCGGGTCAGGCTGGCCTGAGCCCTTGAAGTTGAACAGCCTGTGCTTGAACACGAAACATTGTGCAAATCCTATGGTATGTGCTCCTACATACATATGTGCAATCAAAGTAAATCAGAAAATAGTGCAAATCAAAAAGAATGATGAACTATACTATAAAAAGGAATATTATTACAAAATTCAATCGATTTGCTTGTCCCTAGCAATAAATTGTTTAGATAATATGAGTATTTGGTTGATTTTTAATTATTTTTATAAAAAAACAGTGTCATTGTTATAACCAGCAACAACAAAAATTAGTTGAGCATTTTTTGATCGAAACTAGATGGACACTCGTATTGATATAAAGTGAAAGTTGATATTAATTAATCAAACCTGAGAGGACAACAACATCTTTGAGGTCAAGTCCAAGGGCCACGAACTTGGCCGTTATATTCGCCAACGGCTCAAACGGTGACGGCAGATTTGTATTCGCTGCTTGCTCACTAGCCGTCAACGAGTCCCTTCTCCCCAACGGCACCGGCCAAAACGGCCCTCCGGTCTGCATATATGGCATAAGAAGTCATGCGTATATATGATTAACATCACCGATCCATAATAATTTGAAACATTTTAGATTAATATTAGCGGTTTTAAGAGAACACGTACGAGGACGACGGCTTCTCTAGCTGCAAGAGCAACTATGTCGGCGCATGAAACAGTTAAGGGACAAGAGCTTTCAATATCAGATTTGATGTTTTCAATGACTTCGAAACCACGAACTGAGTTTCGGTTTGGCCGAGCGTTCTTCTCTCCTCTAAAATCTTCTGTATCTTCTAGAAGAATTGAGCCATCACAACCCTACGTACAAAGACAGTGAAAACCAAGAAATAGAGAAAATAACAATCAATATATATGTTCGGTACATTTATATATGTCTTAAGTAAACTAGCCTTTAGTCTAATGGTTTTCACTAAAAATCCATGTTTATGTTTTAATAATATCCATTTATATATATAAAAAAAAACCTTCGTATACTAATGTGTGTATATATATATATATATACACGGCTAAAATCTTAATAATGGACACTAGAGTATGAGTGATATATAATCTACAGTTACGTATGCGTGAAGATAAAATAATATATCGCATAACTTACATTGACAAAACAATCGTGGAAATGGAGACGAAGAATAGACGCAGCGATTCTAGAATCAACTTTAAAAGCTTTCCAAACCCCTGACTTAACAATCATCTGTAGACGAGGACAAGACCGGTCATAGAATCGATAGTCGAGATTGCTAACTAGTCCGTACCCTTGAGGACCGGGACCATTGTTATATCCCGAAGGAAACGAGGAGACGTAGTCGTTGAAGAAAAGGGTTAAGATTGCTAGGTAAGTAACAAACCAATACGAAAAGCTTTTGCGATCCATGTTGATGTAGTAATAGATGGATGATCGTAGATTGATTGTGTATTGCTATGATGGTTTTAGCTTGTATTTATACACCCAAACAAGGTGTAATTTTTTGTTTTTAATATCAAGGCGCCTCGGAGATGCATGCATAGTTAAGAAAGTGGGAGTACCACTATTAATAAGATAATTTAGTGGGATAAAATTTGAGCATTTTGTAATATTTGGGTTTTGTCAGTTAGTTCAGTCACTTGGCAAAATAAATTATTTGTTTTTGCCCATTTTAACATGTGATTTGATCTCGAATTAAGATGTCATATATCACACTAAGTCATACAAACTTTCAATAAAACCCTATAATTTTCGGAAGTATATTCTTAAGTTTTTGAATAGTGGGAAAATTCAGTGCGTGAAAAAATATAAACTAATGGTCTAATGCCTCCACTTCTTCTTTTTTCTTCTTATTGATAACGTTGGAGGCGCATTTTGATGTGTTCAACGCAGCCAATGTTTATTTCCTTGATTTATAAAGAGTGTCGTATATACAATATATTAAAAATATTTTTAATACATACTCAATCACTTAAAGACATATTTTCAAACAACGCATTATTTTATCTCTTTGTTAGAGTATACTCAGTATAGTGTATTTGAATCTAATTTTGTTTTGCAATGACGTTTTTAAAGGGTTTTGAATAGCAAAAGACAAAAAATCATGAGTACACAAATAAGTTATAATTGTCGTAGCGCTTATTATAGTACTAGATGATTACCAACACGGTGCATGATGCGCAGGTTCAATTGCTTTGAAGTAGAATAAGTATGATTTGACATTAATTAAGAGGATTGCGCAACATATTCCACCGAAGTCTACGCTTCCATTGGTTGGCTAGAGATTCCACAACTTTCCAGTTTCCACAACAAAAGTGGAACCGTGACAGTTTATGAACTATTTGAGGCTGCATATCCTTCAGTGCGTCTACAATAGATAACAAATTAATTAAGAAGTATATTTCAAGCGGTGGTGTACATATTTATTGTAGACAACATAAGACTAATTTGTTAGAAAAACAAAAACAATTATCATTTATTACAACTAAATAACACTAATGCACTAGAAAATTCAAAATATATTGTAACACATCAAAATTCAGGGGTGTTTTACTTTAACCAATAGTATTGGAATTTCATGAATTTTTAGCAAACAATTAATATGAAACAAAGATATGAATACTGATTAATTATGAAGACGTGATTATGGTAGTGGCAGTGATGCAGTAATCGATGGTGGTTTCCACTTACACATGTGGAGATATTTGACAAATATAACCATATTGTAATGAAGTTTTGGTACTTTAAGAATATGGGCATTTAGTCGGAAAAAAGCCCTATTTGGTAAAGAATTGGCTGTAAAATTTTATTTTAAATTGTAGTGTTACAGTCAAAACAAGCTATAGTTGCACCAAGAGACTGATAGAAAAAGTAATCACCAAAATAGTAACATACTTGAAAATTCAAAAGCTATAAACAATAGAAAGTAGTAAAGATGATTTCTGACATGCACACGATGCAAGTTCCAAACAAAATTTCAAGTTTACGTCCAAAAATGTACATCTGAAAAACAATTCACCAGGAGAGATTGACTATAAGAAAGAAGAAGTATCAATATCCAGAGACGCCACACTGCTTTTAAGATTAGGTGAGCGTTGAAAACATAATTTTCAAAGCATATTATAATAAAGAAAATAAAATAAATCTAACAAGATTCAAATCATCTAAGAATCCGAATAAATGACCAAACACATGCTAATGTCGCTCCTATTATTATCCTGTCCAAATCCAGGTAAAAAAAACCAACATTTAAATCTCATAATTCATAAGTATTTCTTTTTCTTTGTAAAGGAAAAAATTAGTTTCAGCTCTTGAAACAAACATTAAAATTTATATTACTCTGAGTAATGCCTCAATTGAACCCAACCAAAAAGAAAGCCGTACACAAAAATAGACTACCAATCTCTGCAAATTTGAACCATCCTCACTCACTTATCCACTATATCACTCTCTCTCTCTCTCTTTATGTATATAAACCTATATCCTTTCTATAAATATTGTTCTCATACAAAACCGGAATCAAGAGTTTGGTTCTTGAAAAAGATTTGAGTCTTTTAAGGAGTTCTCAATCTCTCCATCTGAAAGTTCTCGGATTTAGCATCTTCAGCGTCTTCCATGCTACTATCTCCACCTGTTGTAGTTGTCGTACAAGGTAGCTGCAACGGACCTTGCGGAGAATCCGACTGCGAGTTGCTTCTCTTTGATGATGATCCTCCTCCTCCTTCACCGGTTTCTTCTTCTTCTTCCTCTTGTGATGATGAATTCCACAAGCTAAACCCTAAAACAACTGATGATTGTTTCTCCGGATTCGAATTAGGCTTCCTCATGTGTAACCGGTACTTCTACACGTCACAGAGAAAACAGAGAAACTGGATTCTTAGTAACATTTGTTTAATGAATCAAAGATCTCAACTTTTGTTTTTAGTATGTTACCTGTAAATGACTCTTCACTTCATCGTTGGTTAAGCCTTCTTCTTGCATATGCTCTCTGATTTGCTTAGGAGTTGCCACTGAGTTTAGCACACAAAGATTACAACACATTCTGTTTTCAGTAGCCAAATTCAAGAACAAGAAAATGCATTGTCTTTTTACCTCCAGGTCCACCAAGCTGCTGCAATGCATCAACGAAACGGCGATGTAACTCAGGAGTCCAACACCTTCTCTGCTTCCGCCGCAAAGCTTGCTGCTGAAGATACGGTGGTTGCAGAGGTGGTGGTGGCTGTGGCATAGAGCTGCAAGAGGCAATTCCTTTTCTTCTTCCATTAACCATGGAGCTCGAAGCTAAACCGAGGCCTAAACCAGTTTCTACTTTTGGAGTTGTCATGCCAGGAATCAACAACATAGATAAGCCATTTGTAGATTTCTCCTCATTTCTCTGCAACGATTAGATTCAAAACCCATCTCAGTCCTCTGTTCTGATTTCATCGTAAAACATTTGCTTGTATCATCCAAATTCTCCAAAATGATTATCTCAATTTCAGGGTTTTACCTCAATCTTGGTATCTGAGAATCTGTGGTTTGAGAAGTGATCATTTGCTTTCCACTGCAGAAACTTGTTCTCCTTCATTAGCTCCTCTCTTCTCAGCAATTGCATCTCAATTCCATCTTCTTCCTTGTGTTCTTCTCGAATAGGTTTATTATTATTAAGAGAGATGAAATCTTTCAATAATGGTTGAGTATTCATCTCTGAGCATCTCTTAGTTTCCTCCTTTAAATACGAAATCGCTGCAAAACCAAAAAATAAAAGTTTCAGCCTCCAAAAATCAAATTCTCAAATTTTCGAGATCAATCACACGAACCATTGTTTAAAATCTCCAGACACAGAGGAAGCTGGAGGTCACAGTCTTCGATCTTCCTCTTCTCTTCTTCAAGCTTCTCAACATGTTCCTCCGATACATTGATGATGATCTTCGAAGCTTTCCTCGGAAAACCAGAGATCGTATTCATAGGCAGCATCGAACTGTGTCTCCTCAATCCCAAACTCAGCTCATCCCCAAACGAACCCATTTTAATTTCCCCCAGAAAAAAAAAATCGAAAACTCAAACTTCTCCAGAATTAATCATGGCAAAAGCAAAATCACTCTCATGATCTTCAACAACAGAGTAAAATAGCAAGTATAATAGAGAACAGTGTGGAGAAACAACCTGAGAAGAGATCTATGTGAAGCGATTTTATAGAAGCTGCAGAGAGATTAGAGTGTTTTCAACTTCCGAAAGAGAGAGAGAAGAAGAAGATTGATTGAAGGAAGGAAGGAAGAGGAAAACAAGAGAAGATTCTGTAAATGGGAGTGGGTCCCGTATCTTTTCTTTAGATATCAAAGAAACTCTTCGCTTCGTCGCGTATCTCTCAATTTCCTTATCGCGAGTTTACTCCTTTCCATTTCATACCAAACTCGTGATTTTCTCAATTGCTTTTAGCTCCATTTTTACTTTTTTTTTTTACCATTCACATTAGTTTTCTCCTTCGAATTAATAAGGCAAAAAATGTCCAATTCAAACGTTATTGAAACAACATTTTCTATTGCATTCAACGTTGGACCATTTCAGTTTTTGAAAAGCATTTTTATGTGTAACAAAATCTTCAATAGTTTTTTAAAAAATATAGATGGTAAACAAAATTACCTTCCCTACTATCTCTCAACGAATATTGGCTTTTGATTATTATGTGATTTCTATGCCTTATATTCATGGCATTGTATTTGAATAGCTTACTAGTAGTTATTAGACTCACACCTCTTCTGCCTCTTAATACTTGCAGCAAAATTAATACCGAGTTAACGACGCTGTTAGGTTTGTTCAAATTTCATTGTTTTGGGGTTGTGATATGTATGACTTTAGAACGGGGGGAATAATAAAAAGTTATTGTCGGTTAAAATCATAAATTCAAAGATGTGGTGCGTCAAAGTCAAAGATACTAAAACCATATGGGATTAGGGGCACCAAGAAATGTGATTGTTCGACTTTACGATTACGAGCTTTTGTGAAGTTGAAGATTTTGTCCAAAGAATAACTTTTGCAAATGCTTCTCTGGCTCATCCTCCAACAGAATGCGAACACGTGGCCACTAGAAAAGGACCTAGGATTCTAATCATTTTCCAATACCAAATAAGAAAGTCAGATTTTTAGTCTTCTCTACGCATCAAATGATTCGAATTTTTATGTGTTCTTTCCGTAAAATGTTAAAATATTTTTTGTTTATTTAAAAATATTTATAATTTGGGAGATTTTAACACAAGCTATATGAATTTTTCTGATGTGATTATTGTAAAGTTAACTATTCTACAAAAGTGACACTTTTTTCTCAACAGAATAGTGAATATAATTAGGCATATTTTGACTCACTATGTCATGTGCAGAGAATAGTTTAGTCTGACAAATCAACATGAAAAAATACATTATGTTGAAAAAAGTGTCCCAATATATTCTTCGAATTTACGAACACGAGACAAATATTTTGGAAAGGCCAATCGAATCTCTATCTGTTTACTATATTTATTTTATGCGGTTTATATTCTCATTTTACTCTTTCATAGAAACAAGAATCTTGCCCATCTATATAACAAAAAGAGAGAGAGAGAATCTTTACCCATCAACCAACCGCTTCAATATATGCCAGAATTTTATTTGTACTATACGCAAATTAGAATATGTCATGATAAATCACATATACACCAGTCTCAAATATTGAATTTCGACCTCGCATTGGATCCACATCGATTTCTATCATCTCAAATTGGTTTGTCGGATAGTCAATTAGTCCATAGTCAAAGAATCTAACTTGTATTTTTTAAAAATTCATGATTACTTCAAAACTTATAGTATTAGTTATATATATAGACTAGAGTTCAAATAGATTCCTTGTTTAAAGCATGATTATGCTGACATTTGAATTTAAATAGATGATATAAGGTATACAGAACGAATTAATTGACTTTCGTCGAATTACATTTTTTTTTCTTGTGTGATTTAATTTGATTTTTCACGTTTTCATTTATTATCTTTTTTTCTTATACGCGGATCTTATGTAATAATACTGGTGCATATATTTTTCTTTTGTATAATTTTATAATAGTGCCGTGAAAATTTTATAACAACACTTCTAGTTTTTTTTTTTCCTTCAAACCTAATAAGTACACATTTGGATTTTTGTCGGAAAAGATACTTGGAAAATGGAATAATAGCAACAAAAAAGTAACCATCGTTATTTCTTTCTAAGAATCTTTCACGTGACAACAATGCCGAATAGTATTTGTATCGGCTCGACTTTTGTATGATTCCAATTCCCATCATTATGTTTCTGTCCCCCTATTCTTCTTTTACTTTCCTCTCTATACACACCATTCAAAACGATTCCATATTTCAACTATATATTTTTTGTTGACTCCAATAACACATTTAGATATGCTTTTCTTATTTGTTGTCACGTGAAAGGTTTATGAGCAAACAATACTACAATCGGAATTACATTACATTAACATAAGCAAACGAACGAGAACCAAGAAACACACAAAATTAAACAAGAACCATTGTTAAACCAAGAAATTCCGGTTTGGTATATTGTATCGACTTGACTTTTCTTACTCCCACCACCCTGCCCCTCGAACCATCTTCCACCAGAGATAGTCCACGACCTTATCAAAAGCACGAACGTGATCAAACACAGCACCTCTTCCGACGCCATAGCCAAATCCTACACCGATTCCACATCCAGCTCCAAATCCAACCCCAAACTGTAACTTAGGAACTCCTGGTCCGTATCCTCCGACAAGACCAGCGCCGAAACCAATTCCGCAACCGGCACCGACCCCTAACGCCGGACCAACATTTCCGACGTCGTTAAAAAGCTTACACGGCAGCAATCCCTTCTCCTCGCCTCTGCTCCTCTTCTTTCTGTTGTTCATCGTTCCTCTTAAAATTTCTGTTTATTTATTTAAAAACCAAACGTTTGGATCAATGAAGTCTTCAGACTGGAGATGCTTTTTAAATGAATCATCTCTTCATACAATTCTTAGCTTTGTTAATTAAAAATTAGTAAATATATACCAATGATGCACATGGATTAATTTTAAATATATAAAAAATCAATTCTTAGTTTAGGTGTGGATTTACTTATTGTTTAAAGACAATTTAAAAGTACATACTACATACATATTAACTTTATTGACTAGTAAACAGTTCTTCTCGGAAAGTTACAGATGAAACTACCGACCATGTTCTGTTTAGATGTATATATTTGCAAACGCGGTCTAGCGTTTGAATTATTTTCAAAAATGGTGGCGGACCAAGTCCTAATCAAAGTTCAAAGACTATAGACCATCACACTTTAGATCCCGATCATAGCATTTGTTTTCACAACATGATACCGAGGCAATGCATAGTCTTTTCAACAATACAGGATATGAAAATCTAAGTCTAAATCTACAAAACATTCTACATTCAAATCTGTACGTAGTTACATGTTTTCTTCTCTCTCTCTCTCCCTCTCTCTCTCTCTTCTTTTTTCCCCTTCACGTGCCAACTCTGACTTTTCTGAAGCTCACACACGTTCCCTATTTCTTCTGAGGTATAGGTATACTACTCATGTTTTATTCTGAAGCTCACACATGTTTTAGCAAACCGTTGTTGCTCGATTTGGGTTGGTTTATAGCAAAGCGTTGCTCATTGTAAGTTCGACATTTACAAATCAGTTCTCAACTCGTAAAAGCCCTGGCCCATGAAAAACAACCGTATATAATTTTTTTATCTTATGTTTTTTTTGTTCCATTAGTATGGTTAAATAACTAGATGCATATGTACATATGTGATGGTATATATGACGACCAACAAGGTACCATAAACAAAATGTAAAAATTCCTAGTTTTCTAGTAATTTCTTCTTAACTAATGATTAAAATGTAAAATTTTCAAATTCATTATAGTTAATGTTCCTCAACGATAAAATTTAAATCTTTCATATTTCACTGATTTATTTACATTTCTGCGTTGAGGATATGTGTATATATAAAAACACAATTTGTACCAAAGAAGAAGACACGCAAGTATCATTTGTATCCAAGCAGAAAAAGAAGACACGACAAGATGGATAATACGTCGCTAAAGGGAGTCATAGCTGGCTTAGTGTTTATTGTGATCATCCTCAGTGTTTGTTATGGTTATACAGTTTATGAATGGTGCCATAGTCGCTTTGATAAAAATCGGATTGAACCAGTTTAAAATAGCCCCATAGCTATTTTGTTGTCGTATATCGATTATGTTGTGTTCGGTTTTACTTTGATTATTTTCTTCTTATGAATTATTTATGATGGATCTTTTAGATTACATGTAATAAGCAGGTCCGACTACGTGATGCTGCAATATTTATCAAATGATACTCTAATTTATTTTGGTTTAGTGATACTGTAAAACTCGTTTCTACATATTTAGTTGATATTTCAATGAATTTTTCATACTTTGCAGTTTTACGTTACATGATTACTATTGTCTAATAAAATGGTGATTTATATTTAATGTGAATGACGGGAAGTCTTTTGTATATTCCAATGGAACTCTAAACTTTTAGTGTATAAACGAAAGAAAAACAAAACGAAGAAACCAAAAAGAGAACTAAGATTCTTTCACAAAAAAAAAAAAAAAAAAAGAACTAAGATCTGAGTTTATCCCTACTGTTAGTTCCTGACGAGGTTGATCATTATTACAGTCCATGTTGTAATTATTTCCAGTTGTCTAAATTTTTAGACCTAAATAGCTCATTCTGTCTCAGTGATTTACATTGCAACTTGTAGTGGAATCTTCCATCGCTCCGCTTTCTCACCGACGCTGGCATCATTATAAAATTTATAAATTTTGAAGAAAACGTATCACAAATTTTTTAAATTCTAACGAAATTTCTTAATTTCATCACAAACAAGAAATAAACAAATAAAACCATAATAGAAAATATGGTTCTAATTCGGCCCAACATTTGAGCCCATTAGATTTGAGCCCATTAGATGTTCCCTCTCAGAACTCAAAAGTAATAACCCTTGTTCCGCTCCGCTTTCCCCTGAAATTTTCAGCTTTACAATTCCCGGCGAGTTTTTCCGCCGCCGGCGAGATATTGCTGGGTATAATCAGCAGTTACGGAGGAGCAAGTTCGTTATCTTCAATAAAAACTCTCCTTTTGAACGAAGATGTCGGAAAACACTAAAGTCGAAGCGAAGAGAGTGTTCATAGGAGCAGGATGCAACAGAGTCGTCAACAACGTCTCTTGGGGAGCTTCTGGTCTTGTCTCCTTCGGTGCCCAAAACGCCGTTGCTATTTTTGCTCCTAAGGTCTCAGTTTCACTCATCCATCTACGATTAAACGCCTTCAAAAATCCGAAAGCGAGATTGGAGCTTTAATTTAACTTACATAACTCATCAATTTGTGTTTTATCAAACAAAGAGCTTAGAATTTGTGTTCGCTAGTAAAATGTGAAGTCAATAGGCATTTGAATTTCTGTTTCATAGTCCATGTTCTGTGGTTTAGTTTCTGTGAAAGGTTAAACTTTTCCAGATCATTCAACTATAGGTTTTAGGAGGAAAACATCTAATGGTTAATCCCTGAAGATTTCATATGATTGTTTGCAGCCAAGCATTTGGACCGACATTATCTGCTATCAGGTGATACAGATGGTATCATCATCCTTTGGGAACTTTCGACTGTCAATAACAATGTAAAAAAGCTCTCCAAATTCTCAGTCTGATTTGAGTTTCTCTCCGGTTTCTCTGTATTAACTCTGATCCTTATTACCTGTCCTGTTTGGTTTAACAACAGTGGAGACATGTACTACAACTACCACAGTCACACAAGAAAGGTGTGACTTGCATCACTGCGTATATAGTTTCTGAAACCAGTGCAATGGTTGCTTCTGCTTCTTCAGATGGAGTTGTTAATGTCTGGGATGTTTCCTTTCCTTCTCAGTCTAGTGGTAAGCATTAAAAGTTCCTGCAGTCTATTGTAAGCAGTATCTAAATCACAAATTTTTCATCTTGTGTGTTCTCTGTTGCAGAGGAATGTAAAGTTTCATGTCTGGACTCCATCGTTGTCGACTCTAAAGCAATAGTAACGCTTTCATTAGCCGAATTGCCTCAAAATCCTGGTAGATTTGTCCTCGCTTTGGGCGGGTTGGACAACAAAATCAAACTTTACTGTGGAGAAAGCACAGGAAAGGTGCTTCACCGCTTTCTTTCGCCTTTTGTGCCAATACATTCTCTCTGATATTTTTCATTTCTGAGAGTTTCTTTCTTGTGTTTCAGTTTACTTCTGTTTGTGAGCTTAAAGGCCACACAGACTGGATTCGGAGTCTGGACTTCTCACTACCGTTACACTCAACAGAAGAAACCAGTAACAGTATTATGCTTGTGAGCTCTTCTCAAGACAAGGTCATCCGAATCTGGAAGCTTGTGTTAGTCGGTGATGCTGGCTCGTGGAGAAGAGAGATCACTCTAGCTTCTTACATTGAAGGACCCGTTTTCGTCTCAGGGAGTTTCACATATCAGATATCTGTTGAATCTGTTCTGATTGGACATGAAGATTGGGTCTATTCAGTGGAATGGCAACCTCCAGTCATCGATCACCACCAACCGCTGAGCATTTTGTCTGCTTCAATGGACAAGACGATGATGATATGGCGACCTGAGAAGAACACAGGTGTGTGGGTGAACGTTGTGTGTGTAGGAGAGCTTAGTCACTGTGCTCTTGGTTTCTACGGTGGCCATTGGAGTCCTGATGGTGCGTCGGTTCTTGCTCATGGATACGGAGGATCTTTTCATCTCTGGAGAAATGTAAGCAGCAGCAAAGAGTCTGAGAACTGGCTGATGCAGAAAGTCCCTTCAGGTCATTTTGCTGCTGTGACTGATATCACTTGGGCTAGATCCGGCGAGTACTTGCTTTCCGTGAGCCATGATCAGGTCAGGATTTAGAGTTTAAAGATGGTCAAAGTTAACTTTCTTGACATTTCATTCTGTTAAAAAAATGTGATTTTGCAGACGACTCGTGTGTTCTCATCATGGAAGAGTGATGAAGGGAATGGAGAAGCAGAGGATGAGCATTGGCATGAGCTGGCTCGTCCTCAGGTTCATGGTCATGATATTAACTGTGTGGCTATGGTGCAAGGTAAAGGGAACCACCGTTTTGTAAGTGGAGCAGAGGAGAAAGTTGTGAGAGTGTTTGAGGCTCCTCTATCTTTCTTGAAGACACTGAACCACACTTGTGCTGGAGGAGAAGGAAGCTTCCCTGAGGATTTACAAGGAGATGTTCAGGTTCTTGGCGCTAATATGTCTGCTCTTGGTTTATCACAGAAACCTATCTACTTACACTGTGAGTGATCGATTATTTCAACACAATGTCTAGCTTTTTTTACCAATGCAATGTTGAGATTCATAGTAATTTTTTTTTGAAGCTTCTAATGAACCGGTGGAGAGAAATGGCGGAGGAGAAGGCTTGGAAACATTTGAAACGGTTCCAGAGGCTGCTCCAGTGGAGTTGAAAGAGCCTCCAATCGAAGATCAGCTTGCGTTTCATACTTTATGGCCAGAATCTCATAAACTCTATGGTCATGGTAATGAGCTCTTTTCTCTCTGCTCTAACCACAACGGAAGTCTTGTTGCTTCATCCTGTAAGGTAAGCTTATTTGGATTTGTTCGACTTGTTCCATCTCCTCGATTCATATTTGACTGAGCAGGACATAATACTAACTTTTCTTGTATATGAACAACAAACTTCTGCAGGCTCAGTCTGCAGCCATGGCGGAAATATGGCTGTGGGAGGTTGGGACATGGAAAGCTGTCGGACGTTTGCAATCTCACAGCTTGACAGTTACACATTTGGAGTTCTCTTATGATGACACTCTGCTCTTGTCTGTCTCCAGAGATCGTCACTTCTCAGTCTTCTCTATCCAAAGAGCAGGTATTTCAAATTTGATCTCTCATAACATCCCGAAGTCTCAAGATTTTGTGATTCTTGTCTTACCCCGGTTTAGTCTTGAATGTCTCTGTAGTTCTCTAAGTATATGTGTCTGCTTTTGTCTTTCTTGGTCATCTCTTTTTAGACAATGGCGAGGTTAGTCAAAAACTCATGGCAAAGGTTGAAGCACACAAGAGGATCATTTGGGCATGTTCATGGAACCCATTTGGCCACCAGTTTGCAACTTCATCAAGGGACAAGACTGTGAAGATCTGGTCCATCGAGAAAGACGCTCGCATCAAACAGATTCTTGCGTTGCCTCAGTTTGGGAGTAGTGTCACTGCCGTGGCTTGGACGGGACTAGACCGCAAGGAGAAGAGCGGGTGCATAGCGGTTGGAATGGAGAGTGGCCTTAGTCAAAAACTCATGGCAAAGGTTGAAGCACACAAGAGGATCATTTGGGCATGTTCATGGAACCCATTTGGCCACCAGTTTGCAACTTCATCAAGGGACAAGACTGTGAAGATCTGGTCCATCGAGAAAGACGCTCGCATCAAACAGATTCTTGCGTTGCCTCAGTTTGGGAGTAGTGTCACTGCCGTGGCTTGGACGGGACTAGACCGCAAGGAGAAGAGCGGGTGCATAGCGGTTGGAATGGAGAGTGGCCTGATAGAGCTGTGGAGCGTAAAGATTAGCGAAACAGAGGAAGGTACAACAACAGCAACAGCAGCGCTTGCTCTGCGGCTCGAACCGTTCATGTGTCATGTCTCGGCTGTGAACCGGTTAGCATGGAGACCAACCGAGAAATCTGAGACTAACCAGGGCTTGCTAAGGTTAACTTCTTGTGGAGATGATAATTGTGTCAGAGTTTTTGACTTCAAGTTTTGAGCTTTATAAGACAAACACAATGCCCCTGTAATGTTTTTAAGATCTCATGAACAAAACTCTCTTTTACTATGAGATCACACTCTCTACTCCTTACGCAAATTTTGGTAGCTAAAGTGAAACATGTTATCTGATTCAGGTCAAATTATGTACCTCTGTTCTAGCTAAATGAGGCGTTCCAGTAAAAGCCCTACTAAATACTAAAGCCCAGTATGGGTCCAGCTTCATTTATTAGGGTTTCCGAGTCTTCTCGTATTCTTATGTGTATAGCTAATCGTTTCTAGCATTATAGCCATTCTACCTTCCCCCAATAAATCAGAGAAAACCTTTTCTAACAACTTGAAAAAAACGAAATGATGATCACCAATCTTCCAACGGATTTGATGGAGGATATTTTGTCTAGGGTTCCTTTAAAATCTATGAGAGCAGTGCGATTAACTTGCACAAAGTGGAACACTATCGAATAGCCAGATCTTTGCAAAGATGCACTTTGATAAAGCATTCGATCCAGCAAAGGAAGATGATGAATCTGAGTCTCGGATGATCGTGATGACGGAAGAAAATCTTTATTTAATGAGCGTCTTCGTCAACAACGGAGTTGATTTATCTGCAGAGCATATAGGTAAACTAACTTGCCTTGACGAACAAGTCAAGATATCTGTGTTTACTGCGAAGGGTTATTGTTATGCATCCTGGAAGACGATGACTACTAGGGTTGTGGTTTGGAATCCATATTTGGGACAAACAAGGTGGATCCAACTCAGAGTCCTCACGTCTATCCTGCTCGAAACAGTTCATGTTCAGTTCGGAAGGGTTCCGTTACGGTATCGGATACGAAGATAAGGGATCTGGTCGTAACTACAAAATATTGAGGTTTATAGATGTTTTCTTTTATCAGAAGGGTACAAGTTTTTTGGTATGAAGTATATGATTTTGAGTCTGGTTTATGGACGACTCTTGATGTCAATCCAACTGGCGTATAACATATGGCGAGGGGTTTCTGTCAAAGGAAACAGTTACTGGTGTGCTACAGAAAGGGACGCACGGGATAATGGTTGGGGCAAGCCAACCACATAATATGTTTTGATTATACAAGAGAGATTTGGGCCACTTCTGCCTCTGCCGTGTTGGGTTCGAAGTGACCATGCGACTTTATCTTGTCTTAGAGAAGAGAAGCTCGTGGCTCAGTTCGACCAACCTTATCCGTATGGGTTATCGTATTATATCACGACTATGCTAGAGGCCGAGAAGGTGTCGTGGAGCAAGTTCACCTTGTCGTCATATGATAAATATTCAATCCTTGATGACATTCACATTCGGCTTTCATTTGGGGGCTTCTACGAAGAGAAGAAAGTCCCCATGAATTCAGGTCAAAGGTTAAACTGCTACTTATATCACTACATTGGAGGGGACGGATACGGCGTTGATTATATAGAACGTGAGCTACCCGCATTCGAGGATAGGATTTGGCGAGAATGCGTGTGCTTTTACGTTCCAAGTTTAGTGCAAATCAAGCATCCTAAAGGAGGCCAAAGAGAAAAAAAACAAAGTGATCATGTAGAAAAGCTTCGCTTTGATGAAATGATGTGGAGACTTTCCTACTTTGAAAGGAGGTGCAAAAAGGTTCTCCTCGAGTTAGCTAAGAAGAAGGCGTCCGCCTGTAAAAAAATCTCATATCCAAGATCTGTTCGACCAGAAAAAGCTCGGCCCACCTCATTTTTGTCCACTAATAGCTTTGCCTCTTTAGCTTCTTCGGATGATGAGGAAGAGAATACTTCAGGAATGGTCGATTAAACCGTCGGCAAAAAGCAGAAGATGCATGCGGTCGTGGCTAGTTGTGTCATTGGCAGGGGCGGATCTACGTTGACGATGGGTGGGGCCCGTGGGGCAAGTGCCACATACTGATTATAAAATATTTGTAAACATCATGAACAATTATTACTCATTAGATTAGTTGGTTTAAGATTTAGTATACATACTATCAGGGAAAGAGTTCGATTCCTCCCCTTTGTGCCCCATACAAATTTATTTTTTGTAACTTATTCCATAATTTTTTGTTTCTTTTTATTGGTGCCCCATACAAATTTTTCTTCTGGGTCCGCCCCTGGTCATTGGTAGATGATATGTAACTCACTGGAAGCGGAAGATTCTAGTTCAAATATTGTACCCCAGTCTCGATTTCTTGTGTTGCCTCTATCACAAAACTGTATGGCACGAGCCATGCTACCAAATAAATAAAGCTTCTGTTAAATCCCAGCTTTTATTTAGTATGATTTTAACTTTTTAAGGTACAAATGTAAATTTGCACACAACAAAAAAAGGTAGAAATGTAACATGACAACAATTATATTTTTTGTTTATAAGCATGCAGTGTGAGAAGAAAAATACAGTTTTCTTTAGTTTTCGTGTAGACTATTTTTGTTTTAGTGAAAACGATATGCAGGAAAAGAAAAATGAAAAAAGCATCAGAAATAGTAAGCGTTTTTCCCTGTAACGTTTTTATGATCTCATGAACAAAACTCTCTTTAACTATAAGATCACACTGTACTCCTTATGCAAATTTGGGTAGCTAAACTGAAACTGAGGTGTACTTGTGGAATTTCGGTTTGATACTTTTGTTTTATTCTGACCAAAAATATTTTAACTGGTAGTTGAGACTTGAGAGTATTTATTATTTTTTATTTACGATGGCATTTTATTACTTGACTTGTAGACCACGCATGTAATATACGGACGGGCCTGCAATGTCGTCCTCGTTGTTGTACCTTTATAGTACTGTACTTACAATTTCTGAATGAAGAAGAAGACATTTAAAGAGACCCTAAAAGTTGGTGCTTTCCTCTTCTAGAATAAATTAATTCACACCTAACATGTTACCGTACAAGGAGAATATTTTGCTAAATTGGTTTCAGACACTCAGACGATCTTGTGATATCTGCAGAAGAGGAATCACACATGACAGAAGCATTCAAAAGTAGAACTCAGAAACTCAGAAGATCTTGCAGAAGAGGAATCACACATGATGACAGAAGCATTCAAAAGTTAACACCTTTTTCTTTATTTCAATACTCAAAATATCTTCTTTTTATCTTCTAGTTATAATTTGAAGCACAGATGGCACTGGAAATACTTAAAAGAAAGAAACAAATTAAACTTTCAAAATATGAAGCGGACAATTCCGTCTGTGTTTTAACTTTTAAGTTGACAATTTCTTTTGTAGAAAACATTTTTTAATACTTGATCAAGTTTGTGGATTTTTAACAAGGGAGATGTAATTCTTCACAGTTTGTAAATTTACACAGCGTTTGCAAAATCCAGGATTGGTTTCTTCGTTAACTTATAAAACTTTGAGTGTGTTGGGGAAACAAAATATGAATCATTCCATCTCGTTGTTCAAACTCAAGATACAAATACATACCCAAAGAACAGTAGTTTTCACGAGAACTGAGACCATTCTTCACATTAACATCGTCAACAAAACTACTAAATAGGAGAAAACATAACTAATCAATCCTATGGCCTTAAAAAGATATCAAACTCATTTTATCTCAACTTCTCTAAGATTCAAGAGAGATTAAGAAGAAGAAAGGTCCTATCTAATCCGCAAGGTTCCAGAAAATTCCCAGCACCACTCAAAAGTGACCACTTAGCACCTACAAAAGATGAGATACAAAAACTGAGAAACGAAAGTCATATCTAGACAACATGTCCATATGTTCATGTGCGCATAATCAGATTTTGACATCAACTATCAAACAAAATTGTGTGTAGTACCTTAGATGAAGATGCTCATATCGTTTCCAAACTCTGACTCTGCAGAGGATTTCCCGAAGTGCTTCTACTCTTCTTATACCAAAAGAACATGGACCAAAGTGCTCTAAACAACACTCCATTTGCAAAATGCGGAACAAACAAACGCCCCCAATACGGATAATACGGTCCAGGAAGTTTAACCACAGCGAAGACCATCATCATCGCTATCAAATGCCACGGCACTTCCGCTTCCTGCAACACAAAATCAAAATCTTCATTAACAATGGCAAAAATTTCGAAACTTTCACAACTATAAAGACTTCTCTTTTCATTCCAACTACCTTAAGACGAGGAGAGATCTTGAAAGCGGTTTCTTGTAGAAAGCCAGCAAAAACAACACCGAAGACTAACGGAAACGGGACTAGAGCAAGTTTCCTCTCATGAGCACAATAAGACATCTCGCTGATGGAAGTAACCGCCACTACAGGAACGAACAAGAACTTGACGACCGATATAGCGAGATCGAGAACGAGCTGTACGAAGTTTTCGAAAGCTCTGTTCCAAGGGAAGTCCTTGACTGGCTGTGGAGAGTTTTCCCAAACATGTTTCGTTTTCCTCAAGAGAGTATCGAAAGTTAGCCTCTTTGGCTCTTCCCCTGAATGTTCAGATTCCATATGAATCGAGCGGCAGAGGAGGAATCTCTTTGGTGCTTTAGCTTCATTTGCAAAGTCTTTAGTGTTCTTGGAGTAGCTTAACGTAAACTGCAAAACCAAAATTAGAGAAATTCGACAACTCATGAACAAATTTGGGGATTCATCAAAGATAAGAACAGTATGATTCGTAATGTCCATTATCAAATTCCGCATAGAATAGGTCAAACCCGTAATCGGAAGATTCAAAAACAGATGCTAAACTCTAAATCTCTATTTCGTATGCTGAAATTGATCAATTGAAAATCTAAGTGAAAACCTAAGTGAAAAATCTGTTTTTGAGCTCTAATCAATTGAAATTTCGTCTTCAATCAAAATACCCAGAGAATAAATAGTGAAAAGGAATGATTTTTTTCGTTTTCTGGATGAAGATTCGGCAGGGGTTTATCGTTACCTGGGTGGGGAGAAGAGGAGAGTGAAGTCGCGGAGACACTGAAAGTCGAGGGGAAGAAAGATAGAGATGAGACATCGCCATTTTTGAGCTAAAAAGTTTGTTGCTTTGGGTTTGTTTTTTCACAGAGAGTCCATTGAAGAAGAAGATAAGAATTTTTTTTGTACAGAAACGAGTAGGTTTTTCAAGGTGGGAGAGAAAGAGAATCGTCGATGGGGAAAAAAAATGGAAAATAGAGTGGAGGAGGAAGCTGGGATCAGCTGCGGCAATATCCAGCGTAAGATCACGTGTGCTCTTCTGAGATAAAAAACATTTTTGTTTACAAACATTTGATTTTAGTTTTACTAAGAAACTAAAGATGAATTTATGTGATTGGTAACTTTACTATTCGAAACAGTTATTTTTTGGGGATTTACTGAATGGTTGAGTTGGAAATGTTTTCCAGAATCAAATTATGATTTGTTTACCATGTTGAAAAAGTCATATTTTCCCTTTTTGTTATGTAACATGAAATGATATCTATAAGAATTGCATGATCCGGATTTGTAAATCGGATTTTATTCCCCTTTTTTTACTGTGTCTTTCTGATTACAGGGATGAATAAAATGTAATTTCGATGGTTCTTTTTACAGTCGATATGAGAATTCAGCTGCCGGTTGGATAATCAGGGATGAACATAGTATATAGAGGATCAGGTTATGCGAAGGACGATAAACCGAAGACAGCTCTAGAAGGAGAATCTCAGGCTTTAACTATTGCAATGCAACATGCTTGGATGCGAGGATATCGGAAGGTCATTTTTGAAGGGGATTATAAGGAGCTGATTGATCTAGTTGGTAACGTATCTTTAAACTTTGGCATTTACAATTAGATTAGGGAAGTTTGGAAGAGCAAATTTGAAGAAGCTGTGTTTTCATGGGTGTCAAAGACGGCTAACAAGGTTGCGGATATGATAGCGAAAAGAAGAATGTCATCAGACCAAAGCTCTTGTTTCTATTTTCATATTCCAATGTTTCTTTATGATGTAATTTACAATGATTATGTTGATTCAGTTCAATAAAATAATTTCAGCTGAAAAAAAAGAAAAAAGAAAAGAAAAGAGAGATAGTATAATTTAACAAGTCACTTCTAAATCATCCATTATTTGATCACATTATACTGACTTCAATGAATATACAATACATGTTGGTCCGCTTTACTTTTTCTTCGCTAAGTTGGTCCGTTTAAAATGAAGTAGACGAAAAGGGAACAATATAAAATGCATTTGTTGTTAGTCGTAGGGGATTCTCTGGAATAAATAAGTGGATAAGGTTCACAAATAATGTAATTAATAATGTAAAAAGAAGATATGCTGTCAATTGTCGGCATACAATAATACGATATTGTTACGTTATCGTATCTATTCTCACGAGTATTATTTAAGTCCTTTGTCATCTTATACATTAAGCATCCATTTAAGTGGTTTGCTTAAACATGTGACCAGGTCAGTTAGTAATAATTTGAAATCACATAATAGTATAATACCACCACGAAGGCACGAAATGACCACCGAACAAAATTAAATAAAAGGTATATTTCCCCTCAAATTCGAATCATATTCTTGAATCTTCTAATGTGATTCGATTCGATCTATAGTAAGGCTCTAATATGGTGCTTTGCTTAAGGCTTCAGTTATGTAACCAAATCAATTGATGTTTTGAAGACCGTTATACGACGATTAACTCACCACTAAACAAAATTTCCGACAAAGGTATATCTTCCCCTCAAAGTCGAATCATATTATGGAATCTTTTGATGTGATTCAATCTATTAAAAACTATACTCCTTTGTACGTTAATTTTGGTGCCTTACATTCTACTATTTTATACTGCTACTAGTATTAATGTATCAGACAAAGGACCACTAGAACTATTTCGTTGCTTGATCAATCAGTGAGATTTTTATTGACATCGAAGTGCGAACATTTCAAGATGCTCCTTGTATTAGTTAATATGGACTCTCAATTGCGTGAAGTCACTCTACAAATCCATTTTTCTCATTTATATGTCAAGAAATGAGAACCAAATCCAATTTGATTCATTAGAAATAGATATGAGTCAGCCTTCCACACATGGAACTTATCTGTAGAATCAAAATATTATTTAAAAAATGAAAGTAAATCTCAATGATCAAATCATTGTCCCACTCTCCCTCCTTGTGTCTCACTGGTGTAATTTCGTCCTGATCCATCTAGCCAAAGCCGCAGAATCACGGTAATGCATATCAAATCTTTTTAATTTTCATTTTATATGATCCTTCACATAAATATTCACGTGGGTTACACATGAAATTAAAATGTGTATGTAATTACATTAATGGTATATAGTTGGTGACAATCAAACGAATTGCACGGAATAAATAGATCGGAAACTATAAAAACAAGTGTGATTAGTGTACACATGATATAATAGCAAAGCAAAAATGATGGGAACATGATTTTGAAGGCACAAGTGGTTAAATAAGTGTAACCACTTGGCTTAGAGGCACATCGGAAGCACCGACGCCTTAGTTGGTTTAAGTGTATGATTACAATCCTCCTGCTGACTAAGATATACATTAGAGCACATGCAGCGGAGAGATCTGCAGAGTTTCTTTAACAAAAAAATAAAGAAAAATGGCAATATATATCTACGTGGTAAGCTTTATGGTAAGAAACTGGTGAAAGAAGTCTCTTCCCGGAGAGATTTGGAGACCGTTTCTCTGCGTAACCCAATTGAATTATGTTTTTTTTTTTAATTAAATCATTTTTTCTCGAAAATCAATTTTTTTTTATTTAAAAAAAATATTTAAAGAGACTTATACAGTCTCTGCTGTATGTGCTCTTATGTTTCACCTAACTGAGACACTTACAATCTGTTAGGTGGCTATAACATATTTGTACAATATCATAAATATAACAACCACTAATAAAAACATGTGGAATCGAACTGAATATAGAACTAAACATGTGGGGTTTTCACATTGTCAGCAATTGATGTTTTTAACATGTCCCTTTTTGTCAATATTTTGAAGTAAAACTAAAAGTGAAAAGTGTATAGATCTAAATTTTGTATATACAATTATAGTTGGATCTAAATCCCGAATGGTGATATAATAACGGTATTAGCACAAACCATTAAGCTACAATGTCATGGTCAATTAACTTTAATTTTTTAAAAATATAAATGTCTAGACTGATTACAAATGAATGAAGTTTCATTCCGACTATACAGTAAAACCTCTATAAAACAATAATGTTGGGACTTTGAAAATTTATTATCTTATCGAGTTATTGTTTTATCGATAAAATAATAATAATTATTTTATAAAAATATTCTATAAAAAACAAGAAACTTTATAGAAATATATGTAAGTAGGTACACGTAAGGAATCAATTGTGGCTTCGAAAACTCTTCACAACTTTTGGCCCCATAAATTGTTGATGCAATAAGAAAAATTCGAGATGAGCTCCAACGAGAATCCAACTTTCATAAAAGACAAACTACATTGGAGTCATATTTTACTAAATTGCCTTAGATATATATGCCTTAGTTTTATAATTATTATCTTAGCCTATTGTTGGGACTATATTTTTACATAGGAGTTTCAAAAATATTATTGTCTTATCATCTTATCGCATTATGCTATTTTTTACATTGGCCCGAGTTGGGACCGGAGAAATTTATTATCTTATAGTGTTTATTGTTTTATCGAGTATTGTTTTATAGAGGTTCTACTGTATATTCTTATTTAAATTCAGTTAAGTTTGGTGAGACTTATTTAGTAATATCAGCATGATTTAATTGCTCGTTGGGTGGATTTTTATTTTATTTTAAGAACCTTTGCTTCTCTCTATACACCATATCTATATAGTGTATCCGTATATATGACCGTATACATGCGTCTACATTAACGTTATACATATTTACAATCGTGTATGTAAAGAAACGCCCCATACGAATTATTGGCTCTTCGTATAAACCAAAGGCCAACGAAGCATCTTCCAAAGGAAATGAACAAAAGAAATCGCTAATAATTGCTTGCAAGTTTATAATGCCACGTGATATTCTATCGACCAATTATCAGAAGCCATTCAAATATAATAAAATAATAATATGAATATTCGTACGTATATATAACTCTGGTTTTTGCATGTAAGACTCGGCAACGACGAGCAAGATCTCTGGAGACGCGGAAAATAGAGAGAAGAAATCAAAAAGTTTATTTTCTTAAAAAGAAGTTAAAGTTTTTAGTCTACAATGGTGACTCTAAAAATGGAGATTTGCATCGAGCTGGTGAAACTGACCGTGGATTTCGTAGCCGCCGTGGCAGAATCACTCGAAGTAGCTTTCCGTCAACGTCCTCCGCCGGTGGTTCAATATTCTATGGGAGTGAACGGTCGCCGAAGTTATCACACCGCCGTTCCCATTCCTCTCGTGGGATTTCTTTAAATTAATGTGTTCTTCCTCTTACGGTTTCTATATTTTTTGTTCTTCTTTCTCTTTACTGTTTCTGTCTTGCCTCAATTTGCCAAGTGGCGTATTGGAAGATGATCATGTTGTTCGTGTATACACCAAAAGATCATGAAGATTTTACATACCCCGTGAATATATAAAAGCTTAGACGTTTCTCCATCGTGTATAATTATTTTATTCTTGTATTAACGATCGAGTATACTTTATTTATTCATAAGATCTATAAAGAAAAAGAAAAATCTGTGTAATGGTACTCAACTTTTTACAGAACTTGTGTTCACTTTCAAGGTATATCTGATTTTGAAGAAGATAGATCCAAATATATTTGGGACGGTCATAGTTGAATAATGATCATGGAGATATTAAATTCTATTAGTCAAATAAAAAAGTTAGTGTCTTATCTTATGACTCTATCCTTGTCTTTTTTAAAAAATCAGTTTGGTCCTTATCCCTTATCGCATGTTTGAGTTCTAGGATAAGATTTTTTTCTTCTTCTTGTGGTCTCCACCTAGTAAATATGTCGGATACTTTGTTATCTATCTTTGGAATATTTGTTCTTGACGAATCATGGTCCATCTCTGATCAATCGTCGATATATACAGATTTGTGATGCTTTTTTTATCACTGTCGATATCTATCACTGTTGCTCAACAATATTCAGCAGTAATGCTAATAAACAACTTCAAAATTTATTGAATTAAATGATACAGTGTTATGAGCTTTGGAAGACATAAAACTTGGAACAAAATGTGGTTAACAAAACCTTGTGATAACAGTTTTCAGAACTATTTTACATAAGACTGTAGAAATCAGTCATCAGCATTTTAATTATGGTAAATAAAGTAATAAACAAACGAGGCCGTTGACGTTGTCAACAACCTAAATTGTTGTCAACGACTTAAAATTAGTTATCATCGTTTAAAAATCTAACTTAACAACATTAAATCACTATTTTTATAATCCCTGTTAAAAAAGAAAGAAACTAATTTTACACCTTCTAATTATAGCAACTTACGAAGTTGTTTTTCTTTATTCATTTCTCTTATAATTAACTTTCTTTCATTCTTAGACTTTTCTCCCAAGTCTTCTCTATTAAGCAGCCTTGGGTGTTTCCCAAGGTTTCTCAATTTAAAAAAAATGAATAAAAAATCAAAAATGGAGAGGCCCTTTGGCTGCTTCGTCTTCCTCCTCTTTATCTCCGTTGTTGCTGCCACCTTCAACGACGAAGGCTCCTTCCCGGAAAACGCCGACCTCACGAACGACTTACAACAAAAATGCTTTGACATTAACAAAGTCGATCCTAGTCTAAAATTCGAAAACGACCGTCTAAGAAGAGCTTACATTGCTCTTCAAGCATGGAAGAGAGCCATATACTCTGATCCGTTTAAAACCACTAAAAACTGGGTCGGATCCGATGTTTGTTCTTACAACGGTGTTTACTGTGCGGAAGCTTTAGACGATCCTAGTCTCACGGTCGTCGCTGGTGTTGACCTTAACCATGGAGATATAGCTGGACATTTACCACCGGAGCTAGGTCTTATTACCGATCTAGCTTTGTTTCACATCAACTCGAACCGGTTCTGTGGGATCATCCCGAAGAGTTTGTCCAAACTCACGTTGATGTATGAGTTTGACGTCAGCAACAACCGGTTCGTCGGTACATTCCCGGAAGTCTCGTTATCGTGGCCGTCTTTGAAGTATCTTGACCTAAGATACAACGAGTTCGAAGGATGTTTACCAAAAGAGATCTTTGATAAAGATCTTGATGCAATCTTTTTGAACAATAACCGGTTTGATTCGGTTATCCCAAGTACGATTGGAAAATCGACCGCTTCGGTCGTGACATTCGCGAACAATAAATTCAGTGGTTGTATACCGAAATCGATCGGTCAAATGAAGAATCTCAATGAGGTTGTTTTCACTGGAAACAATTTAACCGGTTGTTTCCCGAACGAGATCGGTTCGCTTAACAACATGACGGTTTTTGATGCGAGCAAGAACGGTTTTGTCGGTAGTATACCGTCGAGCTTGTCCAGTTTAGCTAGCGTTGAACAGTTGGATTTGTCGAGTAATAAGCTAACCGGTTTTGTTGCCGACACGTTTTGCAAGTTGCCTAATTTGGAAAGTTTTAAGTTTTCTTACAATTACTTCAGTGGAGAAGCTGAGAGTTGTGTTCCTGGGAAGAGCAGTGGGAAACAATTTGAAGATACGAGCAATTGTTTGAGGAATAGACCAAACCAGAAATCGGTTAAGCAATGTTTACCGGTGGTTAGCCGTCCGGTTGATTGTAGTAAAGACAAGTGTTCTGGAGGCAGCAACGGTGGATCTAAACCATCACCAAAGACACCCGAATCTAACCCACCAAAACCTAAAGAACCGGTTATGCCTAAGCCTATTGAATCACCTAAACCCGAGACACCAAAAACACCTACACCTAAGCCTGAAGCACCAAAATATGAATCTCCTAAACCGGAAACACCTATAAACAAACCCGAGCTTCCAAAACAAGAATCTCCTAAACCACAACCGCCTAAACATGAAGAATCTCCTAAACCGGAACAACCAACACCAAATCCACCTAAACCAGAAGAGTCACCAAAGGTTGAAACACCAAAAAGACCAGAGACTCCTAAACCGGTGTCACCACCGAAAGAAGCACCAGAACCAACACCGGAAGATCCTTTTGAAGCATCTCCGATTCAAAAACGTCGTTCTCCACCACCACCAGTGGTAGAAGAAACACATGTACCACCACCACAGCCACCAATGCCCTCCCTACCGCCACCATCACCGGTTTACTCGCCACCGCCATCGGTTCACTCACCACCGCCTCCAGTTCACTCCCCACCACCTCCTCCGGTACATTCTCCTCCTCCACCACCAACACCTGTTCACTCTCCACCTCCACCTGTTGCTTCTCCTCCACCACCATCACCACCTCCTCCAGTTCACTCTCCTCCTCCCCCACCGGTTTACTCTCCACCACCACCGGTTTTCTCTCCACCACCACCATCACCGGTATACTCACCACCACCACCAGTATACTCACCACCACCTCCAGTCCACTCTCCACCACCACCACCGGTATACTCACCACCTCCTCCAGTCTACTCTCCACCACCATCACCGGTAAATTCTCCACCTCCACCAGTTTTCTCACCACCACCAACACCTACAACAACTCAACCACCAGTCCAAGCTCCAACACCGGTTCAAGCACCAACCCCATCCTCAGAGACAACCGAATCTCCTACTCCATCAACAGAATCAGACCAACAACCAATTCAAGCTCCAACACCGGTTCAAGCCCCAACACCATCCTCTGAATCATTCCAAGTGCCATCTTCATCACCAATTCAAGCCCCAACACCAAGTTTCGAACCAGTTGATGCCCCAACACCAACCTCTGAACAGGTGAATGCTCCAACACCATCAAACGACGTTGAAGCGCCAGAAGCATCAGTTGTCACTCCTCCAACAACGTCGTCACCTTCTCCGTCCTCCGACAAAGAAGCATCACCTGGAAGTAAAGACCGTGATGATGACGAAGGTGATTTCATCCTACCACCAAACATCGGATTCCAATATGCATCGCCTCCACCACCGATGTTCGCAGGCTACTAAATTTAGTAGTGACAGTGTTACAAAATTTTAAAAATTTCCCTCCACTTTTTCGAAATTAACTCAATTGTAAGAAAAAAACATTAAAACAAAAGAATTTTTTAATGCCAGTTACAATTGAGCATTGTAATTTTTTTTTAAAATAGAATTTAGAACTTCCCCGTTTTTTCTCATATTTCATATCATTAAGATCATTTTCCTTGCAATTTTTATTTTGGTATGTGAAAAAAAATTATCAGCTTCTATCCAACCCCTACTATCGGAAATTTGTTCATGTTATGTGTGTTTAAACTATACTGAAACAGAACGTATATGCCAAAGACACACAAAATTCGAACATGTTGACATCTATTCCCAAGCAATTTTATTTCTATAGTGTCGGATAATATTATTCTTGTTACTGGTCACTAAAGGGAACCTACATAAAGCAAAAAACAAGCTCTCAAAGGCAAACCATTCGATTAAGAAAATTTGTTCTTTCATTTTAATCAAAGTGTAATTCGTTGGTCATTTTGTTCAACCTGTATTTACTAATTACTACGTTCCTAGTTTACACTGCTTTTTTGGTGTTTTTTGGAAAATTTTAGCAAGTATTGCTCGCAAATTGGAGTAGTAATTTAATGTTTGTTTTGCATGCAACAATTCTAATATTTTGCAAGCGAAATTTAATTTTTAAAAATTTATCATCAAAGAAATAAAACTAGTTTGTCAAAGAGAAAATAGTAAAAGTACAAAATTATTTTTTATATTACCCACCAAAAAAAAAATTATTTTTTATATTACGAAAAAGGAGAGAATTCTCCCTAAAAAATTAGGTAGAAAAAGAGCAGTTGGTGGGGCTTTTAATTACTTAACCAAAGAAAACAAAAAAAAAAAACATCAGACGAGTCAACTCACTAATTCGACTTGCCGAGTCAGTGAGAAAACACACAGATTGACTCGCTCGAGTTAATTTTTGGTCAAGTTGGCTTTTTTTTTCCCTTATTTTGGTTGGGTCACTGAGGTCAGGTTAAGACCAGAGTGAGAATAGAAAGAGATTAAAGGACTTTGACCAAAAGCAAAAAAACTTGGTTTCAGATCTGAAAAGGGTTTCTTCTCTTCAGGCTCAGACAGTGTTATGGTATCAAATTCTCCGGCGTCGTTTAATGATCTAACTCTGGTCCCTCTTTTTATCTCTTTACTTCTTCGTCACTGTTTGATTATCTGATAATTATGCCACTCCCTTTCTTCCACCAGCTTATTCTCTCATCCTCTGTTCAACAAAAGCTTCAGGTAATCACTCTCCATTTTCAAAGGTTTTTTTCATTCTGAGTTCGATTTCTTAAGAATTGAAGAATCCGGTGTTGGGTTGCTCGATTTTCTTTGCAAATTCTGTGGTTTCTGTATCGAGTTTTGCTAAATTACGAGTAAAAATGGGATCTTTCGTTTTAAATATTGAAAATTGAGTGTAAAGTGTCAGCCTTTTTTTTTGCTAAGTTTCCGAATTGTGAATTTTGGATCGAAAATCTGGAGATTCTTTGTTTATGTTGGGTAGGGAATTGTGTCTGGAGAAAATCTGCATCTCGATTTATGTTTCTCTAACAGTGAAATTCACAAATGTGTTTGAAGCAATTTGACATCAGATACTGCAAATGTTATGTCTCTGTCAGATATATTGAGAATATCAGGAGAAAAATTTGAAATATTAGGACTTTAATTGACTTTGGCCTTAGTATGGTACGCAGAATTTGAAACCTTAAACAGTGTATCTTTTGGCTTGCTGGAGAAGAGAGAGAGAGAGAGAGAGATTGAAAGACAATGAGTGGACTTCATAGATCTGTAAACATGCGTCGTTTTGTCTTTAGCTTGTGACTTGTGACTAATAAACTTGACTTGAATCATAGCTTTGAACTAAGCAAAAGCTCTCTTTTTCTCCAGCCATTGTGTTTTATCTCTAACTGATGGTCATGTTGTGTGGCATGTAGGACTAAGGAAAGCTGACAACAAACTCTGGTTTCAAGACAGTTGTCAGGACTTTTGTCGATCGGTACTTTAGTCACAGTCTACATTTTCAGTCTATTCACCGTACTCTGAGAGATCAACCACCATTCAAGTGCTCTAATGAACATGGATTCCGCACAAAAGGAGTTCAACAAACGCGCTCGACTGTCTGAAGACCTTGAAAACAAAGGCTCCAACAAGATGATTTATTCATCATCGATCCCTGAATCTGCTACACCTCTGAATAAAGGGCATGACGGTTCTACAACCACCATCCAAAACTTGTTTGTTGAATCAAAACCTGAAGAGAAGCCGCCGAAAGTACTTAAGAAGAGAGGAAGGAAGAAGAAGAACCCAAATCCCGGTAAGTATCTGAGAAACAGACTCTTAACCAGATAAGTCAAAAAGATTCAATCTTTTTTGTGGTGTATGTGCAGAGGAAATGAACTCGTCGACTCCAAATGGAGATGACTCAGAGAACCGCTCGAAATTCTACGAGAGTGCTTCTGCTAGAAAGAGAACTGTAACCGCAGAGGAAAGAGAGAGAGCCATCAATGCAGCCAAAACATTTGAGCCGACCAATCCTTTCTTTAGAGTTGTCCTGCGGCCATCTTATCTATACAGAGGCTGCATCATGGTAAACAAAACTTATCTAAAGTTGAAGATTTGAGTGGAAAGGTCTAAGCTTTCATTGTGTTGTGACCTGTTTCTTATGGATTTCGTTACTTTGGACAGTACTTGCCTTCAGGGTTTGCTGAGAAGTACCTAAGCGGGATATCTGGTTTCATCAAGCTCCAGCTCGGTGAGAAGCAATGGCCAGTGAGGTGCCTTTACAAAGCAGGGAGAGCAAAGTTTAGCCAAGGATGGTATGAGTTCACACTCGAGAACAACATCGGCGAAGGAGATGTATGCGTGTTTGAGCTACTCAGAACTCGGGACTTCGTCCTGAAAGTCACCGCCTTTCGCGTCAATCAGTACCCGTGACTCATCTTCATGGTGGCGATCTTGCAGGGAGCTTTCCAAAGTTAAAAAATTTCATCTAGGGTCTGCTCTCTTAACTATTTAATCTCTCTTGCTTCTCTTGGAGAATCTGTCTTGTTCTTTGGGTTTCAGTAGTGTTTGGAGTGAAGATTTCAGGTTTCTATGTTTCGATGTGGATAAGTATTTGATGATTATAAACTTAATGTAACCTCAAGAGTGTGGAAAACTCTTTTGTTTGAGTGCTAGTTAGAGTCAAAAGTAGAGTTGTAAATACTCTATCTTCATTAGGAGAATGATGTTTGATTTGTGATTTGTGTTGTTTGGATCCGATCTGCTATTGGTTTTAATTTCTCTTATTTGAACAAGAGTCTTTTCTTAGCCACATCATGGACATAGACAAGCATTTATACATACACAAAAGGATCTCAAAAGTTAGCTAAGTTCTTGATACAGTTTACGCTCAAAGTCTTGCAAGATTCAGCAGACATGACGAGCATTTCCATTACACACATCAATATTACACATAAGGATCTAAAAGCTCCAGGTTTCAAACACTTCTCTCAACCCTTCCAGGTTCTGTTGTCTTCATCATCATCATCTACAGCAAAGAAGAAGAAGAACCAAATCACATAAAAGACACAAAAACCTAAAATCTTTCTTCTAAAAGAAAACAAAAGTTTACCAAGTGTAACGTGTTCAGTCTTGATATTGGAGACGCTTGGTTTCTCCTTCAACAACTCATCCAAATCAATCACTCCTTCACTCGAATCATCATCATCACTAGTTTCACTTCGAGTAAGCTCTTCTTCTTCTTCTTCTTTACCATCTTTAACTTCCACCATCTCATCATCATCATCACTCCCGAGATCATTAACTTCGTCCAGTGGATATTTCATCTCAGTAGCAGAAGCACCAAAGATGATAACACGGAAACTTGAGTTCCCAGTGTAGTGAAAAAGCAGAAAATGACCTTCACTTAAAGAATGAGCCTTTGCAAACTCACTCCAACCTTCATCGAACCAAACCTCATCACCTATTCGTTTGATCCCAATCGAACGCTTGAAACCAACAGGAGTTTCGACAGTCACTTTGTCAGAGAGTTTAGGACCTAATCTCACAAATCTTTCCGGAATCTTCTGCGAAATCCACACATGCAAGCAAGATTCAACTAGAGGAGAAAAAAAAAAATAGTCATAAGCTGTTGAATTTTTTTATTTTACCATCTTTTTTTCCTTGGTTGTTGAAAGGCGAATAATCTTGAAGAACTTCTTCACCGCCGGTTCTGGCTCCGGCTCAAGACGGCGTTGAAATGCTGCCGACGTGACTCGAACCGTTGATCTCCGGGTAGTGTTCATATTACTACTCTTTTTTTAGTTATTGCCGAAGGAAGATTGAAGAGTGAAGAAGGAAAGATTATCTTTCTTTGCGTGTTGGTAGTTGGTACACTGATTAAGACAAGTCGCAGCAATGGATATTGAACTCTTTTCAGATTCGCTAGATTGCTTTATTTCTTTTGCGATAGACTTCTCCACCGAAATCAGAAAGAGGTATTATTAAAGTATACTGACAAAAGTAGGGTCAGGCCTGAGGAAGAGGGTCTAAATGAGTAAAGACTAAGTTTGTTAAATAAATTATAATTTGACCCTCAATATTTCACTATGTTAGCTTTTTCTCACCCTACATATTAGTGCCTCCATGGAGAGATTAGGAGGATATATAAGAAAACTTGCATTAATCAATGATTTTCTTACTGTTTGTTGCTCAATCTAACATATGTTGTAATAAGTTGAGATGATAGGAATATAAATTGTGTATACTTGTAATTTGGTAGTCAATATTTAATCAACAGGAATATAAATTGTGTATACTTGATATTGGTAGATAATTTCTTAACATGATAAATTCATGTCATAAAACATGTAAAATCTTGTATTACATGTCGTCTATATTTTGCTATCTTCTTCTCCATCCAACTTCTTTTGTGGTGAATTTTGTGTTTTGTTTCTGTTTACTATACGAACTAGGGTTTGACCCGTGCCCCACGGGGTGATAGTTTCTGAATTTGTATTTTTATTAAAAATTTTTATTTAAATATTTCGACATTTTATGCGAGAGATTTTTAATCTTTGTTATTCGTTTATAGTATGAAAATTAGGCATTTTAATCCATTTAAAAAAAAAAAATTAAAGCATTGATCGTAACCACATATTAAATATGATAGATTTAACCGAGATACATAAAACTCAAATAACTATAATATAATAAGATAGTTTAAAGAAAAAAATTGAAAATAAAACATTATTCTTTAGAAAAATTATACATCATGTATTTCATAAGATAAAAAGTTTTAGCTGTGTGGACACGGATTAGAACTAATTTTTTTCTTTCTTTCAAAACTAAAACATGCTTTATTATAATTTCAAAACAATCCAACCAATCAGAAAATAATATGCAGAATCCAAATTGTCAAAACAGCAAAAATATAATTAATTTTGTATAGAAAGTTGAAACAGATAGAGTAATATTCAAAAGTTTAATCAAAATAAAATATTTATAAAAAGAACTTTTTTATTCGATTTATTATAGATTTTAATTAAAAAACCATATTAAATGAAAAAAAATTACATTTGGATACCTACTAAATGAGGTTATATACGAAACAATTTATATTATTTTGTTTTTAAAAATTCAAATCATAACATGTACAGAAAAAGTTTTAGATTTTTTTGATAGATTTTTTATATTGTGATTCAAATTATTTTATTAAATAAATTTAAACAAAGATGATATACTGATTTTAAAAGAAATTATTATGATGGAATTAAATTGAATCTCATATCTTCCTTATTTACTAATTTTCGTAGTTGCCAATTAAGGAAAGAGAATGATAAATTTAATTTCATTATTTGGTTGTAAGCATAATATGCAATGGCATATATTGTAATTTGTCTAGTAAAGCTTGTCTTAATTAGAAATTGCTCTAAGAGTGAACCTAGTGATGACACCTAAGCAATGACATTCTTGTTAATAACACATTAGACAAAGGTTATTTAGTTAGTGTTTTCTCTTTTAATATATTAGGGATTAGTGATAGATCATTGAGATATTCAAAATTCATTTTCATGTCCGTTACTAAATTGTTGCTTTAAGCAAATGCTTTAATTCACAAAGCAAGCGAAAGGGTTCACGACTTTTAGTGCGTTACATTCTTCTCCCTCTTGTAAATATTTAAGTTATTAGGGATACTTATTACTACTATCTAACATAATACAGCATATTATCATATAACAAAGTCCCGGAAAATTTATTGTTGATCGGAAATGGGCGGCGCTTCCACCGTCACAGCTGCAGAACGATCACTTCCTTGCCGGCAAAGACGCTCGTACTCGGACGACGACCTATTCTTAGGCAACACAACTTTCCCGGAAAACTTGAGGCACAAGGCACATGTAATGATCAATATAGCAGACAACATCCAACTAAACTGTAGATTTGCCAATGCTTTTGCCCTAACCTCAGCACCAGGAGACTCACAAGCCACCGCACTACTGTGAACAACACTTCTTCTGTTATTGTCAACAGATGTTGACGAGTTGCTCACGCAACCTTTGGGAACATATTCTGGGACCCAAAGCATGAAACCCATGTTCAAGAACCAGCATCCTTGAAACATAACCGAAACCGAGAGGACAAGAGCTGCGGAAAAAGATTTAGGGAAAGAAGCAGAAGCTAGAGCCGAAGAGAAGGAGACAAAAGCGATAAGCTGAAGAAGGAAATGGTAGTGGCCTTCAAGACCTAAGTGATCAGTGGAGTGAAAATGAAGGAGGAAGAGTTCTTGAGCAAAGACAGAAGCAGAGAGGATTCCAATTAGACCGGAGAAGAGATCTGAGCAAAGGGTTAGCTCACAGAAGAGAGCGAAACACGAGAAGATGATAAGGTGGAGGAACATGGAAGCGTGTTCTAGGTTGTCTGGTTTGAAAGAGGAGAAGTTGAAATTAGGAAAATCTAGGGTTAGGAGGATGATGGCGAAGATGGAGAATAAGAGGATTGAGATAAGCTCGAGATGTTTAAGTTTAGGGAAAGGGAACCAGAATCTTGCAGAGAAAGATTCAGGGCCTTTAAGACAATAAGATCTTACGGTGTTGAAGAGATGCCAAAGACCAAGAAGTGCAAGTGAGAGACCAGGCACGAAGTGTCCTAAGAACGTTCCCATTCTAGTTTTTTTTTTCTAGTTTCGATTGTTTAAGAAAAGAAATCCGTTAATTTTTGGTATTGAATGATGTTTTTGTGAGGAAGTGTTTATATATAGTTGAGAAAACATATGTGGTTGCGTGACGGAAAACATCACTTAAAAAAGCTTAGGAAAAAGAAGAAAAGGTGGCTTGACCAATACGTAACACTTTAAGATTATGGTGAAGAAGCTTCGTTATCAAATACTTTGGTTAAAGAAACAGAGCTGCAGAGCAAGGCATTTGTAATTCTATTCATTTTAAAACCTCTCTTTCCTTTTCTACTTTATTTTGTTTTATAAAAGAACATAAAGTCATAAACTTTATTATCTATAGATAGTGATGCAAAAGGTTCGTGCGTGCATATAACTATTGGCATGGACTTTAGAGATGCAAAGTCGAGTGTGACAGTGTGACTTCTTCGAATGTAGAATAAGAAAAAGAAAAAAACTAGATTCATTGTTCATCTCTGTCTCTGCTTAACTCTGGTTAGTTCAGTTGATTAAACCATTTGTTAATATAAATCTATCGGTTTGAGTTTTGAATGTCCAAAATGTTAAATATAAAATAATATTGCTGAAAATTTTGAATGAGAATATGCCGTTGGAATTCAGTACTTCTATATTGATGTAGTACAAAATTCAATAATGAATAAATTGACCTAACTTTCGATTAACACCCACAAAGAGGAGAGGACGAGCCAATGAACTAAAGGTGGATAAATTGGGGTCACTCTCCATCCAATCTAAAGTGGAAACAAAAGTGTGTTTCCACTTAATTAGACAATGGAAATTGCGATGAATCCATTCACTACCCAATTTATATATATAACAAAATATGTTTTTTTGTGACTTGTAGAAATTTCTACAAATTTGAAAAGAACCAAAGCAAATGTTAAATCACCTTTCTAGATGCTGAATTTATTTTTCCTTCTCTTACATCTCCTTATTTTAAAATTCAAATTAATCTTAAATTAGCCTGTTTTCGATTGAAAAACTGAAACAGTTTTTTTTTTTTTTTTTTAGAAAACCTGAACATGAATGTAAGTTACTGTGACGGAAACACAAAGTTGATTGCGTTAAATTTAAGTTTTCAGCGGAATTAGCATGCTAGTTTAACACAACTTTGCAACCAAAAGTCAGGTAAATTAGCATGACTTTTGGTTGTGTCAAATTAAACACAAATTTTAGAGCAGTAAAGAAAACCTGACAAATAAAATACACTTGCTAACTTTACGCAAACTATGGGCTTCACAAGGAAAAGAGTGAGAAAGAGAGCTCATGGGCTTATTTTTCAGGTCCCATCATTAAGAAAAAATGAAAAAAAAAAATCCGAACTGCCGGAATCGAACCAGCGACCTAAAGATTATCTGCAAACACTACAGTCTTCCGCTCTACCAACTGAGCTAAGTTCGGATATGTTTAGTCCTTCACCAATACACTATTAGTCTTTAGAAGATCAGCTACATGATTAACCAGAAGGAGGGTGTTTCCATCAAAATTTGTGTAGACAAGCCTTGATCTGTTGATAACGGTGGCCGAACGTTCCCGTTATGGAGAATTTAATCACAGTACATTTCCATCAAAATCTATAGAAAAAAATCGAAATTGATTCACACTCACCAATAATATGTCTCTGTTCCTCTCTTGATCAACTTCAAAACCACTATGATTTACTTCCACCAGGTGGGAAGATTCAAGAGAGTCTTTACACAAACATCATCACAAAACGATGAAGAAAGAACGCATAAAACTAGGTCACCAAAAACTAGGGGGATCCGAAAAGACAACTTGGCATGAGGTAGAGAGTCTTGGGATTGCAAGGAGTTTCTTGAGGAAGACGAGAGATGACTCATTCTCTCTGGAACTAAATACGAAGAGAGTTAGTTTCTTGAGGATTCTCGACTTCTCAAGAAAGTAACTCAGTAGCTCCACCTCCGCCACTTCATCTACCATGGGCTGTTCTATCTCAACATACTCGAGACTTGGCAGGAAGCCATGAGGTCTTGCTACAGGTTCAATACTATCTGGCTGCTCCCATGGAGATTTACTAAACCTCTGCAAAGTAGGAACAAAGAGTATGTGATTAATATATACAATAACAAAATGAAGTTTATGGTTTGAGTGAATCAAATCCTAACCAAGGAGAGAGATTTCAGATTCGGGCAGCTCTCAAGAAACACTGGCAACATTTCCCACCTGTAGTCAGTGAATCTAGCACTCAAGGTAGTGATGTTACGTAACAAGGGTACTCGTTCGCATCTCGAGTAATTATAGATCATCTGCAAAAAGAAAGAAAAAGAAAAAGTATCAATAATTGAGACTTGATTGATGATCATATGATAAACTTAAAGCATAAGTGAATACCTCAAGAGTATCCGAACTGATGGACATGTCTCTGACACTAGAGATCCCCACAAGAAAACTCCGAATCATGCTTCTCTTTGGTACATCATCCGGATCAAACCTCTTCTCAGAGGACAAGTTAAACACAACACACAATCCCACCTTAACAAGTGAACCAAGATTCTTCACAACGAAGCTATCAGTGCCCTGATCATAAAGCTGAAGCTTCTCAAGCCTTGGAGCATCAACCACAACCACAAGCTCTTCCTCAACAAAATCCACATCATGACCCATATGAGTGAAGCTCAACAGAGACTGAGAGCACACACGCAAGACTTTCACATTGTCATGAGGACTCCTACTCACAATCAACCTCTCCAGAACCGGAGAGCCTAAGATGAGCATCTCAAAAGCACAATCGCTAACAAACCTAACATTACCAAGATTCATGACCTTAACACAAGAAAAAGAAACAGACTTTGGATTCGCCAAGCTTACGCTAAAGAGCTTTAAAGATACTAAGCTCTCGCAGTTGTAAACCGTTGAAGGTATCTCTGCTTGCTTATCGACCTCCCCTGTGCTGTCTCCAACATGCAGATGCTGAACTCTCCGCTTAACTATGGCGTCGATCCACCGAGCGACATCATCTCCGTGAGAGTAATCCCAATCCCAGTCGTGCTTTCTATCTAATGATTTGTCTTTTATCTTGAATTTTTGCAGGCGTGATTCGCTGTTGTTGTAACCGAGAAAGCTATCGACGAAACTCACATAAGCTTCGTACTCTGGGAAATCGCCAGGCTCCAAGCTCAATCCAGGTACATGTCTCCAGAGATTTCTCCATCTTTGCGATAAGACGCTGCTCTTAACCACATCTTTTGTGGGATTGTTCAAGAGAATCTGGCACAGCAAGTTATCTGGCAATTCGCTCAGCCTATCTACATTGCCACGCACACGCTTCGCTGCGTCTTCGTCATCCATGTGTACTCTGCCTGAAATACCTCGAATCGAATCAAAATCTCGAATCGAAATGATAGATTTTGTGCTTTGAATCTAGGCGAGAGAGAGAGAGAGAGTACCTTTTCAACGGCTATTGAAGAATGATAATGGAGTTGATAAACAAATCGCGTTGAGTTTTCCGGCTAAATGTATCTCCGTTTGTCTTAAGCTTCAGTGGCTCATTTCCCGGCGACAGTTTCAGGTTTTCTCTCCCGTGGAAAAGTGAAAAGACCTAATGCCTGGCAAATTTCGTCAGTGTTCTGTTTTTACATTTTAACCCCTTAATTTACTGTTTCCTTCAAAATTAGTTTGTTTGTATACTTTACGTGAACTAAAAAATTAAGAAAGTAAAAAATATCCGACCTGCCGGAATCGAACCAGCGACCTAAAGATTATCTGCAAACACTACAGTCTTCCGCTCTACCAACTGAGCTAAGGTCGGATACAATTAGTTCTACACTAGACGGTTTAAGTCTAATTAAAAATAATTAAAAGGATGTTCCTTTTATAGAGAAGTTAATTACAATCTTTCCATCAAAACCTATAGAAAGAAAACTCTTAACAAGCTATTTAAAAATCTGCCATATAAAATTATACCAGCTAGGGTAGATTATGGCCTGACATGGTTTATTATTCACAACAATCCCACCAAAAGATTAGAGGAGCTTTTGAATGCATTACATAATACATCATCAAACTAAGTTGTAATCAAAGTCATATCGACTAATTAAGCACCATCACTTATTCCATTTAGTAAAGAGTTGTATACTAATCTATTTGACATAGGAAATTACGTAAGTGCTATTCCAGTTTCTTCAAATAGTGAACACCGGGTTATTAATGTCGCTGCTAAGATCATCAATATAGCAAAGGCGAAGTAGTCTTGGATATATGTGCAATGTCTAGGAATATCAAGCTCTCTTCAATCCTAAAGCTTAGGAAGTAAATGATGTTGTTTAATTAATTCGAATATTTAGCAAATGTTTTGGGTTGGGGAAGCTGGTAATATGATATTCGTGTTGTGAACAAAAGCCACGGGACATGCGAGTAGGGTTTTAGAATTCTTAGTTAGATACAGTATAAGTCTATGGAAATTTGATAGTTATCCAAACCTACAAGTTTCACTTATAAATTTACGAGACAAATGATATTTATAATGTTATAATGTGTAACAACAAAGCATGTCGCAGTAAATCAAATAATACAAGTGATTTGTAGAAAATGAATTCTGGACGAACAGAGATATTCCACCATAAAAATAAACTAAATATATGATAATCATTCCATAATATCGATTAAAAAAAGACAGTCATAGATAGTTTAACTTCTTGTGTTGCGTATATATGTTCATCATCAAACAATAAAATATCACGTTTAAAAACGAAAGTGTCACCTCAGTTTCAACAATCTGAACTAACAAATCCACCTTACGTGTTACAAATCTTTCAGTTGCAATGTTATATTCCAAATTTCCAAAATAACATTAGAAAACAACCCCAAAATAAAAAAGGTCGAATATTAATTCAACAATGACAACCAACCATATAAAAACATAGGACCAATAAACTATATACAAACAAGTTAGCAAGTCACATTTAATACATTTTACAGATTTCTTTATCTATTTTCTCATTGTAGCCGAATCTTTCTTCTTCTTCTTTTCTCCACCTTCTTTCTTCTTCTGGCTTACACATGATTTAAATAGAAACTAAATGTGAACAAAGTAAAACAACAAAAGGGGACACGACTTTATCAAACATCTCGAGAAGAGAACAAAAAGCACATGACATGGCAGTTTACTATTGGTTTATCAGTTGAAACCAAATCTGTCTACCTAGTTGCCTCCCAATTAATTTCCCCTTGACAATCACATGCGCCGCGTATCATCACGCCCTAACGCCGCCACGCGCCGTTGACCTAACGGTCAATAGTTAAGACGCGTAATCCGTCACGCGCCACACTTTCACCGATTTGTCCAAGCTCCCACTGTACACTATCCACCGTCGATCTCCTTTCTCTCTATCGTCGTCGTCGCTATCGTCCGCCGCCTCTTCAACCGCCGTCAAACATTTAACGGGACCGTCGTGATCCATCAAAACGGAGAGACACGTGTGCGATCCGTCGCCGTTTCTCTTCCAAACGCAAATATTCTTATCCGCTCCACCGCTCAACAACAGACTCCCCACGGAGGTGAGACAGAGCACCGCCATTCGGTGGCCGTGAATCGTCCCACCGTGAGTCAAATATTTCTTCCGCTCCCAGAAATTAACGGAACCGTCAGACGATCCACAGTAAACCACAGCGTCCGCTAAGTTAACGGCTAACGCCGTTACAGCGCTCTCTTGCTTCATCAACACTTGTACCAAAACATGCTTCATCTCTTTCCCTTGAAGCTCACGTTTCCATACTTTCAACGTTCCGTCGGCTGATCCGGTGAATAGCAAATCGTCGAATCCGGCGACCACCGTGTTGACCGCGTCGTCGTGAGCCTCGATCGATTCCAGACATTTCGAATCGGATAATCTCCAGACTTTTAGCGTCTTGTCCCACGAACCGGAGTAGAGCAAACCGAGATCTTCGTTTACGGTCAAACACGACACGGCGTCGAAATGTCGGATCTTCAGGACGTTTTTCCGGCGGCGAATTTCGACGTAGTTTCTCGGATTCACCGATTTGGTGAGAAACTCTTTCAGAGTCGGCAAGCTTCCGACTCGTGAGTATTTCTCCGGGTTTCTCTTCGAGCCTCTCCAAACCCGGATTTTACCGTCTTGATGACCGGTGAAAACCCGGTTATCTCCGGTTATGACAATCGCTTTGACAAACCCGCTCATCGATTTAAACCCGGAGAAATCTTTCAGATCTTTCCAGACCCGAATGTTCTTGGAATCGGATCCTGTGAAGAGAAGATCCCCAGAAGCAGCAATAGAGTACACGTGTCCTTCTTCTCTCACGATCGTACCGATTAAACCGTTGTCATGGTCATCCTCGAAATCGCTGTTCCGGGCTTGGTAAACCCACGGGGATTTGTTGTACGGAGAGTATGTTTGGTTCCACGGGGATTGCGTAGTGGACGAAAACGCCGTCGTATTGTCGTTGTGCGGATAGTAAGTTTGGTTCCACGGAGATAACGGATAGCTTGGTGATGATGAGTCGCTGCTAGCGGTTGAGGCGTTGCTTGGACGCTGAGAATCGCTGTTGGTGCTGCTAACCGCGTTTTGGTAAACGCCGTGGTTGTGATCTTCGTCTGTGTGGTATGCTTCGTCCCCGGCGAAGGATTCCGATTTCAAATAAGCGGCGAAAGTGAGTCTTCGGTAGTGATCATTGTGACTCCGGTTTGCTTCTATAGCCATGTTTTTTTTTCCAGAGATTACAACAACAATTGATTGATTATGAAACAAAAAGTTCGACTTTGTTTTTTTTGCTTGTGATATGAAAATGAGAGAATAAATCTTGTAATATTTTTGGAATTGTGAAATAAGAGCATGTAGAAGAAGAAGAGTCGGGTCGTTGTGGTATATATACAGAATCGAATGTAAGAAAGGTGGGAAAATTGACGACGCGGAAGAGGGCACGTGGCGGGAAAGACGTTAGCGTAAATTAACGGGACACCGGTTTTGCCAGTTTCTTTGGAGAAACACTGAAATTTTCCGAGACAAAATTATTAAAACGATACTACTTTTCTGTGTAAACAATTATTCACTTCTGTTTTTTTTCTTCTAACAATAACTTACTTGTTTTGTTTATTAAATTTATAAAGTTTTTTTATAAAATTAAATTTGTATGTAATATTGAATCTATAAAGTTACTTGGTAATTTGTATGTTTCGTGAAATTGCAGATTTTTGAACACATTTTTCACGTTTAATATCTGAAGTAATAATACAAAATATGTTTGTTTGATGAAATGTGAACACAGATTTTACCAGCAGAGAGATGTGTGTCAGTGACTGTATGAAATGATGTTTTTAATCTACGTTGAGATTTAATAATGTGTTTTAATGGTGATATACAAATTATATAAATACAAAACTGCATATATTTTATTTGGTGCATTCCATTTTGTATCTTTTTTTTTTAATAAAGTTTGTTTTGTATCCTACTCCTATTAGTATTACTACTGAGAACATGAGATATTCTTTTAGGAACTGAGAACATGAGATTATATACGAGAATGTAATAAGCTTCAATGCAACTGTATTACCCATGTAAACAATTGACAGGAAAAGCACTATTTTCAAATCTGATACTAATAAGTTTTATTTGGGGTTGGTTGACCAATAAAATAAGATAAGGTATATGTCTGGCTGTGTTGTCGGCTCTTCATCTTCACACGTTGCATCACGTTACGTAATTGGGAAAAAGTATTTCTCGAAGCGGTAGGGGGAATTTATTAATATTGATTTAGCTTGAAATCGGTCTTTGATCACATTGTGAGAAGAAGTTTTCTTCCAGATGTTTGACTTTTCTCACTCTCGCAAACAAGTTAAGATAGATTTTTTTTCTTGTTTAGTTACAAACACGATTGAATTAAATAAGTTTTCAGTTTTTGTTCGTTTCTGACTTTTATTATTCAGAAGAATATACATACACTAACACTGCATGTATACATAAACTGTAGTTTTGAATAAATCTGTGTTCATTTGGTTTTATATTGCTAGTTGATTTTGGTTTTATATTGCTAGTTGCAGTTGATGGTCAATTTTATTAAAAATATATGATACAAATAGATGTATAATATGCATACACTGCATGTTACTATAAATTGTAGTTTTGGAAATATCTGTGTTCATTTGGTTTTATTGCTAGTTGACGTTGGTTTTATATTGCTAGTCGAAGTTGATGGTTAATTTTATTGAAAATATATGATACAAATAGATGTACAATATGCATACACTGCATGTTACTATAAACTGTAGTTTTGGATATATATATGTGTTCATTTGGTTTTATATTGCTAGTCGAAGTTGTTGGTCAATCTTATTGAAAAAATATATATGATAAAAATAGATGTACAATTACTCAATTAGGATAAAGAAACAATGCAAAATAATACAACATATAAAACTGTGGGTGTTTGGGTGTTTGCACATGGATTAAGAAATAACTGAGTTTTATAATCTTTCAAAACTAGAACATGTTTTAATTTAACTTCAACTATAAATAGTTCAATTTTGTATTATTTCAAAACTAAAACATGTTCTACGATAATTAAAATAAAAATCAGATTTATAATTCGATTTCATAGTATATGAAATTTTGGGTGTAAACAACTTAATTTTGTATTTTTTCAAAAGTAAAACATATTTTATATTAAGAAACTAAAACAAAGATAATATGAATTATATGGTGAAGTGTTATGTTATACATCGAACAAAACGAAATAATTTAGAAAAAAGATTTAGAAGATACGATAAGCAAAGTCTCTTTTTTTTTTTTTTTTTTTTTACAGAAACATTATTGGATTTGTTATATACTTAATTTACAGAATAATGTAACTATATTCTGTTTTGGTTATTAACCAAATTGACCTATTTCTTTTACTTTTTAGTATGTATATAGGAAAGAGGTGTTTATACCTTATACGTATATACATATATTGAACGAAGTAGCTTGAATATTTGTCTCTTCACGTTTTAGTATATATAATGTTTTCAACTACCAATTAATATCGTAGTTGCTTTATAGAATTATTGTGACCCAATTTTATCAAATCAAATTAAAAGGGATAACAAAGTGAAGCAATTATAGTGGATGTTTTGCTTATATGTCGGTCAATGACTGTGAGTCACATAACACTGCTTAAGTACTACTACACAGGCATACACGTGGTTGGACAAAGATTCCTTGTATGAACACTTATACATTACATAATCTATCTACTTAGAGTCTAAATGGTAACTGCGGAATGTTGCTGAATACGGAATCTGGCGGAATTAAATTGTAACTTTTTGCAAATCTGGCTGAATAGTTAGTATTGTGAATGGTAACTGCTGAATGTTGCTGAATGCGGAATGTTAATGCGGAATGTTGCTGAATGCGAAAATCTAACAAATTATTTGTGTAACAGAATATTCATCCAATTTAATTAATAAAATAAATATAAAAATTTACTTGTAAAACAATTAAATATTAGTAAACTCAAATAATTTTTAAAATATAGGATTTAAGAATCATAATTTATAATAATTTATTTATTAAACACCAAAGTTAAAAAACAAATTTCAATTTTATTTTATCAATTCATAAAAAAAATCACTTGTTTTTGTCTTTTAATGATAGATTCTTCAATTTCACATTCCTCAATTCACAATTCTGCATAGTTAACTGATAACATTTTTAAAATATTCCACAACATTCCTCAATTCTGCAGTATTCTCAGGTACCAATTAGGGTTAGAATAACAAAATATTTACCCAGTTGAATTAATAAACTAAATTTATTATATGGATCTACCTAATTTTATTATTAAGATTCAATTTTGGGAAAAATTCCGATCGGATTGAATGCTGATAAATTATATTTAATATTATACTCAAGGTGAATATACAGCCCACAAACAGTCCATACAATAAAAGATAATTAACTAATGAAGTACAAAAGCTAGACACGTGGCATCTACAACTTCAGGAACGTGGCAAACAGAGACACGCGTCAATTATTTGATGGACCGCCAAAGAACGCCGTCGAAGAGTCTCTCCTTCACGCCGCTTCACCGTGCGCTGCTGCAGACTTTTCGCTTATCACCGGAAAAGAGCAGATCAAATCCGTTATCATCATGCCTTTTAACTGCGAAGGATTGAAATGATAATACTCCTCAGACCACCATCAAAACCGACGCCAAGTCTGAATCTTCATACTCCAAGTCAACCACCTCGAATCACTTTGAATCATAATCAGAGAGAAACCGTACTCTTTCACATGAGTAAGGATTTATTCTCACATGAATGATGAATCAAAGATCGATGAGAACAGTGATCTATAATTTTAACCGGAAATTATCGATTTTAATGTGCGAAAGGCAAGTCCGAACAAAGTCGGAAAACAAAACCGATCAAGTCGGAGGCAAATCCGTAAAACGGAACAGAAATCCGTAAGATCGGAAAGAAAAGAAACACAACAAAAGGTTATTTATTTACAGAACTAGATTCAAACTCCGAATTAAATCGGAAATTTGAAGAACAATTAGAACTTTCTCTCTCTAAAAGATATAAGGGAGAGAAGAGAGAGAGTTTCTTAATATTATACTCAATTTAATCAATAATGATTTAAGTTTGTTTTATAATATTTTAGTACAACAACTATTTTATTAGAGATTAACTAAAATAATATTTTTGAAAATAAAAGTTTAAAAGATTTGCTGCATGATGTAGCGTTTGATTTTCTTTGATTGGTTTGAGTTTAACTAATAGTAACTCATTTTAAAATTAGTAAGTTACTATATTAAAGTGCCATGTGTCTCAATTTTACATTTGAAAATCATTTACGTGACATAAATAAATGGAGGCCTCGAGTTGTAGTGGGACCCAAGTGAACAGTGGTGTTTTAAGATGAATTCCACAATTCCTCATTTCACATTCCACAACTATCAACTGATGTATAATTCTTTTTTTCAGCTATAATTCAGCTGAATGCCTCAATTCAGCTGATACCAGTTAAGGCCTTAGCTATTATAACAAAGACAGATCGCTACTACTAGACGATGACTGTAAAAAAGAAGAAGTTACTAGACGATGCACGACCGATTTCTGGTTACCCTCATATACGGCCATTTCCAATGGCTAAGTAACGAAAGCGAAAATTAGAAAAGAAAATAACAATAAAGCAAAATTATTTAGAAATAACAACATTATTAAGAATATGTAATAATAGGTTCTAGATATTTCTCCTAAAAGCGCAAAAAGTGATAATCATTTTTTTTTGTTTTGCTAAGGAAAAAGTGATAATCATATACACTAACTTTACTCGGGTCACTGTGATGCTTTAGTGTCCCCAGTTTTAGATTGTATGGACTAGGATCACAGTTCACACACTCTTTACTCTTTCGATTCAGTGTTCGAAGATCTACACGGTTTATAGGCGGGACAGTCCACACCACGTGTCCCCATTCAACACGATATTAGTTTTTAGTTTTTCTTACACAATGCTAATAAGCAAACTTGTTGCAATTTGTATTCCGTCATGTTTCATATATGAGTGTATTTTTTTTTTTTTTCATATATGAGTGTATTGTATGGGAGTGTGCATGTCTTCTCTATTAAACTTATCTTTTAACACCAAAATAGTAAGAAAACTGGGGCGTATAGTATAAATGTTCAATGCATCTGTACAATAGACGTAATAGACGTATTGTA